ACAATTTTCAAAAATTTTGAGCTTTTGGTGCAGCATGAATGCAGTTTTCAAGTTTTTAAAATACGTTAAAAGATTTTTCTAGATTTTCAACAATAAAAAATTATCAAAACTATCAAATCCATAGAAGTCCATTGCCAAAAATCCATAACCTGCCTTGCCCGTCCGCTCTAAAGGGAGAGCGACAGTACGGCGATAGGGGGCCATATTCCCTTTAAAAATAGCTACCAATTTTCTAAAACCCGAAAATTCGTGCAAGCTATTTTCTGCGCAACAAGGATATATTGGGCAAAGCGAGTTTCGGGCTTACTGTAGTTTAACCGATTACGGTACCAATTTCCAGCCAAAGTGGATAAAATTACTTCGAAAAAACCTGAAAATCAAAATACGAGTGTAAAACGGAGGTATTAAGATGCAGAGATTGCGTGCCAACTTGTTAATGACCAAAAAACGTGAGGGGTGAGGGTGGATGATGTGGGGAGGGAGGGAGGGACGGAAAGGTTGAAGGGACGGCGGGAAGGGGCCGGATATCCTTCTTCACACCCCGTCCTCCACTACCATGGCACACGACTTCTCGGCTTCTCGAAGGGCGCACTAGGATTTTGCGGACGAAACTCTCGCAACCGGAAGTTCCATGAAAACATGTTTTTTTTTGCACGGCAGAAGGAGGTATTTTGGCTTGGGGAAGATTGAAAAATAACAAATTCCAGGACGGTTTGCTCTGAACCGGTCTTTCCTGTGATTTTAAAGGGACTGTGAAGGCATCGATTCCTTTAGCGAACCCTGGCCTCTCAGGTTATTGCTGCGCGGCTATAGTAGTCGTGGGTTGCCCCCTTGGTGGTCATGGATCGCGACCTCAGTTTGGGTGCTACGCGGCGCGTGCGCGTTGCGTGTGGCGGGCGCGGCAAAATTCACAGCCGTGCCTTGCCAGTCGCTTCAAGCCTTCGAAAACGAGGCCTGAAGATGCTGCCCAGATGTGGGATGAAGCTGTGGGGCGGGGGCCGAATCCTTCGATTCACAATTGTTCATTAAAGGGTTAGGCAAACATTGCGAGATCCCTGAAATCGGCCTTTCTTTTACGTGTCTTTTCCGAATCCATCCATCCAATATTCCACCCACATCCTCCCGAAATTGCCTTTCTATCCCAATGTCTCTACAAACAAAAAGTAGAGCCGTTGTTCTCATCTCAGCTTTTCCCTTCGAATCTCACATGATTCGATGGCCAAGAGGGCAGATTAACTCCAAAACTTTGACGTACAAGACTCTTTTAAGGGGCAGTGACACATCGGTAACCCTGAAACCCATACTCGGTGGATGCCAGATGGCTAATATGTGCCTTGCCTGCCCCTTTAGAAACCTTTAGACCCGCAGCGACACCCAGGGAAAACACATCAACGCCAAAAGCGACGTCGGAAGGCTCGAGCTGCCTGACTGTATCCACGTATCGAGGTTTCACAGGTATCGCAATGTACCATGTGGATTTACGGTATCCAGCTCGAGGACTCGACGAATTCTGCCTTCACCGTCCCTTTAAAATCGTCAAAACCACCGAATTTTGTCATTTTTGTAAGAGCCCCGGAAGAACCTGAGATTCTGTTCGTATATTTCGTGATTGCCCTGCTTCAGGGGGTCATTTTGGGGCGGAAAGCGATAGAAAGAGAGAGAGAGAGAGAGAGAGAGAGAGAGAGAGAGAGCGAGAGAGAGAGAGGGAGAGGGAGGCAGAGATACGGACTATACTGTTTGCATAGAAGAAGCCGCATTTTAGAAGGGACACCCGGTCTTTTGAAAAGAAGAACTCTCGAACAGCCTGTCTCTTCCCGCTTATCTCTTCCCCTCAATAATTCTTGATGGTAGGCGGCTTTCCTGTTCCCTCTCAAAATGACCCCCTTCTCCATGCCGGGGCATTATTATTATTCAGTACAGTCCGCGGCAGATTGCACCCCAAAGGAACTCAATCCCGGAAAATTTCTAAATTTTTGGTTTTTAGCTACCTAGGAGTAACACCTGGGTGCCAGTTAGCCTTCCCTAGTCTCGGTAAAAACCGTAAGTCCGGTAGATGCCGGTAAGTCGTTAAATTGCCTGATTGCAAGGCGTAATTTTTCAGCGAACAGACTCGGCGCTTGAAAAATGGGAGATTTTTGTTTTTAGCTACACAGAGTGATGCCTGGGTGCCAGTTAGGCATTCTAAAATGTGTGGACTACAAACTACAACTCTGGGCTCTTTATAAATCGTTAAACTGACGGTCTTCGTAATTTTTTTGGCTAGCGCGCTCAATCTTTGAAATTTTTGATGCCAGTTAGCCTTTTTAAAAAGTGTAGACTACAAAGTACGGCTCTAACCTCTGGCTAAATCGTCAAACTGACTGGCAACAGCCCCAAAAATTTTAGTCTGGGGTTTTCAGAAATTTTTTAAAAATTTGAGAAGCTTAAAAGGTACACATAGGGTAACGGGGGGGGGAGGGGGGAATAAAATAACGGGGGGCACTCGTTATTATGAAATTTGCAATTACTGAGGGATTTTGCGAGTGCCATTCGATAGAGCGGCGAAAAATATACTAAGAGAATTAATTTGAGCCCAAAATAATGTAATGGAAATTTTTTATTGAATAAGCAAAAATTGAGGAAAATCTATGGGCAACACATAGGATAACGGGGAAGTCAAATTTTCGAAATTTTCGAAATTTTCGGTATTTTGAAAACGTCATTCGGTAAAGCGTCGAAAACTGCCCTAGGAAAATTAATTTCAGCCCGAAATAATGTAAATGAAATTTTTTATCGAATAAACAAAAATTGATCAAAATCCATGGGCAGCACATAGGATAACGGGGGGGGGAAGCCAAATTTTTGAGATTTTCGATATTTTGAAAACGCGAATCGATAGAACATCAAAAAATATACTAAGAGATTTTTTTACAACGCGAAAGAATGTATTATAAAAGTTTTATAGCCTAAAAACTATTTTTGAAAACTATGGGCAGTACATAGGATAACAGGGGGGAATTTTCGGCGTTTTGAATATTTTCGAAATTTTGAAAATGCCATTCGATAGAGGACCGAAAAATATACAAAGAGTTTTTTTTACAGCCCGAAAAAAGCATATTTAAAAATACTTTTATCATATAAAAAGTTTGAGTGCCCCCCCCCCCCGTTATCCTATGTGTGCCGCTTAAAATATGTTTAAAACATCGAAATCTAGTTTTCAAATGATTTTTAAAGGTTTTTAGCGTTTTTAGTATGCTTAAAGGCCTAAAATACCTTCAGGCATATAGTTTATCGTTTTTACCTTTAAAAAATTAAAAATAGCCATTTTCCCCGTTTTGTTTCCTGGTCACTGCTTTGTTGTTGGGACACAAACAGTTAGAGGTTGAGTTGGCAACTTTCGTTTTTCTTTTCCCTTCTCTCACTTTTTGTCTCACTCACTTTCTATCTCACCCTCTCTCCCTCTCTCTCTCTCTCTCTCTCTCTCTCTCTCTCTCTCACTCTCTCTCCCTCTCTCTCTCTCTCTCCCTCTCCTCCCCTGAGTGTCAGCTGTTTCAGTCTCCTCCTCCACTTTTCTTTCCTCTCCTTTGGGTGAGCATGAGCTTCTCTATCTCAATTTGTCCCCCTGCCCCTCCGAATCCTTTTTTCTTGTGAGATCCGTGCTTTTATTGTCGTGAGTTGGGGGATCATGATCTATGTGTCCCAAATGTCCCAATCCCGAATCCAACACCTGGTGCTCCTCTCTTGGCCGGAAGCTGGAAGCGGGGAGCTTTGTTGTCTCCCTTGTCCCTTCGCAGGCTGTGGGTCACTTGAAATTTGTTTTTTTAGATCCATCGGGTGCCAGTTTAAGATTTCTCGAGAATAAACTAATTACATAGCGTAACTGGATGTCAGTTTAGCGATCAGACGTTATTTTGAGTCATTCGCTCTCATTTTCGAAGATTTTCGGGATTTCGGGATTGGTTTTTTGCGTAGTTCGGATGGCAGTTTCCAGTTTCCGAGGCCCAGATGATTTATATAGCGTAACTGAATGCCATTTTGGCGACAGCAATTTTTTTGGGTCCCGAATTGGCCATTTCGACTGATTGTATGCCGATTTGCCCGGCTTATAGCGTGGATGTGTTCGAAATAGGCATTTCAATTTTTTTTGGATAGCAGCATACAGCTTCTGAGGTCCTGAGGACCTATATAGCCTAATCGGATGCCAGTTTGGTGTTTTAAACCTTTTTTTTGAGTCAGGATGGTTATTTCGAAATTTTGAAAATTGTTTTTTAGGCGGTTTGGATGGCAGTTTATAAATTATGATGCCCAGCTTAATTATATAGCGTAACTGGATGGCAGTTCACCGGCCGAAAAATAAATTTGGAGGCCGGGAAAGGCTATTTTTCGTTAGTTTGGGTGGCAGTTTACATTTTCCGGTGCTAAGATTACTTATATAGCGTAACCGGTTGGCAGTGTAGCGCTAGAAAACTTTTTTGAGTTTTGGCTGGATAGCTAGTATGCCAGTTTAGCCATTTTACGCGTTGAAATTGGGCTTGTGCCCTGAACTGTCTGCCAACTATTTTATTCCCTTTCTTTTCGTCTCTTTCTTCTGTTTTTTTGGGCGTTATCTCCCCCGAAATTCCCTCCAGAATGACTCCTCCGTAATGTCTGACCACCTGGCCAGCCAGCGTCCGGACGGACCCTCGTGAATTATTGGCCCGAACGTGCGGATTTCGGGAAATTCTTGGTTTTACTTTATTTGATGCGTTAACGTTGAAATATCGATATCTGGGTGCCATTTTAGCGATTCTTTTTTTCAGGACAATCTTTTACTTATTTAGCGATAAAAGGTAGATTTTTGGGTGTCAATCTGGTTTTCTGATCTCCATTCATCGGTTTTTATTGATTTTTATACATTTTTAAAGTTTAAATTTGGTCATTTCGGTGGCAGTTTACAGATTGTGATTTTCGGGAAATTCAATTTTTTTGATTTTTTCGGTTTGTTAAACATTCAACTATCGGTATTTTGTGCCATTTTAGAGATGCTTCAGCCTTGGGCAAGATTAAGCTGTCGTTTTCTGGCCATATTCTTCGTCTTTGCCCTATCTGTCGGTCAGTTTCTTCAAAAGTATGAAAATTGGAGTTTAAAACTATTTGAGTTAAGGTTAATATTATTTTACTGTCGATTTTCAAATTAAATTGATTAAAAATCGCTAACACCACTTTTTAGCATCAAACGAATTGTCGCGATGTTGTTCGGGTGGTGCTCGCCATTTCCAGCAGACGAGCACGTGCTCCGCCATCAGAAGCGAGGGTTCGTCTATTTTTTTTTTGGAAAAACGCTAGCCATTTTAAACTTTAAAATGAGTTCACAGGCCAGAAAAGCAATAGAAATTTTGAAAAATATTTTAAGTGAATTTTTAGAATTTTTCCAGGAAGTAAATGGAATCAGAAACCTTTGAAGTCCAAAACTAATTTTTTTGCTTTTCTGGCAGCCAAATATCAAAATTTTCAGGTTCGTCAATGATGTGTGTCCGTTCAGCGTCAATATGTTGTTTACGGACACTTCTCGATTCTTCTTGCGATGATGGTATTGTCCATTTTCGCAATTTCCACGATTTTTAGGCGCAACAATGGCGCGAAATGACGAGACATGCCCCACAAATATCAATGTGCTGGGTGGAGGCATTCGAAAGGTATCTGAATCGACCAATTGGCAATCAGTTACCGTAACTTCCATTGTTAGGAATGCTGTGACTGTTGTTTGTTGGCCCGGGAATTGGTGCGCCGAAATGAGCCTTGCCAGGTACGTCTTGTTGCGATTTACCCCGGTTTTTGCATTGTCCAATTTTAGTAATTTAAATTTGTAGTTTGTAGGTTAGTTAATATTGATTTTACTGTTTTTAAACCCGTCAAATTTATATCGTATTTTTAGGCTCCGACCGGTTTCTCTGCTCTTTGCCTTCGCTCTTTCAACAGATGCTGCCAATCAGATTTGGACATCATCACACCGGCTGTGCATATTCCGAAACAACCCGGTAAACGTTTTAGAAATCGTTAATTGACAGCCAGTCAAGGGATTGAAACTTCGAAAATTCGCAAAACATTAATTTTCTGATTTGAGGCTTTCCAGTCACGCGAAAAGTTTATCTGCCATCCGGTTACCGTATTTAAAGCTCCGGAATTGCATAGAAAGGTTAATTTGAATAATTGAATTTTTGGAACGTGTGACGCATGCAAAATAGCTAATTGTCATCAAGTAGAGAGATTTCGAGCTCGAGAAAATCACAAAAAAAAATTTTCCAAGGATTTTTTTTATATAGCTTTTCTGGCATTCAAATTACCTAAAAACCTGAAAAACAAAACCTGAACTATTTTTTTTGGAAAAGCTGGATGCCAGTAAGCAATCTGCCGCATCACTTTAACTTTTCTCGAGGAAATTTCCGAAACAGCCGGTAGACGCTTGAAAAACAACAATTGTCACCCAGTGGAGAGATTCCGAGCTCCAAAACATCACAAAAATTCATTTTCAAGGATTTGTTTTTCCAAAAACCTAACTGGCATGCAAATTAGCTAAAACAAGATAAACAAAACCCAAGCCATATTTTTGTGAAAACTGAATGCCAGTAAACAATTTGATGAGTCACTTTTGATCCGAATGGACCCTAGGATCATATTTGAGAACGGGTTAGATCTCCTCGATGCTCATTAGCAAATTCTCTCGGCTTTTCCTTGGTTTTGCTTGCCAAACAGCAGACACCTCTCGACACTCATTTTCTCGGCCCTCGAAAAGTGGCACTTTCAGGGGGGCATAAGAGATATCATATGACAAACGGCTGACACCTTGGTGGGCCTTTAGTTAGAGGGAAGGGAAGAGCTCTAGAGAACGCTCGACTCAAAGTGTCAAGAAGCATTATTAACTCACCAGAGGAAGATCAAGCAATCGAAACTAAGGGACGGCCAAGATTCAGGAAGGACAAAGCCAGAACTCGAAATAAAAGGAATGGACCGAAATAACTAAAAAATAATCGAGGAACTGCGCAACATGGTGCTAACAAGGAGATTTTTTTGGTGTTTCGTGGTTGCAAGTTGCAGAAATTTGCGTTGATCTCGTGGCTGATTTCGGGGCGGATCGGTTTTGCTCTTTCACAACCTCCGAAAAATCGCGGCTTTGCACATTTGGCAGCTACGCTCGGAATCATCGCAAAAATTCTGTACAAAATGGGCTAGTCCAAGCCTGAACACATTAAAAGACGTCTGTTTCTTCGCAAAATTTAAGAATTTTTGTATCTAATCTGAGCGTCCTTATAATTCCGCGCATTTCAGACGATGTGACTGCCCTCCTCCAAGTCGGTGATCGTTGCGCGACATCCCGTTGTGAACATCAATGCAATGACAGGTGGAATTATTCCATTTTTTTTGCCGAAAATAACGAATCTTTTTAGTGGTGGTGATCAAGTGGAATGTTCATGCCGCGAAGGATATGATTTGGGATCGGATGGGACCAGTTGTATCGGTTGGTCCATTGGGGTCCATTTTACTGGATTTTTCGCAAGAATCTCTGCTAGCTAGCCAGTTTGCGCAAAAATCACGCCATATTCGACAGTTTAATCGAAAAGTGACTCTCCGGCAAAAGAAGAAACGGCAAAAAATATTTTTCGCGTGAATAGCTAAAGCTTCCGTATCCCTGGGAAATAGCTAAAATACTGACCAATCCGCTGACAGTTCCCTGAAAATCCCCGCTAGCTTGCCAGCTTGCACAAAAATTGATTTGCTGTCTGGCTTTAATCGTAATCCGTACCCATGGAATCAAAAAACTTATTTTGCCTGCTTCGAGTTCAGCTTTCCATGGAAAATCATCTATTGACGTCCAGTTTGCAGAATTTTCCCCAAATTGTTCCTGCTAGCTTGTCAGTTTCGCCAAAATTCGCTTCACTATATGTCAGTTTACCCGAAAAGTCGGTAAAAACCGGTAAGGTAGCATTTTTTAGACTTTCTATTCAGATTTTCTATCAAAAACAGCTTCCCTGTTCCCGCGATTTCCCCAAAAATCCTTGCTGTTTCCCCAGCGGCCCAATTTCCCTATGTCCGCTTCAGATCGAAACGAGTGCGAGGGCAATGCTCGCCTTTGCGGGGATCGCTCATTTTGCCTAAATCTTCCCGGATCCTACGTCTGTAAATCGATCGAGGCGCCAAGCCAGAGAATCGGCCAAAAAAGGCCAGGAATTCAAAGGAGACCTCCCAGCACCACAAGGACATTTACGGGCTGGCAGACTACAAAAAGCCCTACTGCACTACAGACTACAAGGTCCGATACTACTGGACTACAACCTACGCGAAGATCCTATGGACGTCCCCTCCCTCCTCTTGCTCTTATTCGACCAGATGAAAGACATCAATCCGATCAACCCCCTCGACATCATCAACTACAGAATACAAACTACAAACAACAGGGATGTCCGAGGGGATTTCAGCAGCGAGAAGGAGTTTGTCAGGGTGAGCAGTCGAATGGAGCATGGAGAATGGAACGGATTGAGGTGAATGCTTTGCCCTCTGTACTTACCAAAGCTTACTGTCTACCTTATGTGGGACTTCGTAGCTTGGAGTTTGGAGATTGTAGTCCAGAATCCCGATTGGCTGGGCTACAGACTACAAAAACTATCGAATCGAGGAAACATTTGATGGGTTCATTTTTGTAGTTTCTAGTCCAGCTGCCCAGCTAAATGGACTACATACTAAAGGTTGTGATCCTTATCGCTGGATTTTTAGAGATTGTAGTCCAGAATGCTGTTTGGTCAGCCTACAAACTACAAAATTTGTTTACACTTTTTCCTCCAGAAATAGGATATAAAATAGTAGCCCATGCAAACAATGGACTTTTTTAGTTTTTAGTCCACGAGATCCATAACTCCCCTACAAACTACAAACTCAACTCTACGTCGGGTTGTTCTTTGTAGTTTGAGACCCACAATTCGACTCAATTAGGGGAATTGCTGCCGTTTTATAGTTATTACTCCAGCAAATCAAGGGAACACGGACTAATCCATTAATCCTTACTAACAGATCGCATTAACATTGCATGGCTTAGATATCGACGAATGCAGTCTCCTTCTTGATGTTTGTTTGGAGGGCCAGAGATGTCTGAATGTCCCAGGTGGATATAAATGTATTCGAACGCTGTCGTGTGGAACGGGATATGTCATGGATTCTGATACTGAACAGTGCACCGGTTTGTATTTTGAATTTGACTACACGTTAAAAGTTTTCTAAATTGCTAATTTGATGAAAGTCGATATTTAAAAGCTAAATATATCGCATGTCGTCTTTTTGCATGGCAGAAAAAGAACAATGTGCATGTTTTGCGCCACTTATTTTTTTAGCGAATAAAGTTAATTCTTAGCCAGTAAATTTATAATTAACGCATGAAACTTAATTTATAAACTCGTAATTAAAGTTGAAAAGTCTAATTTTAGACGTGGACGAGTGTAATCTTGGCTCTCACGACTGCGGTACGCTGTATCAGTGCAAAAATACACAGGGTAAGTCTGAAAAATAATTTTTAGACACGTTTATGTGTTAGCTTATTTTTTCGTTATTTCCATCAAAAATTCCGGTATTTAGGCAGCTATCGTTGTGTGCCAAAGCGATGTGGAGACGGCGAGGTGCAGAACCCACAAACCGGCGAATGTACATCAATCAATTGCCCCAAGGGGTATTATGCAAAGGATGGAAGGTGTAATGGTATGGACAGAGTAGCGTACTGGATTTTGTTCTCTTTACCTTTCTTCTGTTGTACGTTTGGCGTCCCGGACCGCGACACGCAACGCGCATGCGCGACGTTTCATTGCTTAATCGATTACGACCATTTTCGCGTTGCGTGCCGCGTCGCGGTCCACTCCATTAGGCCTTTGCATTGCGTAATCGGTTTTTCCTGTTTAACAGGGAGGGCGTTTTCGAGGGAAAACCAAATTTCTACCGGTTAATTCCCATGTTTTATGAAACATAATTCATTTCCTAGCATTTTACACAGTTTTTCAATCGAAAAAGCTCCGAAAAATTGGCAAAAATTTCGAAAATGTTTGATTTTTAATCAAAAATTTGTCAAAACGCAAAAAGGTCACAATTTTCGAGTGTGAGAAAAATTCCAAACCCTCCCCCCGCAAACAGACCAGCACCTCAAATTTCCTAATAGTTTTTTCAGACATCGACGAATGCAGCAAAGAGCAATCCCCCTGCCTTCCGACAGAAGATTGTGTCAATACCCCGGGTACATATCGTTGTCAACAGCGAGGAAATCCATGCTCTTTCGGATATCAAGTCAATCCACATTCCGGGTTTTGCGAAGGTAGCCTCAGTTTTTTATTGATTTTCATCTATAAACTGGCAGCCAATTTATCGACTTTTCAGACATTGACGAGTGTTTGTCTCCTAATTCTTGTCATGGTATGGAATGTACGAATCTGCCGGGGACATTCCGCTGTAAATGTCCCACCGGATATGAATTTGATGATCGGGTGGGTAGGAAGAAAAGGGAATAACATTGCGTAATCGGTTCGGAGCTGTATAATTGTGAAAAATCGCGATTTTCAAACCGGTCACGCAATTTAAAACCGCTTCAATCGGCTAAGCTTTCTCGTAGCGGACGAACAGCATTTCTATGGCGTGATCGGTTTGGAAATGGCGAATTTGTAGCTCCCATTATTGGAAAATTTTTTAGCTCAGATAATTGAAGATTTCCAACCAGCTACACCATGTCAAGTCTAATTTCGCTTTCAAAAACGGGCAGTTTCTCAAAACCTTACTCGCTGGAAATATCGCGAAAAAATCCGACTACTCAAAAATCACAAAATTCAGGCAGGACTCTCGGTTTTTCATGGTCTAACCGGTTAAAAAGATGCCTCTGCCAATCACGCCATTTAATAAGCTAATCGATTTTGTTTTGCAGACAAAACGCTGCGAAGACATTGATGAATGCCAGCGATTCCAAGGTCATGTATGTGATGTATTGGCATCTTGTACAAATACCGTCGGATCATTTATTTGTATCTGCAGACAGGGATTCGAGTTGGCACAGGATCAGAAGACTTGTATCGGTATGGCCTCTGATTTTTATGATGGTTACCGTATCTTGTCCCTTGAAAATCATCGTATTTTCAAACTGACTATCATCCTACATTTTATAAACTCTTAGAAAGGCTAAAAAGCGAAATTCGGGATCAATAGGTTCCAGTTAGCTTATAAACCGGAAACTCACGATTTTTAGATATTTTCGGCCGGCTAAAAATGCTCCCAGCTTCCAAACTGGCTAGCATTCGACATTTTCTAGGCTCCAGAAAACACGAAAAGCTATAATTTTTTTGTTGGTCGTCTCCTAAATAAATTTAAATACACAAATTTACTTTTTTTCCAGACATCGACGAATGCTCGCGCGGGATAGCGCATTGCGCGCAGAAATGCGTGAATATCCCGGGCAGTTATCAATGTATTTGCGATCGAGGGTAGGTCTTTCTATAAAGTTTGTATATTTTTTCCGGTTTCATATGAATAAGCGATCAAAATTCTAGTTATGCACTTGGCCCGGATGGAGTCACTTGTGAAGATATTGACGAATGCTCGTTGTGGAGTGGTACCGGTAGGTGGAGTTTGTAGTCTGTAGTATATGGCATCTGTCTCACTCTCTCTCACTCTCTCCCTCCCTCTCTCTCTTTCTCTCTCTCCCTCTCTCTTTCACTTTCTCTCTCTCGCACCTCTCTCTCTCTCTCTCTCTCTCTCTCTCTCTCTCTCTCTCTCTCTCTCTCTCTCTCTTGCTTTCACTCCGTCCATTCCTCCCATTCTAGGTATCGGCAATGAGTTATGTATGGGTGATTGTATCAATACTCCTGGAGCCTACACCTGCAAATGTCCGCCCGGCTACAAAATCCAAGAGGACGGGAGGACGTGTGTTGGTTCGTTTTTCGGGTTTTATTCCAGGAAAAGGCATTCGGCTTTGAAATGTCGGTTTTTTTACTTTTTAAAGGGACGGGCAAGGCAAAAGCCGGAAATTCGTGGACTTTCCTTGCCTTGCCGGCCCTTGAAAGCCATTTTTTTGTATTTCACAACGAATTAATTCCTGCTGTTAGCCAGAATCGCAGATTTTAAAACAGAAATGTTATGACCCATTAAAATATGGATTTTTGTTATTGCTAATACGGAGCCATAAATTCATAGAAATTCCTTACTGGTCCCTTTAAAAGCGTTGTTTTTGATTTTTTTTTTTTTGAGGTAACTAATTTTAACTGTATGCCAGAATTGTCGATTTCAAATTAAAAAACTTGTTCTCTATCTAAATCTCGATTTTAGACATTGACGAGTGCGCGGCGGGTGAATGCCAGGGCGGAGATCGTGTCTGTGTCAATACTTTGGGCCATTTCAAATGCCATCGCATCGAATGTCCCAATAATTATGTCCATGACAGTAACTACAAAAAGTAGGTCTTTTTAATGACATAGTTAAATAAAAAATATAATCGAAAATTTAACAAAAATCCAGAAAATTTTTTTGTATTTTAGCTTTTTAAGAACTTACAAATTCATTAAAAACCAGGGTTGAAAAGCCGCTTCGCGACTTTTCAACCCTGGCCCCGTTTTGGACCAATGAAAGTTTACACTTTGCATAATTCCACCCAACTCACGCTGAAAAAAAGTGAAAAATGCGCTCTCTGCTCCTTAATATAGTCTACCCCCACTTCCGGCGTATGCTAATTGATTCCTCACAAAGAGGGTCTTGAATTTTGCAACAAAAATTAAAATTTAATGTCGAAAACAGGCGATTTTGATAAATCTCATTTGCGTGCAGTCATACCCAGGCCATTACGAACCTAATGACGTATCAAACATTCCCCTAACTACTCTTCTTCTTGAGATACAACTGGAACAACCTGACGGAAGTTGTATGCAAAGTGGCACACACACACAGACACTATTTTTTATATATAGTAGGATGCATGCAAGCGCATGGTTTTTATTAAAGTGTCAAGTATTGTAATAACTGGCATGCATATTACATTTTAAAAATTAAATTTTTACAACATGGAAAGTTTGAAAATTTTGCATACAAGAATTTTTAAACATGTGGTAAAAACTTGCGAAAAACTTTGTTTTTATCTGAACTGTGGTGCATTCTACTAACTGACATGCAGCACGTGTGTCACTTTCCCTTTAATCCGTTGTCCATTGCCTAGTCGGTGTAATCGTCGTCGTGAGGCGTGTCTCGGAATGGGCGAATCCGACTGTAAACAGGCGCATCCCGTTCATATTACTTGGCAGGTCGGTTTTTGCTACTTTAACTGGGTATCTGGATGGCAGTTGAAAATTTACGGTATTGTAAAGGTACACATAGGATAACGGGGGGGAATAAAATAACGGGGGGCACTCATTACTATGAAATTTGCAATTACTGAGGGATTTTGCGAGTGCCATTCGATAGAGCGTCGAAAAATATACTAAGAGAATTAATTTCAGCCCAAAATAATGTAAATGAAATTTGTTATCGAATAAACAAAAATTGATCAAAATCCATGGGCAGCACATAGGATAACGGGGGGGAAAGCCAAATTTTTGAGATTTTCGATGTTTTGAAAACGCGAATCGATAGAACATCAAAAAATATACTAAGAGATTTTTTTACAACGCGAAAAAATGTATTATAAAAGTTTTATAGCCTAAAAACTATTTTTGAAAACTATGGGCAGCACATAGGATAACAGGGGGGGAATTTTCGGCGTTTTGAATATTTTCGAAATTTTGAAAATGCCATTCGATAGAGGACCGAAAAATATACTAAGAGTTTTTTTACAGCCCCAAAAAAGCTTATTTAAAAATACTTTTATCATATAAAAAGTTTGAGTGCTCCCCCGTTATTTCCCCCCGTTATCCTATGTGTACCATTGTAAAGGGCTACTGAATGTAAAAAGTGACAGATTTTCAAAAATTGTGAAAATAACTCTGATCCAGGTGCTATAATGGTACTTTTCCAATCTCGAAGGGGTGTTTTTCACCCACTAATAGAAAAATTTTAATGTTTTTTTATAATTATTCGCCATATTTAAACTGCAAAAAATCTTTGAAAAACTATAAAAACTTTAAAAAATGGTGATTTTGTCGAAAATCGGCATTTCTGCTCGAAAAATCGATATTTTGTTTTGTCTTTTTTCATACAAACAAAACCAAAAATTTATCTCAATTCCAGTTTATCGGCCTCCCAAAAAATGTCCCTCTCAATAAACACCGTCCATCCGTCACCCTATTCACCATAAAAGGGCCATCTACACCAGGAAGCCATGTGCAGTTTGAGCTAGTGCTCAAGCGGGCGAGTCCAGGTAGAGAACGAGTTCGCTGGTTGACAGATTGTCCTATTTTTGGTTTATTATCGCCTTAAAATGCGTTTAAAGGGAGTTGCAAGCCAAAATCCATAGATTCTCTATGGATTCCTCGACAAGCAACGCGCGCGCTCCTTGCCGGCATTCTCAGCGCGTAATTTATTCAGACTCTTGACGGCGGATAAGTGACGTGTAGCGCGTCGTCGAAAAATTCTGAAAACGACTGCGCAATGCGACGCGGCGCGGCAAACAACGTGCGCGTTGCTTGTGGCTTTGCGGCAAAACCCGTAGCCAAAAATCCATAGCAGTTCCTTGCCGAACCCGTTAAAATTACCAATTTTAGAACAATTCGGCGTGATCCCGGCGGTTCGAGCTAATTTCCTACTTCAGAAAGGAGCCGAGATGAATGCAGCTGTGGTGGCAATGAGGGACAGGTAGAGAGAGAGAGAGAGAGAGAGAGAGAGAGAGAGAGAGAGAGAGAGAGAGAGAGAGACAGAGAGAGCTAGTGCGGAAAAAAGAGAGGGAGGGAGTGAGCGAGAGAGCGAGAGAGACTATAGACGACCATCCATGTATTTCAGTCTGGATGGCCCTCAATTGGTGGAGCTTGAGCTGATGTTGAGGCTGACGAAGGGCGGCCATTTTGCGGGAAAATACCTCGCAAATCTCATCATTCATATTAGTCCCCATGAAAAGAGGCGGAATCACCCGATGCCGTAAAAGTATTGTAGAAAAACGGACTTTTCAACACTTTGATGGTACTTCGAACCCAAAATTTGCTTCAAACCGCTCGTAAAATTCCAAAACATTGAATTTACTCCCAGTTTCGGTTATTAGATTTTTTCTGGCTACCGTAATCTTCAAATCTCGATTTTTCAGCCTTCCTAGTCCTTTTAGAATTTTTAGATTAATTTTCTGTGTGCCGTAGATGTTGAAAATGCCTGTATTTTATGTGTTTTCCGTTTTTTTTGGTGCATGCATAATAATTTGCCCTCGAATCGAAGGAATTCGACGCAAATAACAGTGTGGCTGTGATTCCCAATAAACTTATCTAACCACACTAATCAACTAATCACGAAAATGCATCCATAAAAATGGACCGCTTAGAATATTCATTGTGTAAAATTAGAAGAAACTGATATTTCCTCAAAAATTAATAGAAAATCAATATTTTTCGATGGAATTAGCAAGCTGTCAGGTTCCGTTTACGTTTTCCGTTTCAGCCACGTGGAGGATGGCTGGTCGTGCTTGAAGGCCTGTCGAGAAGATGATGGAGGATGTCTATCTAATCATACAAAAGAACTACTCTATCAATTCAGATCTGTTCCCTCGTTTCAGACGTTGACACAACCTGTTGAGGTATCGTAATTTGGCTTATAAAATACAGTACTGCCTTCCTCTGGCTCTCTTTTTTCGAGCTCCACTTGCTCCTTTTAAGGCTTTTTACCGGGTTTTCATGATTGTGAAATGCAAAAGGCCTACCATTGTCGCTAAACTGGCATCCAAACCATATAAAAAATCGGGGTTAGCGGGCGTAGCCCGCTAACCCCTTTTGGTTTGAGGTACCCCCCCATACGACTCTTTTGGGGTCCTTTTCCGGATTTAAAAATAGGTTTTTATGTAATCTGCCATCCAGATTCGCTAAATTCAACGAAAAATCGGTAAAATTACCAGGTTTTTCAACCTTCCGGAGGCTTTGATATATCTGTAAAAAGTAGTGTAACAGACTACTAAAATCCAGCTTTTCAGATCTCCCGAATCCGTGCCCAACTTGGCGTGCCATTCAGTGTCGAATATCGAGTCGACCCCTCTAATTCGGCACATTTTATTGTCGATCAGGAGAGGAATATTGGTAATTTTTGGTTTTTACGGGGATTTGACGGTATTGACGGATTCCAAATTCCACAGCTGTCATGCTCGCTTTAAAGGGACTTGCAAGGCTTAAATTCGCCAGAAAAGCCTAGTGAAGGATTCACAATGAAAAGTCGGATTACATCGCGCGGTGCGGAAAAAAATAAAAAAAAGCCGTGAATTGCCAATCCCTTTAAAGAGGGTGTGACAGCTAGGACAATCTAAAATTTTCTACTTTCATGCTCCCTTTAAAACCACCTTATTTCAGGAATCGTCAAGCTGGCCGCCCCTCTTCGTGGCCCTCGCCAAGAGACAGTTCGTATCGAAATGTTGACGAGATCTCGGACCGGAGTGTTACTCAATTTGAATTATGCATTAATAGAGGTCTATATCTCAAGGCATTCATTTTAATGGAGCGAGTGAGATAGAGAAGCAGAAAAAAGAGTCAAAGAGAGCTTATCAATTTTCTATTCATTTCACTTTATCCTTTATTTTTGTGCCTTTGTGGCCTACAATCCGCAGAAATGTGACCAATCGCCTTCCCGATCCCGTTCAAGTGCCAACTGGCAGTCAGAAAATTTATATAACGCTAAAAAGTATCGATAATAACCTGTAAAAACAATAATACTAATTTCTGTTATTTTGTCATTATAATGCTTTCGTTGCAATTTTTGCCCCACTGTCCTTGTGATATTTCTCCTGCTTCATCTTCTTCTTGCTATATATATTTTCGTGCAGAAGATAAACATTTCGTCTTTATGTCTGTCCACTTCAAATGTCACAACACTTCCAAGGAGGGGGACAATCACTTAACTAAAGTGGCCCCCCAAGGGAAAGGGCCGACTTCCCAATTTATCGATCCAATCAAATAAGGGGTCCAGAAATATATCTGCGGTTTAACAAAATTTACTGATTCGGTGTCACTGTCCCTTTAAAAACCCAGACAATTCGGTAAAGCCAGCCGGAAAACTACGGTACGCAGCGTAGCTTCCAAAAAACGAAAAGAAAAATTGGTATTTTCGTTTCCACATTGTGACGGTATGAAAAACAAGGATTCGTGCTTCTTTCTGATTGCCCCCATTTTTTCCATCGGGGTGGAACCATGTGAAATTTTCACCGACAAGTATTCAGACTTGCGATAAATAGCCTTAAACCACTCGCCAAACTACTAACACACAAACCGCTAATTTTTGTTAGTTGTTTTTTTCGCGCTGCTAATGCCTTCTGAACTAAACTCATGATTTTTGGCTAGACTGGCAGCCCAGAAAGCCTATTCTAGTCCAAACCGCAAAAAATTTTGAAAATTTTGAAGCCGCGGTTTTGGCCGATTGGCACTTGGGGTATCGAGAGCACCGTTTGCCTTCCGAGTGTCTAAAAATTGAATTTCCCGATTTTTCGCTAAACTCACGTCCAATCAACAGAAATCAACAAAAAATGTCTTGCAAACGTCTTTGTAAATTTTCTAACCACATGTTCTCGTGTGTTGACACTGCCGAGAAGAAGAGGTCCAACTCTCCCTTCTCCTCCTTTCTGATCCCGAGATGGGGTGCCACAAATTGCGAGAGTTGGGGGGGCTGGTTGGTTGGTGCTCCCCGCTCTTTTTATGTCTCTCCATTTCTCTTTCCCTTTAGAGAGGAGGAAGAAAGTGTGTGTGGATAGAGGAGAGAGAGCAGAGAAAGGGGGCGTGGCCTGGCCTCTCCCCCTTTCCCCCACTCTCTCTCTCGCCCTCCCCCCTCCCCTCCACCCGATGTTTCCATTCCATTCCTCCTTCCCTTCCCCTTGTAATCTTTTGGCCCCCTTTTCCTTTGCCTCAGTTTTTGAACTGAACCCCCTTCTCGTCGGTTTCTTTTTAAACACAACAAGAAGAAGCCCTCCTCCTCCTTCCACTTCTAGCCGCCCTCCCCAACTGACGCTCCTCCTTTTTCGGCCTCAATTCTTGGCATTCCGGGCCTAGTGGAATATTTTATGGGCTAAACACCATAAGGTTTTGTAAACTGGCAGGCAAGCTATAATTTAATATAGTTTCCGAGTAACCTGACGATAATTTGCGTTCGCTAAAACCCCTTGAAGCAAAAAAATTCGTGTTTGGGCATCTATGGACTTCTTGAAAATTTTTATCAGCTAAAAATTGTTAAAAACATCTGTGTTTCGCTAAAATAGCATCCAAACTATAAATTAATGTATTTTTCAAGTCACCTGCTAGCCAGCAACGCAAAATAAACTGAAAATGGGCGAACAATCGAGATTTTACGTGCTGGAGCCTTTGGCCCTGATTTCTTCCAACTAAATCGCTTATGAATTTATTTTTAGTCATATTTTCCGTTAAACTGAATGCCAAAAGCCGTATTCCTATCGTAATCGATTGCCCCAAATTGTTTGCACAGCGTCATTTCCCCCGGAGTGTCTCGTTCACATCGGTCACAACCCGTGCTTTTTCTTTTGTTTGCGCACAATTTTCCTGGGAAACCCGATAGTTTTAGGTATTGATTTTTGTAAACTGGCAGGTATTTCGAATTTTGAACGCCAAGAAAAATCAAATTGGCCATTTTTGGCGAAGTTTACAGCAATTTTGCGATTTTCCAGTTTTGCGTTGACTATTTCGATGTTTAACTCAGAATTTCAGCGGGTATCGATCTGACGATTGAATGGATCGATTATTATGGTTATTGGGTGTCTATTTGACGGTCAATATCCCTTCAATATCACTAGCAGCCGATGAGACATTATCATCACACACCATATGCCCGAAAGTGCCCGGGCATCATCAGGTCCGTTTTTCGGGTTTTATTCCATAGTGTGTTGGCCAAATTGTCTACCTTGTCTGTTTTTATATTTGTCGATTTGACTGTCGACTTACGTAAAGATCGTTCGAAAATAATTTTCTCAAAAACACCTTTTTCTGGAAAAAAAACATGATTTTTTCGGCGTTTTCTAGTATTTTTGCCTTCAATCCGGTTGTTTGTCTGTCGAACTGTCTGTCTGTCTGTATATTTGTCTGTCCTCTCAGCTCTCTTAAAATCCCGAAATATGACACCAAATTCCATGATTTCTTCTGCTCGTGGGGGTGCCGCCGTGGGAACAGCTGACCTCGCATCTTTTGGCTGTTTTGGCGATGGGGATCTCTAAAAATTGCGTTTAAAAAGGTGTCACAGAAATTATTTTAAAGGGGTCGTGACAGCTGGAAAATTCACATTTTCGAAACGGCAGAAATTTTTCAAATGCGAAGCATGCCTAAAATCGCGACAGCAGTCCAAGGAAATAGAAATTTTGGTATTTTTCGCCAATTTCTTGATAAAACGCTAAAATTTTCCAATTTTGAGCTTGTTTCTGAAATCCTGACTAAATTTTACATAGCTTCCATTTTTTGATTGTCAAAACTGGCCCAAAATCCGCGAATTTCGGGTGACGATACAAAAATTCGAACCCACGGCCTTCCCGCGCTTTGTGCGTAAAGAGGCCTCGCGCGTACAGGGTCCGTTTTTGAGCGTAGCTCAATTCTGGGGATTTTTAGTCCCTTTTAATCATCTAGTGTTATTTTTAAGATTTCTATTTTCAGAAAACCTGCCCCGACTTTAAAGATTTCGACAACCAATCCTATTGCTGCCCGTCGAATCTACAGGTGTGGTACTTCATCTTTTTATAAGTTTTTGGCCATTTTTTAGTCTCGCGGTTATTTCTGCTGTACCCTGAATCAAGTAGAGGAGTTCAAGGCGCAGGCACGGTCGAAGGAATGGCAACAGTTCTTCTCAAAGTCGGTTTTTTCGGGATTTTTGACGTTTTGGCGTATTGAATTTTTTCATCTTATTTGGCTTCACCGAGTCTCTAAGCCGGTCGCCTTTCTCTCGCCGTAATTTTCATTGACAGACAGTTTGGTAATTGGGCTCGATTTCTGAAGTTTACCAGAAAGTTTCGATTATGATATGTTCTTTACGACCTGAACCACCATGATGGGTCGCAATTCTGTATTTTTACTTTCTGACTTGCCTAGCCTTGTAAAACCCACAGTTTGATTGGTATGGTCCGTATTTACTGAAATTTTGTTAGTTTAGACCTACAAATATTTTGTTTCCGATTTCGAATTTCCCTATTCACAAACGATCGATACTGCTCCAATCTGTCGGCCAACTCGCGCATTTCCCATTCCATTGTCGCCCTCCTCGCCTTAACCTTTGAAATATAGAGGACAAACCGTCGGTTCAGGCGTTATGATTTCAACTGTCTGACAGTTTGGCGTTAGGTGGGTTCGATTTTCGATTTCAAAATCGGATAGCCAAAAAATCAATCGATATCCCTTCTATCTGGCGTACAACTCGCCGATTTCTCAATCCATTGTCACCCTCCTCGCCCTAGCCTTTGAAATAGATTGATGTTGGCTGTGAGCCTCGTCGCTGGCTGCTGGCTGTTTGGTGGTGCGTGGAAATGCAATATTTGTTTTTTTGCTTGGATGGCCTCGTCCCTTCTGGCCCCCTGCCTGGCTCTGATTCCCCCTCGCTTCCGTCCCTCCTCCCCCTCCTTCCCTTTTTTGTGGCCTAAGGCTGTATATATGTGGCTGGGGGTTGAGTGAGATTTCCTTCCTAATTGCCCCCACACATGCAAGACACCCCCACAAAACGACGACTGCCAGTAGTCAGTAGGAAAGTAGCGCTGATTTTTTTGTGGCAAATTCCCAGGCAACGACTGTTTTGGGGATTGTGAGACTTGGAAAATATTTACTGGCGTACAATTTGGAGACTTGTGCATTAACGGGGGCCTAGAAAACTAAAAAAATATCAAACGGATGAAAAATTTGAATTTTTGACATTTGACCGATTTGAAATTTTCATTTTGGGGCTCAAAAGAGCGTCACCCACAGTTACAAATTTAAATTTTAGTACATTGATTCGGGAGTAAAGCGTAAAAAAATTGCTCCCCCTGCGATCGAACCAGACCGGATCTTTTTTGAGAATTCCCAGAAACCGAATTTTTTTGAGTTTTGACGCTCGCCTCTTCTGGCCTACAATCCTGAATTCCCAGGGTAAAACCACCCCAAAATGTCTTTCCCAGCCCAACTGTACGCGGATGGAGCTGTTGACGGAATTGTCATGGAAATTCTGGTATTTTCGGTTTGATTGTGCAAAAAAGTCGATTTTTTTCCCCCGAACCAAAACTCAATCCAAAATTTCCAGAAACGATCCAAAAACGTCTTGCCCAACCCAGCTGGATGCCAGTATACCCGTCAGCGGTGTCATCGAAAATCTGTAAAGATTTTTCGACATTTTTCCAAAAAATCAATTCCTTCACGAACCGAAACTCAATCCGGAATTCCCAGGGTAAAACCATCCGTAAACGTATTTCCCAACCCAGCTGGATGACTGTACCTCGGCGAGGGTTTGGGTTGTGTGTGGGCGGGTCAAGGCCATCCAATGAATCTGAAAAGTGAGCCCCAATTCGTGAGGGTGACGCGGCAGAGACCATTTGGGAATGAAGGAGAGGGGAGGAGGTGATCTGGGCCCCCATCAATGGGCCCAGTTAAGGCGAATGGGGTCCCTCAAGTGAAAAGAGAGAGAGAGAGAGAGAGAGAGAGAGAGAGAGAGGGAGAGAAGCCTTACAACTTGCCCTGCCAATCCCTCATCCCTCCAGGTAGGCTGGCGAAAAGGGGGACCAGCTGACCGCAACACACATCACCCGGAAAGCATGGAAATAGCCATAGGCTATAGCTGAAAAAAGTCAGCTAAAGGAACGAGCAAGGCAAGGATTTCTAAAGGTTTTGTCGCACCCGCGACACGCAACGCACGGGTCAATGGAAATGCATGCCTGCGCGTTACCTGCCCAAGAAAATGGGTAAAAGTGGCGGATAAGTAGAATAACCGCCTAATCGCTTACCCAATGGAACTTCCAGCTTGCGCGCCGCATGTCGCGGCTGGCACAATCCGCGGAGAGCGACACGCAACGCACAGCAAACATAATCGCCGTAAAGGGTTGTCATCCTTACGCAATGTAATTTCAAGTACGCAACGGGTTGGGTGTCACGTGTGCGGCAATTCGTAGGACGGCTTTTCGGCATCCGCGACACGCGACGCGTTTAATCGGGTGCGAGCCATAAAAACTTCGTAATCGCTTACGCAACAGTGTCTAACGGGCGCAGGCGTTGCGTGTCGCGCGGAAAAGTTCCAGGAAAGCAGTTGGCGCCCGGCGACACGCAACGCGACGTCCGCCTTTTTATCGCGGATCGATTTCGGTCTCTTCGCGGTAGCTATGCCGCGTGTGCGTTGCGTGTATCCCTCGTTGGCAAAATCACTTGAAAGTGGCCAAACTGGGCTTCATAGATGCCGATACCTTCAACGATTCATACCCCAGAGACCGAGAAGCCGATGCATTAGCAGATTGGAGGGGAGGCAGGTGAAAAGAGAGGGACCCACGGCCACGGAGGGCATTAATAGTCAAAGAGGGTAGTCGTATGGAGGGATAGTGGACCGGAAGAGGGGGATTGTAGCGGAATATTGGATGTCGAACAAAGAAGTATCAAAGCTGGAGAGAGAGAGAGAGGGAGGGAGAGAGATACTTTCAATGGCCTCACTCCCTTCCATCCATCCATTCATCGCCTCCCCTTTTTGGCCTTTCTGATATGCGTAACGGCCCCCACGCGCGTCTCACCCACCCTCAATAGCGAGGCGTATTTTGACTAGGCGAGGGTGTGAAAAGCTTTTCTAGATGCCAGAAAGCTAGAAAAGTGGATAAAATTTATACTGACCGCCAGGGCATTTAAACAGGCTCTTAATTTGAATTTTTAAGGAGTTTTTTACCTATTTTTCGACTTAATGAGGCTGAAAAAGCTCTTTTGGATGCCACAAAACCTAAAAAATTGGATATAGAGTTAAAAAACTGACCGCTAGGGAATTTAAACTTCCATTCAACGCGCCTTTCGCCACCAGAAGCCTTTTTTTCAAAAGAACGCGTTAGCTGCTCGTTAGCCCATTTTTTGCACTTTTCCCTGCCAGAAAAGCCAGTAAAATTTTCTATTTTTTACGAGGAAAACGGAGACATTTCCAGTGGGGGGGTTGTACTAACCCAAGAAAAAGCAATAAGCCGCACGTTTTATGGCTCGTTAGAGGGGGAGGGCGGGTGGGTGGTGGCCAATTTTACGGCCGGCCAGCAGTCCTCGAGTTTTTCTGGGGGAAAGTTGGGGAATTGGGTAACTAGCTGCCTTGAAAAAGTAAAATTGGCTGATCTGTCGCACAGTCAATAGGAAACATTAATCAAAAAATAACGAGATCGATAAATAACACTTTATCTTTTTAATCGGCTTTCTGACTGCCAGGCAACAGTTACTATACCTTAAAAAAAAATTCTCAAAAACGCTGCAAATATTTAAATTGAGAATGTGGCACCTTTTTCGTTTTCCGGCCTGTCAGATCACAGTTTTTATACTTCAAAATCTCATAAAAAACCTCTAAGAAATTAAGCTGCCCCTTTTGGGGGAATTCTGATTGGCCCCGGCTGACTGAACGCTTTATAGGGTTTGAGAAATTCTCAACAAAAATTTCGGACAAAATTTAATTTCAAAATTTTTAAGATTTTGCAACTTTCTGTCAGCCAGATTCCATTTTGAACGGGGAATTAGGCTTCCAACTCTTTCTCTCGCTCTCTGTTACGAATGTTTATAGTAGCGTCTCGGGCTTTTCTTATTCTTTTTGGTCGTCTCCAGTACTGGCCGGTGTGGCCGAAAATGGGGGGAAATTGTGTGAGGAGCGGAGAAGGAAAGACACGGCTCACTGAACACCACACATTTTGGGCCACAAGGGGAGGGCCAAAAGGGCCAAAAGGGGGCCCAGAAATGCCCTCACTCAGGGCACATTTAGACGGCATAGAGGGCCCCACCAATTGTTCTCAACTGATCGACTGCGTAATGCGTGCGGAGCGCAAGGAAATGGGTCCAGCGCTTTTAGGTCCAAAAATCGTTACGAGGTATTTTTTGTCGAAAAAGTCCTGGAAAACCGGGTGCCGCGGTCCCTTTAAAAATGCCATGCTAAATACAGCATGACAAAATATTATAAAAAATGCAATCTGGCATACTGTAAGCCGATTCGCAACCGTTTTATTCGATTTTTGGCGGATAAGAAAATTCACCCGGGTAAGGATTTTGCCTTCCGGGTTCCTTTAAAATCCTAGACTGGCCACGGCGTTGCGAAATACCAAAAACAGTAAATTGCCATACAGTAAGACGATAAAACACATTATTATTCGTTTTTTCGCAACTTTCAAAATTTGCTGAATTCCCAACAATTCAGCAAAGATATGGATTTTGCCTTCAAGGTCCCTTTAAACCGTGATTACGGTAGGATATACAATACCCTTGTGGCCGCATCGATCTCTAGCCCCTTCTTGTTCCTCGTGGCTTCTGTTGGACATTCGTGAAAAGAAGGAAAGAAGGGCGGGATAGCCGCTAATAACATTTCCTCCGCTCTCTCTTTTTCTCTCTTTTCGACCATCTGAGTGACTGGCTACATACCTGTTGCCTTGCCTTTTAGCTTTCATAGGCAGAGTAGAAGGGGGTCAAAATCGTCGTATTGTTCCAACCGGCATCCAACTGAACTTTTAGCGTTAAAAAATTTCAAAAATCTCACATTTTTGAGGGTTGAGTTTTTCAGAGGAGAGAATGGGGGTCAGTAAAAGAGTCTAAACAGTTTTCGTAGTGTTTTCTATGTAGTTTGTAGTTTTACTGGCAATAACTCATCAAACCGGGCTACAATTGAGATTTTGAAATGACAGGCCCTAAAAATAGCGTATCTTTCAGGATTGAGTTTTCGCAGGTGATGCGTTGGGGAGCAGTTAGAGAGTTCAGACAGTTTTCTTGGAATTTTTATGTGGTCTGTATCTTCACTGGCAGCCAGACTGCAATTTGGAAAACTCACTTCCAGAAAAGGTCTTAAATCCGACCAAATTCACACTTTCCAGCCGGCCCAATCAGGCGCCTTTTTTGGCGGTTTCCCACCCTCCACCGCGTCAGGGCCATTTTGTGTGTGGCTATCAGTGTGGTCGAGTTGGGCCCCAGGACAGCTTTAGCCCCTGGTCTGGGCCCTCCCTTGGCCCCTGTCCCTTAATGGGGGGTCGCACAGCACAGCCTGGAAGGAAGCGAGAGTGAGAGAGAGAGAGAGAGTGAGAGAGAGAGAGACCAATCCAATTCGAGGTTCCCTGCCATCGCTTTAGAGGGCCTGATGGACAGACAGACAATCAGCAAGGGATGTGAGAACAATTGAACCGTATCGGGTGGAGGCCAGAATGAAGCCTCGCGGCGAAAGATTCATTCCATCTCGTTTTTCAGGGATTGGCAAGTAAAAAAGGCTCAGAAGGAAAGGTTTTTCGTTTCGTCGGTGCTTCTTCAGCTTTCAGTTTGTCTATCAAAGGCGTTGGTAACCCTGTTTTCCACCCGAAGTGTCGACAATCCTCCTTTGCTCCTCGTTCTGCTGCCTGAAATGTAGCCCCGGGGGGTATATCCAGCGAGGAAAGGGCCGTTTCGCGTGTCGCTTTTCGCTTTTTGTCGCTCAGAAAATAGTAGCTGGAGCGAGAGAGAGAGAGGGAGAGAGAGAGGGAGAGAGATAGAGAGAGAGAGAGAGAGAGAGAGAGAGAGAGAGAGAAAGGAAAGGGTTATTTCCTGACAGAATGGCCCCGAGCCCGAAACGAGACCTACCACAATTCGACCGCGAGAGAGAGACAGAGAGACCCCAGAATGGCCAGAAAAAGCGCCCCTCACTTTTTAATTAATGTACCGTAGTCAGCTGGTGGGGCCCCATTTCGGCGAGTTCAACTAGGACAAGGGGTAGATTGACTGGCAGGTGGTATGAAAATTCAAGAAAACCGAAAGAAGGTACTTGTACATTAGCGTGATGGAAGCAACTTTTTCCGTAGGATGCTATTGTTCTTAAGAACGGGAAAGATTTCTAAACCGTTATTGAAATTCTTAAACGTAAAAACTTTAGAATTTTGTGAAAAATGCAAATCTCGCCTAATCCGTCCCCCCCCCCGATAATGCAAACGAACCCTGAAAATTAAACCAAAAACCAAAATATACCTTGCCTGGGCAGCTTACACGATTCCGAAAAACTTGCGCCATTTTAAAGGGTCAGTGACAGGAGAGCCTTTTCTCTGTCCCCATTGCCATGCAGTTCAGCGATTATGTGAGTCAACAAGGGCTCGTTGCCCCCCCCGCTATTTTGCATCCGATTTAATTCAGCTTCTGCTGCCAGTTATGACCCCAAACCGAGGCATAGAGGGGTGGTGAAGCCTTTTCCGGAATAGCTGTTTGGGGGGCAGAGGGGCTCCCACCCCCCCCGCCCGAGTCTCCCCGAACACCCCAAAAAAACAACTTTAGGTGGCTGCCGGATGGCCATAGGCGGCAAGTCTGGCTTCTCCGCCACCCCAGCCACTCACTACTCATCTTTACGGGGGGTGGGATGAAAAATACCATGGGTGTAAGGGTCGGAATTTTTGGTGGATGAACGAAATGGCGTGCAAATTAGCTCCCATCAATGCGCAGATACCTCAAAATCTACAAATTTTAATTTAAATCCATAAACTGGCAGCCAGAAAACCTCCCATTAATGCGTGGATACTTGAAAATCGCCAAATTCCATTTGGAATCGATGAACTGGCATCCAATTTACCGTTCAAAGCGTTTGAAAGGCGCCAAAAAGCAATGCTATGGATTTCCGGTACTTTTGCGCTTTCGGGGGGCTTTTGCGTCGCTGCACGGAAAAATCCGTAGCAAATTTATACACAAAAAATCGATAGTTTTACCCTGCCGACCCCTTTAAGACGTTTTTTATCTATGCTGCCTCCCATTAATGCGTTTTTCATGCCCGGGGAGTGATGTAGATCGTTGGTTGCCCCCAGCTACCTAGGGAGTAGCGTACATAGTCGTAATATGTTCTACACCGCCGAGAACACGGGGCAGCCGAAAGACATTTGTCGCGTGGGGGACAACTGCCTCGTTTGAATGACAGACAGACAGACAGATAGAGAGCATATCCCATTGCAAATCAAAATCCCTCTAGATCTTACCAGACATTTGACACGGCAAATCTCACATTTCACGGGGCCCATCAAAGCCGCGCGCGATCCGGCGTTTTGGGTCTCGAGTGGTTGGAAAATTTGCTGATGATACACTATGGCCGCCAGTGAAAGCGACGGTGAAGTCGATCGTTAAAATATCGATGATTTATGTACGCATTAATGTTAGCTCTGAAACCCCGGTTTTCCGGATCTGAAATTCCCCGCAAATTTTGCCAATTTTAATTTCAGGTTTTATCGCTTCAGCACCACGCCGCAATTTGCATAATTTAAGTTTACTGGCTTGCCATATGGCTGTTTCTCTGTAGCCCGAGGTCCTAAACCCCGATTTCGAAATTTTCCAATTGTTAGTCTTCCTTTTATGGCTCTAATAAAATCCTTTAGAGCCCGATTTGCATAATTGAATTTCTTCCGGCCTAAAATCTGTTGATGTGTGGGGGAGTAGAGCTGAAGCTAAAAGCCGGGATGGCTTTAACCTGGGTCGTGGGAGACTCCTCTTGCTCCCCTCCCCCCCCCCCTCCACTTTGCCCCGATTCAATTCAGATTGGCCATTCTGCTATGTGGTGGGCTATTCGATGGGAATGGCCATAGACATACACAACCACGCATTTAGCGCGCGAATGGGGGGAATATGGCAAAAATTTGCAAAAATCGGGTTTTTTACATAAAAATAGCATTTGAAAGCGCCAAACTGCCAGTCAATCAACCATTTAAATTATAAAAATTACGAAAGCGAAAGTGAAAAGTTAAATTGATGCTCAATAAAGCTATTTTGGGCCATCAATTCGCCTCTCGGCCCACAGAAATCCAAAAAACGTTTTAAAGTTTTTTAAATTAAATATGGAGACCAAAAATGTTAAACTGTCTGTCAATAAAGCTTTTAAAACGGTAGCCTCAAAAAAATAATACACTTAGATTTAAATTGATAACGAATCAAGCCATTTTTGGTGAAATTCGCCTCCAGGTGATCAAAAACGTTAAAATTCCGAGAAACCCAAATTTTAGCTATGGCGTCTTGAAATGCTAAACTGTCGCTCAATAGACACATTTAAGTTGATAAAATTACAAAAATTTCGCTGGAAAATTTGAGTTAACCAGAAATTTAGCGATTTCTCACTTAACCGACTTCAAAAATTCAAATCAACTAAAAAATCCCGTTTTTAATCGAATTTAATCGATTTTTTGCAGTTACCTGACGGTGCTGATCCTCGGCAGCGTGCTGGGCGTGTGTCTCTCAATATTTGCCACATCCCTCCTCTGCAAGAAGCTCCGCATCTGTCCACTTTACCACGATCCAGCGGGTAGGTAAATTGCCATTTTTGTGTTTCTAATCGGCATACTGTCACCCAATCCATCGATTTTAGTGGCTGTAAATACACTGGCAACTTCCGGGTCGATGTATCGACCCGTCGACACGATACCTCCGACAAAAATCTATGAAGGTATGAATTTTTGGGGTTTATGCTCGAAACTGTCCGAAAAAAAAGGTCAAAAATAGCTTTAAAACGTTAGGTATACGCTAACTGACAGGCAGGCCAGCAGAGCACGCTGTGGAAATTTGCAAAATAAGCCTAAAGCCTTATAAAATTGCGCTAAAAGATGCGGAAATACCGATTTTTGGTCTAAAACCGCTAAAACATGGTAATAAATTGCTGAGAAGGCCCATGACATGCTAACTGGCAGTCAGGCTAGCAGAGGCCATTGAGGAAATTTAGGAAATTCGCTAAAATACAAAAAATCACAATTGCAGCCCCACCGCCGTACGATGCGGCATTCTCGGACCGAAGTCAAAACGACTGGAATTGTTTGGTGGAGAATGAGGTACGGGCTACAGACTACAGAATACAAGAATTCGAAGCGATTTCAGATCAATGGCGATCGACGGATACCCCCACCAACTGTTCCCGGAATCGATCCATAAATGCGGGAAAATCGATTTTCTCGGCGCCTCCCCTTCCATCTGTGATTTTCTCCTTTCCAATCGATTTTTACCATTTTTCTCTCCAGTCTACAGTTTTTAAAGGGCCAGTGAAGTCACCAGAAATACGGTAAAATTTTTATAATGCTTCAAAGTATTTTTAAAGGGATTTGGAAGGCAATACACTAGTTTTTCAGTCATTTTTGGGCTTAAAATTGGCATAGGAAATTCATTTGTCATCAGTTTTCTTGAACATTTTAACAATACCTAAACTGGCATCCGATCTCTTGAAAACCGCTTTCAAATAATTTTTCCAATAAATTTTGCCTTCCAAATCCCTTTAAAACGTATTTTCATTGCCTAATTTGCATAATTTGTACACAGCGAAGAACCAATCGAACGATTGATTGCTTTTTTCTATTTTTGTGTGGATTTTCAGATTCTCCAGATACGGGTATCCTCTTTCGATTTTCTTCTCTTTTTTCTCTCTAAATGGTGCCCCAGCTACCGTACTCTACCGTATCCGCCCCTATCCCCTTCTGAAATTGCCTTTCTGCCTTGCTGCCAGTCAAGAAATATGATATGATACTTCCAATGATCAGCTTCAAATTATATATATTTTTAATAAATTGCTATAAATACGTGAAAAATGCAATAAAAAGTGTTGCGTTTTAAAGGGACCGGCAAAGCATGGCTAGCCATGGATTTTTCCCTTGAATTTTGCCGCGCCACAAAACGCCACACGGACTCCACGCTTTTGCCCAATTTTCCTGCCGTAGACGATTACGCAACGGAAAAGTAGTCCGTGCGCGTCGCGTCGCTTTTGAAAATCCAGAGGAAATCCATAGCCCAAAAAATCAAGATTGGCTTACACGGGCCTTTAAAGGTGCAGTGACAGTTCGGAAAATTGCGTTTTAAGGGGAACAGCAAGTCCTCTGAGGAACCCATAAAAGTGCCGTAATCGATTACGTAATGGAGAACCGGGTGATCCATAGCAAAAAAATCATTTATCTGACTTGCTCGGCCCTTTAAAGGAACAGTGGCTTTTCAGCAACTCGACAGTCTGTCTCTGAGTCTGTCTGAGTTTCTATGCCTGTCGCTCTCTTTCTCCCTCTTTCTCTCTCACTCTCGCTCTCTCTCTTTCTTTCTTTCTCTCGCTCTCTCTCGCTCTCTCTCTCTCTCTCTCTCTCTCTCTCTCTCGCTCTCTCTCGCTTCGTAGTATCCCTTTCAGTCCCCTTCCATGCATTTCTCAGGCGATCGTTGTGGAAGGGGGCCCATTTTGGCCCCTATGTCTTTCTGTCTCTCTCTCTCGATATTGCAGTGTGGAATGGAATGTCCCGGTTTTGGCTCCGGAAATCGTTTTTCTGGCTGTCAGAAAAGGAAATTTGCGTATAAAAACTAAAACTTACGTCTACTGGCTGCCAGTTTAGTGTTTGAAATGCCGTATGCCACCCAAAATTTGCCAAAATAGTTTTTGGAAACGTTTGTGGGGTGGCAGATGACAAATGGAGGGAAGAGATGTGATTCCCCAGGGATATAGCCTCCAGCAATCTTTTAAAATGACGAGAGAGAGACAGATAGAAAGAGAGAGAGAGAGAGAGAGAGAGAGAAGAGAAGAAGAGAGAGGGAGAGGGAGAGACCGACATGGCTACCCATTTTTGGAAAAGCCTCGGTGAAATCCGGGGACGAAATTCCCTGGGGATTGACACTCCGCGAGAAGGGCCACAGAAGGGAATTCATTTCGGCACCCCCACCAACGCAACCAGCCTGGGCACTTTAGCTCCCAAAAAAGCTGCCAGATTGGCTTTGCCAGGGGGGAAGTTTGGAAAAAGTGTTTCAGGGAATTAAAGGGACTGGCAAGACAGGCTATGGATATTCGATTACGACACCAAATTGCGGTGATCATTGCCATTAGAAGGAGCTCGGGAAAAACGAACTAACTGACCTACATTACGACTTTTTGGAATGTTGAAAAGGAAAAGATCTATTCAAAATCGGGTTTTCTAACCCTGAAAACTAGAAACTCCGTTCGAAAATTCGAGAGACACCAAAAATAGCCCTGAAAAGAGAGCAAATGTGCCGACTGTCATCCATTAAACCCATCCAAATGATCAGTGTTCTTTAGAAATGCCCGGGCCTTCCGATTGATGAGTGGGAGAGAGAGAGGGTGAGAGAGAGAGAAAGAGAGAGAGAGAGAGAGAGAGATAACGACACGTGAACGGCCCGTGTCTAATCTATTCTCACAGAGATCATCCTTATCTGGCATCGCTCTCTCTCTCTCTCTCTCTCTCTCTCTCTCTCTTTCTCGTCTCTCTCTTCCCTCTAGTGGGCGTTGTGTATTGAGTCGAGAAAAGGCAAGAAAACAGTCCCTTCCATTTTTCCGATCCCCGGCCTCTATTCCTGTATTGTTGACTGGTTTTTCTCGAAACGAACCATGGCGTGAGTCTAGTTTTTGGTCTCTTTGCATGGCAGATAGATGAATAAACTATTCAAAACTAGAATTCCTTCCTTTAAAGGGCCGTTGAAGTCGAGAATTTCATGGATTTTCGCTAAATTTTTGGAAAAATCACTATTTTCTAAATTTTTTACTTAAATGGTCTTCTAAAAGTAGCTTAAAAATACTAACTGACTGTCAGTTAATAATAATGTATACAGAAACAAGGATATATGATTTTTGAAGGGCCACTGAAGCCCGAAATTCTATGGATTTTCGCGAAAATGTGTCCGAATCGTTGATTCCAATTTTTTTGGCTTCCACGGTCCTTTAAAAGTCTTTAAAAAATAAAGTGACAGCCTGTTCATACTAATATAATAATAACCTAGTTTTCAGACGCGAAAGGAAGTCCACAATTGCGTGAGTTTTTCGGCAATTTTGGGAAAGCCATGGATATCGATCGCTTTCCCGCGAACCCTATCTTTAATTTTTGGCCAATTTAGTTGATTTAGCGAGTTCGAGGTGCATGCCGTCTCTCATCTGGCCCATGTCTGCAATCTGGATATCAGACATGACGTTGCACCCGTCAGAAATACCGGCATCATTTGTACTATCGGTAATTTTATGATTTTTTTGGGACTTTTCGAACAAAAATCGACTAACTGGCTCAGAAATTAAAACTTAACAATCTAAAAACTTATTATGACTGTCAGTTTAACTTACGCGTAGCTTAAAATCCTCTCTGGACCTAAAAAATCCGCAAAAATTGTTCAAATCCCACTTTTAGGATTTTTTTAGATTTTCCATTTTTCGCGCAAAAATCCATGAATTGACCAACGAATTGCGTTTTTAGCCATTCAGAAACTGATAATGGCTGTCAGTTTAGATCATAGTCGGTTTAAAACATTATCTGTAAGACAGAAACCGCTAAAAATTCAAACTCTCAGGACCGGCATGTGGTACCGTGGAGAAACTGCGCGAGTTGATGAAGAATGGGATGAATATTGCCCGGCTCAACTTTTCGCATGGATCTCATGAGGTAAATTTAAATCAAGAATTATTTAAGCTATATTTTAACTAAAAACGATAAAATAAATAAAAAATCGATTTTCAGTCGCACGCCGAGACAATCCGCCTTGTCCGCGAGGCTGCCAATTCATTCGACCCGCCGATGGTGGTAAGGGATTGTTCGAAAAATTGTGATAATTAAAGGGCGATTGAAGGCTGATGAAATGGTCGGCAATACGGTATTCTCACTGGCAGTTAGATAGAAAATAGAAGAGGAGAAGAAGATAGAAAAAAATAGCAAATTTAAAAAATCTGAAAAAATAGAAAAACGCGGGTGTATAGCACTCTCGAAATTTATAAAAAATCCAGCGCATAGTTTTCAACTTCAAAAATCAAAATTAATGGCACAGAAATGTGGTAGATTCAATAGTTTTTGAAAATCTAATAAAAAACATCAAAAATGTTAAATATTCCAGATCGCCATCGCCCTGGACACGAAGGGACCTGAGATTCGTACCGGAATGCTGCAGGCTGTCAGTTTTTGAACAGACTTTTTTTGTTAATGGCGGCGTGAAGGAACGCTAAAAAGATATCTCTAAATTTGCTGCCAAAAAGTTTTAAAACTGTTTTTAACGGGTCAATTTTCAGGGTACCCGTGCCGAAGTGGAGCTGATCACCGGCCATTCAATTCGTCTGACAACGGAACAACATTTCGAGAATTCGGGCACATCGACTTGTCTCTACGTGGATTATGAGAATCTACCAAATGTCGTCAAGAAGGGTACGTTTTTATAAACTTTATAAAAGTTGGAAAATTTAGAATAGATAAAATCAAAAAAAATCCAGAAAATGCTTGCCCGATAAAAATGCGAAAACTATACAGAAACGCCAAAAAAAGAGCCCATAAAAATAAACATTTTTCAGGCTCCCGAATCTACATCGATGATGGATTACTGTCGCTTATCGTCGAGGAGACAGAGGGAAAGGCCGTAGTTTGTACTGTGGAAAATGGAGGGATGCTCGGATGCAGGCTAGTTTAGAAACAGATACAGAATAGCGTAAAAATATCCCCTATTTGGGTTACTGTTGCCTAACCAAAACTTTCCCCTACTTTAGCGGATAAAATTGACGTCAGTTTGCCTAAATAAGCTTGAAAATCTTTAATTTTATTTTTTCCTATCCCGGAAAGCGGATTTTTCTAGCGTAATCGAAGTTCATAATAGAGATCACATTAAAAACAGTGAAAACAGATTTTCCTGAATGATTTGGAAAAAGGACTTTGCTATCGTAATCGATAATCTGGATAGAAATTTGTCAAAAGAAGTCGATTTTATGCCAATTTTACTTTTATTAAAACTTTAAAACGATTTAATTCAGAAAAGGAGTCAACCTCCCCGGAACGAACGTCGATCTGCCCGCCGTCACCGAAAAAGACAAGGCCGATCTGCGTTTTGGGGTTTGTAGTCTAGTGAAATTCCCGAAAATACGCATTTTTAGGTAGAACAAAATGTGGACATGGTGTTCGCTTCATTCGTTCGTGACGGGGCTGGAGTACAGGAAATTCGAGAAGTTCTCGGAGAGGAGTAAGTTGCCTTCAATGGTCCTTTAATAGGATATTTAGTGGTGCTCACATCAAGATTGTTTCCAAGATTGAGAGCGAAGAGGGTGTCCTCAATGCCGATAGTATAATCGCGTATTCCGATGGAATTATGGTCAGTTTGGCCTGATTGGATGCCAGTTTGGAGTTTTTGAAAAATAAAATTTTTGTGCATTTTTTCCAATTTAACGATGCATTTTCGGCTAAACTGCCCGCCAGAAAATGCAAAAATTTTATCTTGGGGGTTCTCTGATAAATGGAAATTTTTGTAATTGGCTGTAGTGACCACCCGTTTTTAGGCCCAAAAATTTCTCTAAGCTTTTTAGAAAATTTTTAAAGGCGTTTTTATGTAAATTGGCTGCCAAAAAGCGTGAAAATCGACTTTAGGTGGCCCGCGGAGACCTGGGAATCGAAATCCCAGCCGAGAAAGTGTTCCTCGCCCAAAAGATGTTGATCGCCAAGTGCAATGCGGCTGGAAAACCGGTGATCTGTGCCACGCAAATGTTGGAATCGATGGTGTCCAAGCCGAGGGCGACCAGGGCTGAATGTAGGATGTTTTACAGGATTTTAAAGGGCAATGCAAGGCATTGACTATTCGATTACGACGTCAAATTCTCTCTAGGGACTCCTTTTAACGCTGAACATCAAATTTTTAGCCATTACCCTTGGAATTCCACCAATTTAAATTCCAAGGTTTTCGTGGTGACGCGACCCGCATCACGCATGCTTTATATTTCCATGGCGTAATTGATTACGCCACATTTATGCGGCCCAGCGGCGTGACGTAGTGAAATCCTTTTCGATTCCGAAAGTTTTTCGTGAAAACGCGGCACGCAACGCGAAATTCACCGTATTTTTTAGGTTCCGACGTGGCAAACGCGGTGCTAGATGGTGCGGATTGTGTAATGTTGAGTGGAGAGACGGCAAAGGGACAATATCCCGTGGAGACTGTACAGATGATGCACGCTGTAAGTACCGTAATGCCTCTAAAACTCCAAAAATCAACAACATTCAGGTTATACAAACCGAAAATTAATTTTTTAGGTTTAAACTATCATAAAAACTATTTTTAGTGAATTTAAAAACAATTCGTTTTAACTTGCAAAAAAGTAAAACATTTTATTGTATATAATATTTTGCAGATCTGTAAAGAAGCAGAAAAGGCGTTCTACCACACGAAATTCTTCGAAGAGATTCTGATCGCGACGAAGAAACCGACAGATAAGACACACACAACGGCCATTGCTGCTGTACAGGCTGTTGTTAGTAGTCACGCGGATGCCATATTGCTGCTGACTACTACTGGACAGTACGTTATTTGCTATTTTAAAGCTTGATTCTCAAGAACCTAAAAAAGTTTTTTAAATATAATACAAAAAATAAAAAACTAACCTTAAAGATCATAGAAATTTTGATCTTGGAAAGCGTTTCTTTATTGGCTAAGTACGATAGAATCAGCTAGCGTAATCGATCCAGCAGAAGTGTAAGTTGCAAAATTTTGTAAAATCTATAACCCGGCTTTGATGTCTTGAAAAGTTTAGGATATTGAAAGGATCGGTTTTGGGCTTGAAAAACTTTTTTCTAGTATTTTTGGACTTTAGAAGTTGATTAAAACAATTTTGGACGGCACACTTGGCTATCATAATCTCTTACTTATTTGCGCTTAATTAATATTTTTTATGAATTGCTATAAACAGAATTTGATATCATAATCGCTTACTACACATAAATCCACCGATTTTAGGACAGCCCGGCTGGTTTCCCGGTACCGTCCGGCTGTGCCGATTGTGTCAATCTCTCGATCAGCTCAAACCGCCCGTCAACTTCATCTCTACAGGGGTGTATTCCCCATTCATTTCGAGAGTAAGTTGAGACAAATCGCCGGTCTTCATGGCGTAATTCGTTAAACTGGACATCAATTAAGGTTATTTAAATTCTTTCTGTTGAACTGCTAGGCAGTGAATATATCTCAAAAACTTTTTGCTACTCTACTTGGCATTAGAATGTAATTGGCTGGCAGACAACCTATATTTTTATGTTCGAGCTGAATTAATTCCACTCTTTTTTAGCGGACCGTGACGCGGTGTGGGATGTGGATGTCGAAAATCGTATTGCTCATGGAATAGAGATTGGAAAACAGAAGGGATTTATTCGATCTGGAAGCACTCTTGTCATTATTACTGGATGGCATAGAGGTATCGTTTTCGATTGCCGCTTTATCTTCAAAATTTCATTGCGTAATTGATTACGGCATGTTTATGACCTCCAAGCCACGCGGGCGCGTTGCGTGTCGCGTCATTATTGTTGGTTATGCCGCGACGGCGGCACGCAGCGGACACGTCCGTCAGCATTGACATTGCGTAATCGATTACGACGTTTTTTGACGGACAAGCGTGGCGTGTGCGTTGCGTGCCGCGGGCGAGGGAGAATTCATAAAAATAGTTAATTTTGATCGAGAATGACCCTATCTTTTTCTGTACCAGAAAAATAATATTTCTGTTTCGTTTTTAGGCTCTGGTTATACGAATACACTGCGCGTCGTCACGGCTGCCTAATCGAGTCCGAAACCACCATTTTCCACGCTTATTTAGATGCATTGTTGGGCAGAATAAATAGTTTATTTGCGATTTTGGACAGAAAATGGCAATTGCTTCAATATTTTGTCGATCGGTGTTTTTGCGCGTCCACGCAGGTCCTCAATTCCATTGTCAAAAAATACGAGTCGTCGATTTCCAGGCCGGTGCTGGAAAATGGCTGTTCATGACTGACAAGGAGACGTTTTTGGGTGGATAATGAATTTCGAGATGGCACCAAGCCTAGGTTGCGCAGAATTTTTTTTCCTGGCGTTCCCGTTTGAACTAGTAATCAAATACAAAGTGTTTTCACATTGAGCTTAGTAAGTTTTAACTATACCTAAGCCCAACGCTTTCAAAAAAAGTTAGAAAAGTCTTTGAAAAAGTCGAAAATTTGGTCCTTTTCGGTCCTTCCCCCCCCCCCGCCAATCATTAAGGTTCTATAGAATTTTGTGATCTAAAATTCAATGTTTAAAATTTGTGTAGTTTCTATCGTTAGGAATAGTTAAAACCAATTTAGAAACGCATCCGCCGCTACTTATAAATAACTTAGACTTGCGCCGAAAAATATTTGGTTCCCCCGGGATCATCCCCCCCCCCCGCTCCCCGCGAATCCTAAAGAACCGCAATCTTCCGCAAAACGTTAGGAAATTTGGTTTGTTTCGGCATGTAAAATCGTCAGAAACGATTAGTCACTTACTGAGCAAACTAAACCCCTCAGTGGTAGGGCTAGAAGCTAATAAGAATGTAGCAAGATGTAAGATGTGTGTCGATGTAGAATGCCGATCCCAGATAGCCTTTATGGTCGTACGGCACGGTATAGATGGTATACAGTAAAGCGGGCCCCCTTCCTATTTATGTGGCTAGGCCGTAATAGGTGAGACGGGCAGGGGGCCCTCGGGATTGGGGATAGGACGGCAGCCGGTCTCAGTCGACCGTCCGATCCTTCTCATAAGAAGTGGGGATAAGAGGGAGCATGGATATCACCAAATTAGACGGTAATTCTCACCAACGGTAGTTGGGGATTCGCGCTAATGAGAATAGTCGCGAGACTTACCAACAGCACGGGCTCCACGACATTTGCGTCCCGACACTTGCGCCAATAAATTGATCGCCCGCCAGAGTATAGCGCATAGGGAAGAATTGACCAAGCTCTTGCCTGGGTCCGGAAAATACTTTTGCCGTTCTAGTTCTGCCGCCCGGCTTTTATACCCTGCGTCGTCAAAACACCCTAGTTTTTCCCTCGGCTCCGAAAACATTTTTTTAGCAGCTTTGCAGAGTTTTTCATGGGGGCCCGAGCGCCCCTATCTCGGCTCGGCGGTGAAAAACTTGGCAATTGGGCCCGTAAACACCACTTTTTCTCCGGCCTTTTTGCCCTTTTGATGGGCCCGACAGAGAACGGCTTGATTTCACAACGCCAAGCGCATCTTCTTGCTCGTTCAGCAAACAAATTATGATTGGCTAAAGTCTAGGAATCCCCCCCCCCCCAGCCGACTTTTCAACTTTTCTACCTTCCTTATTTTTATTTTTCGCTACTTTTTCGACGCAACTGCAATGTATTCTCACTAATTAGCCTACTGCAAACATTTTGGTATATCTTAGAGCTCGCTAGCCCAAATTTCGTCTTTAACTTTAAAATTTAACGTTTTACGCGCCCGCCGCTGCATTTACATTGAATAATGGCGTAATTGATTACGACATGTTTATGGCCTTTGAGCCACGCGGGCGCCTTGCGTGTCGCGGCGCTGGAAATGCACGCGTCGCATGAACAGCTTTGTTTTGGCTGTGCCGCGACCGAGAGACGCAGCGCCCACGCCCGTCCGCATTTACATCGCGTAATCGGCTACGCCATTTTTTGACGGACAAGTGTGGTGTGTGCGTGGCGTGTCGCGTTTAAAACCCGAGCTATATTTTTTCTATTCAAAAAATAATGCTTCAACTTTTCAGGCTCTGGCTACACGACTACGCTGCGTGTCGTCACGGCTGTCTAAATGACAGTCCCTGATCACCATTTTCCACGCTTATTTAGATGCATTGTTGGGCAGACTAGATAGTTTATTTCCTATTTTTGACAGAACATGGCAATTGCATCAATATTTTATTGATCGGGTTTTTGCATCAACAAGCGGCCGCGATTGTGCTTGGCCCGAGAATAAGTAGGACGCATCGATTTCCATTGTACCACTAGAAAATGGTTATCGGTGTCGGGAATTTAAGTGGCCACGGAGTTTGGAAACGCGACCAAGCCTACAGTGTGTGTCAAAACGATAGAACCATTTCTTTAAACGCTGAGATCTCGGCCCTCGTTGGGCTTGACGCCAAGCTAACTGGCAAGTCTCGTAGCGCTCGAAAAGGCGCATTTTTCTATCGACTTGATGTTTTTCAAAGATAGGGAACGGGATTTCTATAAGCGAGAGAACAAAATAGAGCAAAAAAAGAAGTGTCAAAACGATAGAGCCACACTTTGCATGTCGTTAGCATCAAGTTCAAGTTTGCTAATTGCTAATACGAAGTTCAAATCTATGCAGATCCACCATCACCCTGAAAACTCCGGAAGTCAGAAGTGGATATTCACTTTGCACGGTCATATGTAAATTTCAAGCCCAAACTTGATGCTAACGACATGCAAAGTGTGGCTCTATCGTTCCGACACTGCTGTTTTTTTTGCTCTATTTCTTTCTCCCGCTTATAGAAATCGCGTGCTCTATCTTTGAAAAACCTCAAGCAGATCGAAAAATGCGCCTTTTCGAGCGCTACAAGACTGGCTAGTTTGCTTGGCGTCAAACCCAACGAGGACCGAGCTAATCGCGTTTACAGGGGTGACTTTATCGTTTTGACACATAATGCATTGTATAATGCAAAAATACCTTTCAGTGGTAGGTTGTCGGCTGGTATATAATGTAATGTAGGTAGATAATGTATAGAGTATAAAGAATACAAAGGGTTTATAGCACCATGATGGAAAAAATAATGGTCGGTTTGGAGGGTGAAGCGAAGTGAGTTGGTGGCAGCAAAAAAAACGGGGCCGCAAGAAGAACGGGCACCCGGGCACTCCGCAACAGTTGGGGCGCGGCTGCACGGCATTCCACAGAGGCACGGATAGGCCCCTCTGGGGGCGTGGCGCAACCGGGTAGCGCCGATGCCACGGTCCCACGCACACGACCCGAGTTTGAATCCCGCCGCCACAATTTTTTTTGCTTTTTCGTCCAAAGCAGGGCAACGCTTTTGTATTTCATCGGATAAGGAAGATTTGTACAGAAAATTAGTAACGACGCGATAAACTGCGATTGTTGCAAGTCATTGAACCGCTACATTGCCGAATTTTGTGCCAAATACCCATTCCTAAGCGTTTTTTGCACAAATTTCCCCGGTCTGGGGGTAAACAACCCTAATTCTTCCAAATCAAAGCTCAGATTACCCATAAAATACTTCTTTTCCGCGTTATCGAAAACCGCACAATATTCCTGAACGAAACTTCAAACGATGATCAAAAAAAAGTACCAGAATAGATTTTCGACATTTAGGTCTCAAAAGCTGCGTCTTGGCGTCCAGATTATTTAAATCTAATTCATTTTCAAAAACTTCTATGAAAGTTTCGAGAAAAATACGATTTTGTCTAAAAGTTTGTAGATTTTGCTTTGGGGGCGCAAAAACATGTAATGAGCGCACTGTTCCATTGTGCAGGGGCGCCCTGCGTAGCCCAAAAGCTATCCGTGCTTGCCCGCTAAGTACTGGAATTGCGTGGCTGTTGCACGGCGTCGTGGCGAGGGCGTCCAGCCAGGCGAGGCGAACGGCTGTCCCTCGGCCGAGGGCGAAGAGGCCCCCAGCCAGAAATTTTTAGCCATGCGTCCTATTAATGCGTGGAGTCTACACGTATTTATGATCAACGGAAAAAGCTCCATTTTTCACGCTTCTTTAGATGCATTGTTTGGCAGAATAAAAAGTTTATGTGCACCTTTGAAGGCGCATACAATTACATGGCGCAATGGATGAAACTGTAGATTGACAGCCCATGGTTCCGCCAGGGTGGCGCCCGGGAAACGGTTGCGCGTTGCGTCCTGGGTGCGCGAAATAGCAGCCGCTTTTCAGCTGCGTGGGCCTTTCTTTCTTAATTTCGCACATTTGCACTCAATTATCGCACGCGCTGCGGTCTTTCCTCGTTTTAAAATATACCGGACGTAAAAGTAGGCGCCGGGCCGTTCTGTATCGGTAATTTTTTTAATTCGCCAGGAATTTTCAATTTTTTTTTGCAGTGCCTGCAGTTTTTGATGGCCTCTTGATTGTCCATTCACCGGCGCCAATGTTCACCAAATTATTTGGACGCTCGAAACATTTGCTGTGTCTTCCGTGATTCGGACGGGCAAGAAATCACCGAAACATGTCAATGGTATGCCGTTTTTGCAGGAATTCTGGGCGTCAAAGAGCAGCACGCATGATTTTTGGGCATTTTTGCGCCACTTTGCCGGCAGCCAATGACCAATTTCGAGACAAAACTTTCCGCAAGGCGCTGCATAAAAGGAAGTGGATGATCGAGGGGTGTGGAGCAGTTTTATTAGCCTTTTTCTAACTTCATTGTTACTTTTTAGGCCCATACGAATCTATCTAAATTTTAGGAGATGATGAAGCAGCTATTCGTCCTTGCCGCCTGCGTGGCCGTGGCCGCTTCTAGTGGGTTTTCTAGAGGCTTATCAAAATGCTTCATGATCTGAGCGTTAAAGACGAGATTATTCAAAACGGAAAACTCCTTTCAGCCGTCATCGACTGCATGTCGTGCAGGCTCGACAGCATCCAGGTCGACACCTTCGTCACTGGGTAGGAAAATCGGCCATGATTTGTATTTTACTAATCCTATACGAAAAAACCGCTCAATTGTATTGAAAAATAGAAAAATATCGATTTTTCGTCCCAAAATAGCCGATTTTGATCAAAAACTACAATTTTCGAAAATACTACTATTTTTTGGATAGCTTTGCCAGTTAAAACATGGCAAAATTTTATTAAAACGCAATTGAAATATAGCATTACTGAAATAGGCTTTCTGAACTCGTAGGGAAAAAAATCAGGTCCCCCGGTAAAAAATCGGCGGAACAATCAAAAATGTTGTAGCACGACCATGATGGCCATTGACGGGTGCATGCACTTCACCCCCAGCTGCCCCGCCGGATCCAACCTTCTCGTGCGTTTGATTTATTGGGTTTTTTTTTAGCTGACTGACAAGCCTTGGGCAACCTAGCAGAGATTCATGGGGAACGCTTATAAGCTAGCCTAGCTTTCCGAATTTCAGGTGAACGACGTGCCGCTCGAGGGCTCCCAGCTGACTCTCGTCTGCCAGCAGGCCAAGTGGTGCGTTTTGAACTCGTTGCGCTGCCGTTAAACGACATATTCTAAAAAGATCACTTTCAGGAAGTTCACCAGCCCGACCCATGGCGCCATCGAGATCACGAAGCTCGGATGCCAGCAGTCCGGCAGCCAGTCTGGCCAGGGACCTCAATAATTCTTAACAATGCTTTGATAAAGGCATCCAAAATTCTGTTTTTCAGCATAGATAGGTAAGCAGTAAAATACACACTGACAATTTTTATCGAGCAGAATAATTTAGTAAAGCATTGCTGACTAAATGACGATTTTATTCAACCGTCTGGAAGTCAGATTGACAATTTAGAGGGTTTTTAAATTTCTATAACTATTAGAAAAATTATTACACCAGAAAACGGTTGACTTTACGTTATTCGATCGTTTGGACTTTGTTTCCTAGTGTTCCCTTGCCTATTTCTGCTCTACCAGAGTCCAAAGACTAAAGACAGTCCACGCAACATTATCCGCTGCTATTTCTACGACACGAGACGTGCCCTCGGGGGTATTCCCCCTCCCTCTTTGATATGATCTAGACCACGAGGTGTCGCGTCATTTATGGGCCGGCCGATCGGGGGATTCCCCCAGGCCTCGTGACTCCACCATATGCAAATGCCACTTCCCGAAAATGCTCTACTTTTAGCTCATGTCGTAATCGATTCCAAGGCTTTAATTTTAGAAATTATTACTTCAATGGCCCAACTGGCATCCAAAGACGCTAATTTTATAGCGTAATTGTTTTGTACGGCTCTTCTTACAAATATCCAGAAATAATAATTCAATGTCGTCATCGATTCCTTGGCCTTTATTTGGGGTGATTTATTATCCAAAAGCCAAACTAGTGTCCCACAACCGCCGATGGGTTCGGTCGAGATGGTTCAAGGGAAAGGGCGTACTGTACGTGTTTTTCGCGCGTTGCGTGCGGGTGCGCGGAATAGCAACCGGTTTTTAGCTGCGCAGGCCTGCTTTCGCAATTGCGCGACGCGTCTATCGCACACGTTGCCGTCTTCCCTCCTTTCCAAAGCTACCGCACGTTTTATTAGGAGCCGGGCCGCTGTGGTCCTGAATAGATAATTTCGTGGTGTCATTGGTTATATCGTCTTTTTACCTTCGTGATATGCTTTGAATTAATTTCTGTCAAAGGATTATGCTTTTTTGAAGATTTATGCATTAAAATTCGCCAATTTTGCCACCCCCTTGAAGACAAATAACAGTTCCTTTTATTTAAATACCCTTTATTGCTGTCTGAAAAACAATTCCCCCTCCTATGCCGCCCTTTCATTCTTATCTGCCCCTCGCCATCTACGTTGTTTTCCAATCGCCATTTACAGGGCTAAACTTCCGTGATCCGAAACACAACCAGTCACTACTAAATACCCATCGTATCGGCAGAAAAATGGCTGATCAGCAAAAATTAGGTATGAAACGCTGTTTTTAGAAAAAAACCCGATTTTAGCGATCATCTCGGTGAGCGATAAACGTGGCGTAATCGAATTGGCCCGCGCGCTGGTTGATGCTGGATTGGGAATTATTGCTTCTGGAGGAACGGCAAAGGCTATTAGAGACGAGGGGATTACTGTAAGGTACGGTATTTTGGCTTGAAATTGAATGTCTGTATGTCTGTCTGTCGGTCTGTCTGTCTCTTTCTGTCATCCCAGCCAACTAAAATTGCAAAATTCCCGAATTTCGGCGGTTTAAAAGTGCGGGCAAGGCATAGCTTGGAATCTTCGGCGCAATGACACGCGACGCGTATGCCCGTATTACATTGGCTAATGCATTACGACACGCTAAGCGGCGTGAGCGCTGCGTTACCGGTGGCACCAAATCCAGGACTCTGGTCTCATGCCTTCCAGTTTCCTTTAAAGCGCACGTTCAGGGAGGGGCCGTGTACTCGTCCCAACGTGTACACCCTATGGACGTAGGGACCGCGCGCACTGCCTGCCCGTGCTGAGACAGGCCATTCCCCTCCTTTGCGGGGTGGGGCGCCCCTCGCCCCCTCGCCAGGTTGTAGCTGTGCCTGACTGGTATCCATCCGCGCCTCCCGAGCGGAGGGCCCGGGTTCGACCCCCGGCCACGGCAAAGATCTTTGCTTTTTTCCAAAAAACGTCCCTGAACGTGCCCTTTAAAAGCCCAAAACGGCGATAAAATCGCGGTTTTCGAAAGGCAGCTAACCTGCGGAGAAGCGGCAGGAATTTTCGATATGCCTGGGCAGGCTAGCCGAGAAGCTTTAGGAATTTTCGTTGAAAGTTTTTGGGAAGTTGCGGCTAGCTAGCAGAAATTTTTTGGCCGCTGAAATTCCGGAAATACGCGCACTAATTGCATTTTCAGAGATGTGAGCGATATCACTTCATTTCCGGAGCTACTCGGAGGCCGTGTCAAAACGCTGCACCCAGCAGTCCATGCTGGCATTCTCGCCAGAGAAACTGAAAATTCGGATCTTCAAGACCTCAAGGTAAGCTGCCATCCCATAAAAAGGGGTTATTTCCTCACAGCTTCTCCCTTCCCATTTAAATCCCTTGAAATACCCCCCATTTCCCCTTTTTCAGGCTCACTCGTTCCACCTGATCTCCTTTGTCGTCTGCAATCTCTACCCTTTCAAGCAGACAATCAGCAAAGAAGGGTGTACGGTAGAGGAGGCCATCGAAAATATCGATATTGGAGGTCAGTTTGGAAATGTATCCACTTTTTCATGCCTTCTGACACCAAAAACAGTGATTTTAATGGCGTAATCGGTTTTCTTGATTCTTTTCTGTGTTATAAATTCCTGTAAACTTTTCACTGGCATCCAGTTAAGCGAATTCCATCCCGTAATCGATTATCGCAGCTTTCTATTAATCAGTGATGCCTAAAAAGTGACTTCTACCCTCCAGAAACGCTAGTTTTTATGTCGTAATTGATTTTCCGAGATTTCTGACATCCAAAAATCCGTTTAAAATTTAATCTGCCATCCAGAGTGGCGTTTTTTCCTTATTGGAATGTCTCTGCTTGCGCCTCTACCCCCCTGGATGCCTCAAGGGATCCCGGCTGTCATCTGTCACCCCTTTTTGACAACTCGACCCCTTCCGCCCGCTTCCCTCTTTTTTTTGACGTCGACTTCTTTGTCTTCTGCTGCTTCTAAAATTCGCCATCCATTTCCCTTTTTGGCTTTTGTCTTTTCTTTGCTTTTTGTGGCCTCTTCTGTTCCGTTTCCATCCTCTTTACACCCTCCGAAAACCTTTTAAATACCTTCATTAGGCTTTAAAGGCGTTTAAAAGCAAAAATTCCGAGGATTTTCAGGGCGTAATCGGTTGAATTTTTTAAAATTTTGGTGTTTTTTAACTAGAATAATCCACTAGTTCAAGCAGCGCACTCTTCGTCCATTTTCATGCCGTAATCGGATTGATTTTCCGCAAAAGCTCGAAAATTTGAGATTTTGCCGTTTTCTGCTCCGTTTACATCCTCTTTACACCCACCTCAAAACCTTCAAAACAAGGCTGTTAATATCGCGTAGCGCGGAGGCCAATATCGTGCTCAAATCACGCTACTCATGCTCCTTCTCTCTCTCTCTCTCTCTCTCTCTCTCTCTCTCTCCCATCTCCTCGTAAACACTCAATTTGCCTAGATTGGATTGGGGCGTTTTGGTGCCACCCGCCCAGGTCACTCTCAATTCCAATATCCCCCATACGGGTATTTTGATGGCGTAACTGGTTCCGGGTCCGGAAAAGTCTGGATTTTACGATTTTTGCCGATTTGTTTTAGCCTATTTTTTTTGTCGTAAGCGGTTTACCTAGCTTGAAAAATCAGGAAATCCGACGTTTTTCGATCTTTTCATGTCGTAATGGATTCCCAGCCGATCTTTACCTGAATAAACTTGATCTTTCACCTTGCGCCATTTACTAGACTACAGTATCCTCGTCTCTCCTCTTCCGTCTGCTGTTGCCCATTTCACCGTTGACTTGCTGATTGTTCAAGGACCCTAAAAGCTGGCCCTGATGTCTGGATTGTTTTGTCTAGTCTTTTAGATGAATGGAAAGCGAGAGAGAGCGAGAGAGAGAGAGAGAGAAAGAGAGAGAGAGAGAGAGAGAGAGAGAGAGAGAGGGAGAGAGAGAGACGGAACACTCTTATTTCCTTCCGCTTTACCTGATAATCAGGAAATGTTTGTTGGATGGCAGAAGACTAGACTGGAAGTCGACGTCAATGAGCGGAGGTTTTAAAGGGGTTGGAAACCATAGCGTTCCTAGGCTCTGAAATCATTGGCAAATGGCAAATTTCGGCACTTTTTACGTTTCAAGGATAAAAAGCAAACTTTTCGCGTTTCAAGGACTTGACCAGGCACGTCGCTTTGGCGGTTTCAGAAGCTAAAAACGTTAAAAATCACTATTTTGATGCGAAATTCCGGATCGTCATTTTTGAGGATTTGAATTTCCGCATTTCAGCTGATTTGTGCTGTTTCTGTTGCCGTTTCCGATTCCCTGAGTGATAAATAGCGTTGTACCTCTTTTTGGGTGGATATTCCTGGTCCCTTCCGTTCTGCTACCCCCTCCCGGACCCATTTGTCAGCATCGAATATTTGACCCCCCGGCATATTTCGTTCTCTCTCTCTCTCTCTCTCTCTCTCTCTCTCTCTCTCTCTCTCTCTGGCCTTCGAATATTTCACCGTTTGAAAAATAGGTGCCTTGTCGGGGGTTTGGTTTGCTATTTTGGGTGTTTTGTGTGTCAGTTGGCTGTAATTTGTCGCATTTATCTATTATTTTGTCTAGGTTACTGTAGTTATAGTGTCATTTAGGAGTGACCCTTCTCCGAGCCGCGGCCAAGAATCACGAACGCGTCATCGTTGTCTCGGATCCGGACGATTATCCAAAAATCATCGAAGAGGTCAGTGGCTTTTAGGAATGGCGCAAAGAATCTTTGCTAACTTGCCCTGATTGAAAATTCCCGAAAGAACTGCCGCTAGCTCGCCCAGGTCTGGGAAAATCACCCAAATAATCCCTGCTAGTTTCCCTGTTCGAAAAATCACAATTTCAAATTTAAAGTTACCGTGAAGGCTGGATTTTTGCGAACTTCCTCCAAAAAGCTCTCACAAAACCGAATTCTTTTTTCCTAGGAGTTCAGATGTAGGCAGAAATGTATTCTAAATAATCTCTGCCAGTTCGCCTGACTTGTAAAATCGGAATTTTTAGCGTTTCTAATTTTAAAGGTACCGTGACAGCTGGGTTTTCGCAAACTTTTCTCCAAAAAGCCCTCCAGAAAACCAAATTCTCTTTTTCTAAGGGTTCAGATTTGGGCGGGTCTATTTTTTGGAAAAACAGAAGAAGCCCAAGAAAAAGAAAAAGTAGAAAAACGAGATAGAGAGAGGGGAGCAATTTCCTCTAAAAGGGGAGCGAGTGATTGGGGTCGGGGGGGGGCATTTCTTTCGAGATGAAGCCGAGGGGAAAAGCCTCGATTTTGGGGCAGAGAGAGCCGGAGAGAGAGAGAGAGAGAGAGAGAGAGAGAGAGAGAGAGAGAGAGAAATGGGGAGCATGAGATTGAATTGGAGGGCGAACCAGGTAGAATAGATTGAGACCCAGATACGGATGGATAGATGAAGCTCTGCCCATTCTGCCGGCTAGCCATTCCATTCCCATCCTAAATACTGATAAATCGCTACCGTAATGTTCCCCTCTTCATCCCCATCTTCCACCCTAAATGGCCCTCCCCCGACTCGCCCCCCAAGAAGAAGATCACAATTCAAAAGGGCTAACACGCTCTGCGAGGTGCTTTTTTAGTTTTTTATCGGTAATTTGGCAGTCAATTTGATCGGTTTTTCATTAAACCGGCTGATTATCTGTCAGTTTGTTTCACTGTCGATTAAAGCACCCGTCAAAATCAGGGTAAAAATTTATTTTTGGATTTTCCGACATTTTTTCGGAGTTTTCGCCTTACTTTGCCAGTTTTTTGTCCTATAATTCGCATATTTCTCTTCTAGTTTTTCTAGCTGTCTGTCAAATTGTCTGTTTGTATACCAGTTAGTTTATCTGTCCATCAAACCACCCGCAAAAATCAGCGTCAGCATTTAGTTTTGGGTTTTTGCCGTTTTTGGATCTTATTTCGGTTATTTAGCTGCCAGCTCACTTATTTTGCGTGTAGTTTGTCTGTTTGTCCGCCAGTTTGTCCATCTGTCCATAGAAGCCTCTGGTATGATTTCTGACCCCCTAAAATGCGTGCTCAGTCTTGAAAAAAGCCCGTTCTTGACCTTCAAAAGGCATAAAACGATCCATTCCTGGTAATTCGAAACCGCCAACAAGCCGAGGGAACGCTTTTTCTAATTTTTTTTTTCGGGTGTCAGTAGGCTAAATGGCTAGCAGATCAGCTGTTGCTGATCTCAAAAACATCAAACATATTTTAAAGACATTTTTCTGATCCAAATATTGATTTTTCAGCTTGGCTCTGGCGGCGTAGCAGACGGCACGCGACGCCTTCTCGCGCTGAAGGTAGGCGGATTTTTTGTTTTTAAAGGGACTAGGTTGGCTAGGGATTAGCTATGGATTTTGCTCCGCCACGACACGCAACGCGTGTGCTAGGTTTTCGTTGCCCATCGATTCCCATCGAATACGATCCTTTAATTGCGGCAATGTGCTGTGCGCGTTGCGTGCCGCGATGCGTCGCGCGAAGCGTGTTGCACGTTCGGTTCGCGTCGCGTCTTGCGTTGAGTGCCACGGCGCGTGTCGCATTGCCTGTTGCGTCGTATGGCGCGTTGCGCATCACGTTGCTTGAGTCGCGGCGCGGCAAAATCCATAAAGGCTCTCTAGCTAGAAAATCCATATTTTGTGGCTTGCCAAGCCTTTAAAGGGACTGGAAAATCAAGGATTTGTGGTTCAAAGATCAAAAAATTAGTTCCAAACCAGACAGACCAATTCGAAGATCCTCTTCCGTTAAAATGCAGAGCAAAAATCTAGAAATCTCGAAATTCAGAGCCTCACAGACCAAAGAGAAGAAAAAGGAGCGTTCCCCTGATTTCACCGGATTTAAAATGAATTCGGGGGTTTGGACGTGACAACAGAGACCGGGGAATTGCTTCAAATCCCTTCAAAACCTTTTCTATACGGCCAATTGGCCGTATAGAAAAGCCATTTTCACGCCTTGCCATTTTTTAATTCCAAAAATCTGCTGAATATTCTACTATTCCTACTTTTTTCAGCCTAATTGTCGTCCAATTTTTGGTTTCCCCAATTTTGGTACTTTTCTGAAAATATTGCTGTAGTCTTGCTCTTTTATGACCTATTTTTACCAGAAAATTCTATGGTTATATAGCCAAGCACAAGAGGATAATATAAGTTGCAGAGAACACTTTTATGATGGTGTTCATCCAGTCATTCCACTCTTTTTCTGTCTTGCTCCCTCTCTGTCTGTCTCTCTCCCTCTCTCTCTCGATCTGTCTCTCTCTCTCTCATTTTATAGTGGATATCAAATATCCTTTCTTCTCTCCTTTGTCTTTCTCTGTCTCTATATTGCCCCCTGTCATATATTGGACCTCCAAACTACCCCCCGTCAACTTCTATTCTAGAACTGCTGGCCCGAAAATAGGGTTTTATCGTTCTTCGTTTGCCGGGAAAACTCTTTTCTGACATTCAGTTTACATAAGACCAATTCGAAAATTAAATTTAAAGCTTTAATTCGAAAGTTATGATTTTTGCTCGATTTTCCGACTTCGCCAACAGAACACTCCGAAGTATTTCGCAATTTGTCGCACTTCTAAGTGCGTATCTTACATTCAATTTAGATATATTCAACGGCAGAATCACATTTACCGCTTGAATTAAGACAATTAGGCCTTTACCCGGAATTCCGTCGTCGGAGCCGCTCATTTTTAAGTTTTTTTTTGGCTTTTTAACGCGAGAAATCGCTTAACAGGCATACAAAAACTTACTAATTGTTTGAATTTTCAAACTGCCCTCCTTTTTAATTTATTGAAATCCTATTAATTGTCCTCCATTTTATCGATTCCATTTCCAAGTTTCGACATTTTTCAAGATTTTCGCGATCCAGATTATCTAACTGACGAACAAAAAGCGTGAAAACAAGTATCTTTGAAATGCTCGTCAATTTCGCAAAATTCCATTGCGATCCTATTAACTGTCCTCCATTTTATCGATTTATTTTCTGAATCGATCCGTTTTCCTCCAAAATTTCAGTCGATGGTCGGCTAAAAGCCGTTGGAACACACCAAACTTCTCCAGCTTCTCGACGCAATATTTCGAGCGGAATTCTTTTGGGCTGAAAAAGGACGAAAAAGGGCCAAGAGAGCTCCTCCTCAACTAATCCCTGGCCCCAGTGACCCTCCGAAATGTCACTATTCCGCGAGGATACCCTGGACGACGATAGGAGTGAAATGGAACGGATTGAAAGAATGCAAAGAGATGGAGAATCTGATGAAAATCATCATCTTCTCTATAATGATCTACAGGATGTGACTGAATGGATTGACGGAGACGAGGTTCGCAATGTTTTTCTTGGGTACAAACTACAAAATGGATGCCAGTGATGCAAAAATGTCTTAAAATTGCGTCTTTGGGGGTGAATGGTAGTTTTTACGCGCAAATCTATTAATTTGGTCAGTAAGTCAATATTCCCTATTCGATTACGTTATTAAATCCCTCCCCAGTTGTTCCTGGCTGTGGTACGAATCCTCCAAATGACTCCATGCTGTCTGCCGTACACAAGAAAGCGTTTTTCACGATTTTTCATCCTTCTGATAGCCAATGCCCGCATTGACAGCCAGAAAATGAATTTCAGGGCGTAAGCCATTAGATAAATTCAAATTCCCTCCGATTTTCACGATAGTAGTACGTTTTTTTCGAGCGACCTAATACCGTCTACCGTACTCCAGATACCTTACCCTTTGTTTATCTTGCATTTTATCGCAACCAATCCATGCCAAGCAGAAAAGTTAATTTAATGGCGTAAGCGATTAGAAAAATTCGAAATCACGGAATGTAAGATCGACCCGTAGTACGCGTTTTCCAAATGACGTCATACCATCTACCGTACTCCTGATACCGTATTTACATGATTTTCGCTCTATCTGTCGGCCAATCAATCCATGTTCGGCCAAAGAGCGGATTTCCTCGCGTAATCCATTAGCCAGCCCCAACGATCTTTCCAAATGACGTCACGCGGTACAGCGTGCTCCAGATACGGTATTTTTACCGTTTTTCCACCTTTCTGACAGCCAATCAACCAATTGGCCGCCAGAAACAGCAAATCGACCTCTGATGATTAGGATGAGTTGAGTAGAAGCGGCAGCGGGGATGCGTGGGATAGGCCATCGTCCTCTCGGCCCCCCTTCCGAAATGCCCAGGGTATGTGTCTGCTCGGCCTCAACTAGAGGAGGTCCTTTCCCTTCCCTTCCAAATGAGTTTGGCCCACTCTCAGCAGAAGGAGAGGCGAGGCTTCTCCTCCCCCTTTCCGCCTCCCCTCCCCCCTCAAAAGCTATAAACTTACCGGGGGGTTGAAGCCGCCAAAAAAGGGCAGAGAGAGACAGAGAGAGAGAGAGAGGGCAGAGAAATAGAGAGAGCGGAAGGGGGAGGTCGACTCCAATTTGTCGCGTCTCCTGTCACACCACTGGATTTCCTTCTGCCCGCCTTTTTTGTCGAAAGTATGGACGCGGAACTGGACGATTTGTAGTCTGTAGTCCATACTGTAGGAATTCCGGGTATTCGAATCATTCACCTGCGAACCATTATACATTCCAGGCTACAAACTAGAATTCTTGGACACGATTTTGTGGTCTGTAGTCCGGGTTACTGTATTCTGAGTGTTTCAGTCGATACTCTGCCAACCAGTTTGGCTTTACGGCTATAAACTACAATTTTGAATCATTTTAATCGATAGTCCGCTAGCCAGTTTTAACTTCAAGCTACAAACTACAACTCCAAGCGGCCTATTTAGTAGTCTGTAACCCAGATTACCGTATTCTGGCCCTACCAATCGGGAAACTGCCTGCCTGTCTACGCTTCAAGATATATACTACATTTATAACTATCCGATTTTGTAGTCTGTAGCCCAGATTACCTATTCCACACTCGCCATGTCCCGAATATCGTCGATGGCTTGGAAATACAAGCAAAAAGACGGGTTGGCACCGGAAAGGGGACGGCCAACGGAGGCTTCATCCTCTTCCGCTTCATCCCCGACAGCTAGGCTATTCGATAGGGCGAGAAGTCATAGCCAAAGGAGGCATAATGGACATACGGTACATATTTTGAAGTTTGTAGTTTGTCGTCCGCAGTACGGTATTTTAAGATTTATTTTTTTGAAACTTGACGATTGCGCGTCAATTGATTTGGTAAAAATGTGATATTTTAAAAAGCGTGCTCTTTGAACAATTTTTTTGCTTCGTTTTTGGCCCAAAAACCCAGAGAAATAGTCCATCTAGTCTATTCCTGACTTCAATTGTCCTTTAAACCGGTATTTAACGTTTTTATAGAGCTAGCCCGGCAACTAGCCCATCCATACAAATTGCTGACCCATGGCTTCCATGGCCTCTAAAAGCGGGATTTAACTTTTGTATGGATTCCGTGTCTGGCAGCTAGTCAAAAAATCCGGAGAAATCGTTGATCCGTCGCTTAAATGGACCTTTAACCCAATTTTTAACATTATTGCCAGTCAGTGAGCGTATTGAAGCCGTTTTCGGCGCCTCATAACATTCTAAAAAAATTTTTGGGCTCAGAAGCTCATGTTTTTGGTTTCTAACACCCAAATTCGACCTTGCAACATTTGGTTCCGGAATTTGGAAAGGGCGAGGGATTAAGAGTTTGTCTGTCTGTCTGTCGATCTCTCTACCCCCATCGCTCTCTCGCTCTCTGTCTCACTGTCTCGCTCTCACTCTCTCGCTCTCTCTCTCTCTCCCAATATCTGTATATTCCGAAGCTTTTCCTTGGAAAATGTTTGATTCGTGTTTCCTGTGCCATCTTCCACCCGAATGACCCCTCTTTTTCCAAGCCAACAGCCACTATACCCCCACCCCAACCTTGGTCCATTTCCGGTTGCCCAAAATGGAGAGAGATTGAAGGGGAAAGGGAATGAGAATACCCAAAATCCACACACAAGAACCAATACTACTAAAAGGGCACACCAAAAACTACACAAAATGCACTTTAAAGGGGCTGGGAAGTCAAAAATCCATATAAAAAGAGATAGAACGGATACGGTATTCGCCTAAAACCGTATTTTTCACCTGAAAGACCGTATTTTTGGCTGATCTGACCGCCAAAAAATTCCGATAAACCTTTTTAAAGGGGTTTTAACGGTTTTTTAAAGGACTGGTAAGCCAAAATCCACAAGGAAATAAAATGATGAATTAAATTAGGGTAATTTCTATCTTGACCCCTGCCATTAATGCGTTTCTCTTTTTAGGCCTTCGAGCAGACAGCCTCCTACGACGATAGTATTGCCTCGTATATGAGAAGGAGGTTCGCCGGGGATGACAGATCGCTGCCATTGCGTTACGGTAGGTGTACTGTACAATTTTTACGAGTTCGACATGTAAAAACTTTGAAAGTTCCATTAGAAAAACGAAAAATGCAATTTTTGAACCGGAAAAGTGCATTTTTTGACAAGTTTCCATTTTTGGAAGTTTTTAGTTTCTTTTTTTACTCATAGTCCCCACATTAATGCACAAGATCCGGTTATACAATTATAGGGATGAACCCCCATCAAAAACCGGACGCCGAACTCTTTTCCGTCGAGGAGGAAATGCCGCTGAAAGGTCAGAAAAAAAATCGCGATTTTTTGGTTTTAAAGGGAGCGTGCCTCAAGGAAAATAGACAATTTAGCCATTCCTGTCTTTTCTGTGTGCAAACTGGCACTCATTCAGTTAGAAAATGCAAAAACGCTGCAATTTTCTGTTGGTATTTTGCCAAGCCGCTATCTGGCACCCAGCACGCAGTGTCCATACCTTATTCCACGCTACACCTATCCACACTTGATTTATGTTCCTGGAAAGTTTATCTGGCAGCCAGTTTGACTATTAGTGCATGTAGAAAAGGTTTAAGCTATAAACTACAAAAAAATGGGTTTTTATCGATTTTCTGCCGACCAGTAGAGCTTTTGAGCGAATTTCAAGGCTACAAACTAGACCACTAAATTTTCGTTTTTATGTTGGCTGCTTGCCAGTTTGTCCGTTACACGGCATTACAAACTACAAACTACAAAAACCCTCGGATTTTCGGTCCATCTGCCAATCGTTAGCGCCTTTGAGCGGATTTTCAGGCTACAAACTACAAATTACAAAAGTTCAGTTTTACATTCTGTTGGCTGTCTGCCAGTTTGCCAATTGCATGCCAGTACAAACTACCGGCCACAAAAATTCTGTTGCCCGGCATCCAGTGTGCAAATTCAGCCCCTGTCCGTCCTCTTGCTCCACCAGCTGCTCCTCCAGCTCGTTCTCGTCATATCCTGAGGTCGTCCTCCTCTTCCCTGCCTCGTCAATCATCTCAATCTGTCCCTCGTCGTGTTCCTTCCTCTACCGTCAAAAGATCATCCTCATCTACCTCATCATCTCCAAGAAGACGCCCTCAACGACCTCAGCAGGCTATCACTGGTATTTCGATGCACGCCTGTCCTGTCATTTCCGCTTCTTCCGCTTCCGCTTCCGTTTTAACATTGTTTTTTGGGTAGTAGGCACGCCAATTTAGGTTCCCGCCTCCTTAAAAAAATTAACTTTTCAGTGCTCAACGGTTCTCCGGGATATATCAACATTTTGGATGCGCTGAATGGATGGCAGTTAGTTAAGGTATCGATTGATTTTTCTTTTTAAGCTTATCAAACTCGTTTTAAAAGCCTTTCTGACCGCCACTTTAATTTAATTCATCGTTAAAATTAAATTTCTATGTTTAATTCGAAAAATATGGATTTTTTTAGCTTTCAAGCTTTGAAATTTCGCATTTTTCGCCAGTTTTGACCATTTTGATGATAGAATTTGCTTAAATTGCAGGCAATACGATAAAAGATTGTTTTAATTTATATAATTCTACGTTTTCTCAAAACCACTTTAGCTAAATTCGTTTTTGAAATTAAGTTCATAACTTTAACTCGAAATTTCGTCAGAAAATCGGATTTTTCAGTTTTCTGACCACAAAATTTCGTATTTTCGTTATTTATGAAAAATTTAATGATGAAAACTGCTGAATTGGAATACAGATACCTGAAAAAACGCTTTAACTTGCTGGTTTAAAGTTTTCTTTAGGAGCTGAGCCAATCCACCGGCCACCCAGCAGCCGCCTCCTTCAAACATGTCTCTCCAGCCGGTCAGTTCCCTTCAATGACCCTTTAAAATATACTTTTACCCACTGTAGGCGCTGCAATCGGTGTCCCGCTGAATGATGCCGAATCTCAAGCATGTATGGTGGCTGATCTGGGTTTGGATGGAAAGAAACCGTCACTGGCTGCGGCTTATGCCAGGGCTAGAGGTAGGATCGAGATACCGTCGAACTATCGTAATTCGTGTTGTTTAGTATTATATCTCTTCCTTTTATTCGATTGACAGACAGTTTACAGATTGCCAAGTTAACGATTCAGAAAAACCGCCGTTTCACCTAAAAATAATTTCATTTCGTAATGCCAAGCTAGGGATGGGACTTAGCTACAGTAGTATTACCGTAATCATTTCCTAAATATTTTATCTGTCCTTTTTATCTTACTGGATAGCACTTTACATATCGCGAACATCAAAATTCAGAAAAATCACTGTTTTACCTAAAAATAATTCCATGTCGTAATGTTTGAGCTAAAGATTCGAATTGAGCTACCGTAAAAGTACCGTAGACCTATTCTGTCGAAAAGGAATAGCAATCCCGCACTATTAGGAATAAATCCCAATAATGCCCACGCGAGGGATTTGCCACCTATTCCTCCTACGACCCTTCACACTTCCCTATACACGGGTGTCGGGTCAGTGGAGGTCTGTAAGACTAATATATGCCAAGAAGATGACACCTGCAGACCATGAATAAGATCCAATGCGATTACCACTAATAGAGGACGTAGAGATAAGAATGGTTTATTAGTAGAATACATAGAGAGAACACCGTGAGGAAATACACAAGGCCAGGGAACCTGGAGGTAATACAATTGGGGGCGGAAAGAGCTCTGGAGGTAAGGCGAAATGGGGATCTACGGGGATGGGAATCACCTTCCGGTTAACAGGTCGCTATGGGCAGCTGAACCGCCACACAGCTCCTATTCTATCCCCGACCGGCCATAGATATGACCGGCGGCAACGACTCCCTTGGGAAAGGGAAGAAGTGGCCCGAAATGCGAGGAGAGCCTAGGCCGCGCGATTTACCTACCGTAGCAGGGTCGCTGCGGGACCCCCGGGGAAAGGCCGCCCGCCCCCACAGACCAAATAAACCTCGTAAGTCATGTACTTTGTACATAACTTTCGACATATTCTGTCAATTTTGATCTGTTAGTTCATGTTTCTGGCAGCAAATTCCAAGATTCCTCTGTTAAAAATTCAGAAAAAAACACGATTTGACCAAAATTGAATTTGATGTCGTAATGCATTGGTTAGCACCCTATCACTCGCATTTTAACCCGGTGTTTTAAAAGGTTTTTTAATGCGTAATTTTGCATTTTTGTTTTCTGTCAGCCAGGCGGCATTTTCATGCAAAAAACCTACCTGAATTTACCTGTCGTAATCGGTTATCCCATGCCCTTTTCGCACAGAACAGGAATGGCCGATGTTGATCACGGATCGACTCGAGAAGTTGGAACGATTATTGGGTATCCAACAGAGAGCATTTGCCAGCGCTGATTTTGGGTCTTGTGTTTGGCAGAATGCCAGAATATTTGCATACCCTAACCCCCCGGCTTCTCTTATTTCGTTTGGTTCGTGTGTATCAATTTTTGCGATTAATTGGCTGGATTGACTCACTTTAGGGGTCCTTTAAAGCCCTTTTCGAATGTCCATGTTTTAAAGCGGCAATCAGTTTGCAGCTATGAACCACAAATTTTTGAATTGGACGCTCGAAAAGGGAGTTATCGATCGATTTTTTAGTTTTTGAGAAAAATGATTTTTTTTTCAGGAGCCGACCGGATGTCTTCTTTTGGTGATTTCATCGCGCTGTCCGACAAATGCGACGAATTGACGGCAAAAATTATCAATAGAGAGGTACGGTAGAAAAAATGCGGTATTTTGGTACTTTGGCATTATCGGGGGTGGAAGAGCGCAAATTGCTCGAAAGTGGTGTTTTTAGTCGAAAAAAAAAATCGATATTTTGTATTTTTTTGTAAAAATTTGTAGTTTTTTGTTTAAATAATTAAATTAGTGCAGAAATAATTCCTCTTTTGATATTAGAAACATTCGATCCTGAGTAACCCCCCAATAATGTATAAGCTCCACCTCTGTCGTCTAGGTGTCTGACGGAGTGGTGGCACCAGACTACGAGCCGGCAGCCCTTTCATTGTTGGCCAAGAAGAAGAATGGAAACTATACCGTACTCAAGGTAAGTCAGTTTCGACAGCTGAGCGAGCTGGGGGTAGCTAGCAGAGTTGCTTAAGGATTTTAAAGGGAACGTTACAGCTAGTGATTTCTGGAAAGTTGGCTGTTAGCAGAAATCGTTGGGGATTAAAGGGAAACAGGCAACTTTTGCAGTTGCAACAGCAGACGGTATTTGGGATTGAAGGGAGAGCGACAGATTAATCTTCTAGGAAAGAGATCTTCTTCTCTCTTCAAGGTTAAGATCGGCGAGGATTTTCAAAAGAAGCGTGACAGCTAGTTTTTCTGGAGAGCTGGAAGCTAGCAGAGACAATTTAGGATTTTAAAGGGACCGTGATAGTTTGATTTTCGCTGAAAAGGCTTAGCAGAGACAATTTCGGGTTTTGAAGGGGCGCGTGACAGGCCGATTTCTGAGCAAAGGTCAACTTGCAGGGACAATTTGGCGATTTGTCTGTAAATTGGGTAGCTTGCAAAGATCCTTGGGATTAAAGGGAGAGTGCTAGCTTGATTTTCGAACATGAAGGGAACTAGCAGAGAAAATTGAAGATTCTGAAGGGGCTGGAAGCTGATTTGCGGAGATCATTGGGGATTAAAGGGCGCGTGACACATGACGTTAAGAAAGTTGGCTGCTAGCAGAGACAATCTAGGATTTTAAAGGCAACGTGACAGCTAGCATGTTCTAGAAGTTTGACGGCTAGCAGAGACAGTTTGGGATGTTAAAGGGAGCGAGACAGCTAGCTGACATGCAGCGATTCTTTAGGAATATTTCCGCAATTTCCAGATCAACCCCCAATTCGTCCCAACCGATATCGAAGAACGGACGGTATTCGGGCTGAAATTACGGTAGTTTTGAGGCATACGGTAGCCAAAAACAATCATTTAGACAAAAACGAAACGATGCGGTGATCAGCCCGGAGACATTTGAGAATATTATTGGGAAAGAGAGGGATGTCACGAAAGAAGCGTTGATGGATATGGTTGTCGCCACAATTGCCCTCAAATATACACAGTCCAATTCTGTGTGTTTTGCTCATCGGGGACAGGTACGGTATTTTCGTATACTTTGCTAACTTTTTCATGCAGAAAAACAAAACCTTTCGCTCAAAATTCGATTTTACAATTTTTTAAATTAGATTATCGAGCAATTGGATTAATTTTAAATGCAATTCAGACGTTTACAAAGCTAAAATTCGCATAAATCATTGCAATACGCTTAGCGTTTTTATCGTCAAAACAATGGAAGAAATTACAAAATTCGAGTTTTCCGATTTTTTTAGTTTTTCGTATTTTTCAAAATCAGCGACAAAATCACTTTTGAAAAGATCGTTTATCAATTTTTTAAAATTTGCGTTCACATTTAAAACAATTTTATATTTTTAAAATATGATAAACGGCCATAAATAATTCATACATTACAATTCCAGGTAATCGGGATGGGCGCCGGCCAGCAATCGCGTATCCATTGCACACGACTCGCCGGCGAGAAGGCCGCTAACTGGTAAGAAAATTTTTTCTCGGTTTAAAGGGATTGACAAGGCTAAAAGCTATGGATTTTGGCAAATTGCTAGTCAGAACAACTAATCAAGGTTTTCTTGCCTAAATTAAAAAGAATTTGATGGGTTGATTTGGAAAAACCCGAAAAGCTCGAAATCTGAGGTTATCCGGACTAACATTTTTTTATATAGTTTATAGCGTGTATTTTGTAGACTATACTGTCGAATTGTCGCACAAATTGTCCGTTTATTCTCACGGAAGAGTATTCAGAAGGGGAGGGATGGCGCTAATTAATGGAAAATGGATGGAGAATGAGATCTTCTGGGTGTTGTTTGGGGGAAAGACGAAAGGGTTTTCGCGAATCGCTCGATAAAATATCGATTGATTGATAAATCAGTCGAAATCGATCAACATCGATCGATGAATCAGTGGCGCCGGAAGATTGGCTTGTTACACGCCTCACCGCATACGCCGCGCACCTAAAATACCGATTTCTGGAGCGATACAAAATTATTTTGGAACTCTGGTAATTTATAGCATTTTAATTCATTTAACTGGCTGGCAGTTAGTATATTTTGGTTTACAAAACATTTTCTAAAGGACAGAAAACGAAAAAACTCGTTTTTTCGAATTTAAATTTTTTGAGGTTTGCTCTTTTTGGCATTTTTTTGCCCCCCTAGTACCTTTAAATGGCTTCTGAAGTAACATTCTGGTTCAGTGCCCGTCAGTTAGACTACAGACTACAAAATACCCACCTTTTTCCAATAAGATGCCGTAAGCGGTGCCCGACATCCATTAGCCCCTCCATCATGGATACGGGCCATTGTCTCACAATCTGTCTTTCCATAGCATTTCAACCGGAAACGAGAGGCGATTATCTGGAAGTGAAGCGTTGTAAGGCAACTTAGACATAGCTATAGCATTCCCTCGGAAAGTAAGTAATTTCATGACGTAATCGGTTGTTTTGAGCAATTTTGAGGCCAAAAATCGGAAAAATAATTTTTTGAAAAGTTTTTGCTGATTTTCCGGATTTTTTTTTGTAAATTCTACCGTACCCTGATACAGTTAGCCGAGCAATGATAGTCCTCGGCACAATGCACCCAAGCTGTCTCTTCTGGCTCATCGTCCTTCTTTCCGGGCTGGTAGCATTGCTGGAAAAAATTGGACATTGGCCTCTCTCTCTTTCTCTCTCTCGCTTTCTCTCTCTCGCTCTCTCTCTCGCTCTCTTGCTCTCTCTCTCGCTTCACTGACATCCAGTTTACATAAATTCATCGTTAACACTAAATTTATAGCTATAATGCTCGAAATACCATGGTTTTCCAAAATTTTTTGAAGTCAAAATCTCGAATGTTCGCTCTTTCTTAATCTTTAACGATAGAAATAGCTTATCTGGCAACCAACTATTTTAAATATGGTTTTACATGCCTTACCCTATATTGATAGATATTGAGATTGAAATATCCGCATCCGATCCTCTCATTTCCATCAACTTGACATCCAACGGGGACACAACCCGAATCAACGTCACACATCGACAGAAGGCACGCATTTTCTGCATCCACTAAAACAATTAGCGGGTACTTTAATTCCTTAATATGGCAGTCAGACTACGCTACAGTAGCCAAAAAAACAACTATTTTTTTGCTTTAGACTACAGGGTGTCCCATAAAAAAGCACCCCTCCGGCATTTCACCGTATTACATCCGATCGGTCCGAAATTTGGACTAGAGGTGTATCAGACCCTAAATAACCACAATCCTGATTTATAGCCCGCCAGCCACAGTAATTTTCGAAATACAACAAAAATAAACTTTTTTATCCGTTTTTCATATAGTTTTCGTCGAAATCGACCCTTCGACTATTAAATGAAAATGAAGCGGCAAGCCTGTTTTACCCCTAGAGATTTTTCTCTGATAAAAATTAGTGAAATAACAGTGGATTTCAACAATTTTTGTAACGCAAAATCACCCCCGATATTAAGCGAAATTAGGGATTCGCAGCCGGAAGTCGATGCAAATCGATGCAAAGTCCAAAAAAGATAGCCGAACAAACTGTTAAGAACCGCGTAAAAAAAGTATCTTGAAGATAACTCGAAAACTACTGTAGCGATCGGTCTATAACTCAGGATTGTGGTTATTTAGGGCCTGATACACCCCCAGTCCAATTTTGGGACTGTTGGGATGTAATACGGCGAAATGCCGGAGGGGTGCTTTTTTTTGGGACACCCTGTACAATGTACACCTAAGTATGCTATTTAACTTGAAATTCGGCTATTCTGCCTGCCAGTCTACAAGAAAATGCTATAGAAATTGAAATAGGCTACAAACTACGGTGATCTGGCATCCAAACTACAATACAGTAGACAAAAACAAATCATATTTCTGCCTTTAGGCTACAAAATACACCTAAATACATTATTTTTTTTAGTTTTGATAAGCTGGATGGCAGACTACAATAAAAGCATTTCAGCGTATTCTATTCTGAGCTACGGACTACGATAGAATACTATTGACGCTACTTACCTTTATCAAACATTAACATTGAAGAGACGCGGCCAAGAATTGAGAGGAGAAGGAATAGACTGCCAATCATTACACTGCATCTAAAGAAGGAGAATTGAGGTACGGCAGCGAGTACAGTAGTACCTGTTGACGACGAACATGTTCTTCGTCTTGACGTCGACCCAAGAAATCTCTTGCGCATCCGAGGAACACTACAAAACGAGAAATTTTTGTCTTTAAAGCAGTCGACTTCTGGCTGCCAGATTAGTAGAAAAATAAAAAGTAGAAGTATAATTAGAAAAAATTAAATTGTTTAGAGTTTAGAGGAGTTGTTTACAATATATCTGGATGGCTTTTTGTAAAAATTGAGATGTAGCCATCCCTTTAAAAGGGCCCGAAAGGCATCGCCAAAGATTTTTCGCCTAGATTCCTATGAATTTTGCCGCGCGCGTTGGTTGGCTGCGATTAGAGGTCGTAATTGATTAAGTGATAAAATCCCGAACAGGCGCGTGCCTTTAAAGCGAACGTGACGGTTGCTTGGGAGAATGTGGAAAAATTCAGAGAAACTAATTTTTAAGTGGATTTTTGGCTATTTTTCATCGCATCGGCCGCCAGAAAAGTAATTGCTTGCACGATTCCTCGAAATCGAGGTGTCACCATCCCCTAAAAATCGTTTTAGGCCCTAATTTAATCTCTTTTTCTAGAATTTAATGAATTTTTATAGAAGTGTATGGACTTTGATCAATGAAGTATCGACTGATCAAATATTGAGAAGGTGTGATCACCATATATTGAGAGCGGGGGAAGAAGCGGGGCATGAAATGCCGTGTTTGTGCTTAAAATAGGCCGAGAAATGCTGATAGGGAGGAAGGGAAGTGGGAGGAGGGCCGGAAATGAATCGAGAACCAAAGGGAATTGTAGCAAAAGATCATCGAGTAAAGGGCAGCCAGCGGGGGTAGTACGAATACACTACCAAATACACCTATTTACGCTACAAAATGGGGATTTTTGTAGCGTAATCGATTAACTGTCTGCCAGCTAAGGTAAATATCAACTAACGTACGATAATGACATTGTAAATAGGAGTTATTCGTACTAACGACTGGTCTGGCTACTGTAGTTAGCGAAAGACTACGAAATACACCTATTTACGCTAGAAAATTGGAATTTTTGTGTCTTAATCGGTTGGTTGTCTGACAGTTAACCTAAATAGCAACTAAAGTACGAAAAGTGGCGTTCTAAATTGGAGTGGGTCGTACTATGAATCGAGCTGAACTGTAATAGGGTTCTGGCTACGAAATACACCTAATTTCGTCGCGAATTTCTGTTTTGATAGGGTAATGGATTAGCTGGCTGCTAAATGACCCATAAGCCAGGTTAAATCCGTAAAACTCAAGGCGTACGGTGGATTGAGTCGCACTAACACTCCAACTGGCTACTGTAGGTCCAAAAAACCACGATAAACCCCAAAAAAGTAATATATTGAGCGGGGAATCCAGTAGGCCAAACCACGAGTAGCCCCTACGTTTTTGGCCCCAATTTGGCCGCGATTTCATTTTGAAAATTCGGGCCGCGGCGTGACGCGAGCGCGAATTCCGCGATGCTCCTCTACACGAGCATCAAAATAGAGAAGGGAGAGAGAGAGAGAGAGAGAGAGAGAGAGAGAGAGAGAAAGAGAAAGAGAAAGAGCTATTTATATTTGGAGGAGATCCACTTCATATCAAGGGCCACCAGCCGAAGAGAGAGACCCATTACGTCATGTAATTCGGGGGATACTTGAGTTTGGAGGGCACCATTTAGCATAACAGCAAGTACGCTATACAACTAGCAGTGTTTTTGGAAATTAACGGTATTTGAAAGGCAAATACCGATGAATTTAGCTTTCCTGGCTGTCAGTTTGTCTAAAAACACTGGAATTTCGCATGTAATTAGTAGCCAAACGGAATTTGAAGCCAGAAATTGATCATTCAGACTAACTGGCAGACAATTAAGTTATTTTGAAAGTTACTAGGTTACTGTAGGTAAATTTAGCTTTTACACTTGTCAGTTTACCTAAAAACACTGAATTTCGCCTGTAATTAGTAGCCAACAAAAATTTTCAATCCAGAAATCAATCGATAATACGAATCGACACCCAGTTTTGCTATTTTCAAATTTTCTGGGCTACATTAGCCAATAGTACTATTTTAAGAGCCGAAAATGACAAGTGTGTCACCCGATGGTCCCAAAATATCAAAGTGACCGCATCGAGGCCCTAAAAATACGCCAAAACCCCACGGGCGAGAATAAAAGATGGCGGTGAAGCGTCAGAATGCGTATTCTCGCGGAATTTTTGACGCCGAATTATTCGAGCGAATCCTTTCCTCTTTACAGGTGGTTGCGTCAACATCCACGAGTGCTTGGATTGCCGTGGAGGGCAATGGTCAAGAGAGCCGAGAGGAGTAATGCCATTGATGTGCTTTGCTCTGGGGTATTGGGCAATGAGGTATGCATTATAACGTTAAATCGTGGTCTTAAAATCCATTTAAAAACACCTAAAAAATTTAAAATTTGAAAATTTATAATTTTTTGGCCGAAAATGCGTGAAAAATCGCTCAAAAACCGTGAAAAATCTCTTTTTAAAGCGTGACAATTCACTTTTAAAATGTTTTTAAATGACTTAATTACTATTATATATATAAAAGCTTATAAATTATTTCTAGACGTAAAACCGACCACAATAAAAAATTCAATTTTTCAGCCAAAAGGGCCGATTTTCGACCAATTTCAAACTTTTTAAGGATTTTTCTAAGTTTTCCAATAGTTATTACGCCTAAAATACAATGAAATTTTACAATTTTACTAAAAACGCTGTTAAAAAACTTGATATTTCATTACTAGGGATTTCTGGATTAATAACAACAAATTTGGTCCGCCGATAACGCAAAAAGATACTTTACTGGGGTATCTGCACGGTAAAATAGAAATCTAGAGTGAATTTGAAGCCACAAGCCGTTCCTCCGGCTGTCAGCTAAGCTGGGAATCGTGAAATACGATCTATACTATGGTAAAAAAAAGTAAAGAGCTGTATTTAGGTGCCGCTCGACCAGTGGAATCAATTCTTCACCGATCCCGTCGATCCATTTACGCCCGTAAGTTATAAAAACAAAGCCTATCAACTTTGAAAAACGATTAAAAATAGACAAATATCGCGCAAATCCTTAAAATTTCCCTTCTCTCGCTTAAAAACGCACAAATCATTGCCAAAAACCCCTCAAAGTTGCCCTTATAAATGACCCAAAAAGGGCTATTTCCGTTTGGCGAAGAAGCCCCTATAAAGCCAGAGGCTTTTCCCCGATTGCCGTCATAGGAATAAGCCCTGAAAAGTTACCTAGAGGGGGTTTAAACCCCCTAAAAAGGGCGGGGAGAAGCAGGTTGATACACCTCGATTTGTCACGAGGAACGGACCGGAAAAAGAAGAGAAGAAGAGAGTTTTTAAACCAGAGGAGAAGGGGTCACGACGATGACGTCTTCTTCTTCTTCTACGGGAAAAGTGGCAGAAAAGAGGCGGAAAAGTGGATTGGAGGGGAAACACTTGGCCCCTCCATTGTGCAACCACTTACATCACACAATTCGGGATGCCGCACGAAAACCCCAGAAATGCGCTTTATGAACTTTGAAAACTCCGTGAATCATCATACTGCCAGGCAGAAAAGATGAAAAAAACAAAATTAGTGCCTGGAAAAGCACTAGCAATTATTTTCGGAGTTTTTTCAGGTAAATTTTTAATCCATTTCCAACTTTAGACCCTTGAAAAATTATTTAGAAAGCCTTTTCCTAGCAAAATAGACATACTGAAATCCAGAAAACGTCTAAAAAGAAAAAGTAGTACGCAGGAAAGCGCTAAAAACTTTTTACATAGTTTTATAGGGGCAATACTAGAGGTTTGCAAGCTTATTACGCTTCAAAAATTCATTTTAAAATCTGTTTCCACGTAAAATAATCGAATTCTGGGTCAGAAAAGACAGTAAAAACTTTAAAAAAATTTGTATCACAAAAATAGAAGCCAAAAATAATTCTAGAAACTCCAAAACCCACTTCTAAGACGAAATTCAAGCCATTTAAGGCTTAAAAATCTATTTTAAATACGTTTTCTTATAAAAATAATCGAATTGTCGGTCAGAAAAGACATTGGGCTCCCAAAAAGTGATGTATCCATATTACGTAGGTATATTCCGGGCAGAAATAGCCCCTGAAATTCCCTCATACCCCATTGAACACACAAATTGCACCCGTCAAATGCAGAAAAGGGGGGCGTGAAATTGGCGAATTATCACACTTTTTAGCTATACTTTAATGCCTGCATATTTCGTCCATTTAGAAGAATTTAAAGTAATATTTTTGCAGGAATTTAATGAATCATTTCACTTTCAGGAAGAGCGAAAAGAATGGCTGGCCGAACAGAAGGATGTCGTCATGTCTTCTGACGCTTTTCTACCGTTTAGGGATAATGTCGATTGCGCTAAACAGGTATTAACAAGGAAATTAAAAAATGTAAGATATAAATGTATAAATGAACCTAAACCCCTATAAACAAATCCCGTTTTACTCATCTAACTTTTTAAAATTCCATTTCCAAGCTTAAAGTTAAAAAAAATTGTATAAACCTACGCTTTTTCAGTTCGGAGTCCGCTACATCGCACATCCTGGCGGCTCGGTTCGCGATGAGGACATTATTGATGCTTGTAATGAACATGGCATTGTTCTGATCCATACTGGCCTTCGTCTATTCCATCACTAACCTAAAAAAGGTTTTTAATCAATTTTTTTGAGTTTGTAGTTTGTATTAAACTCCCATAAACTACAAAATACGTTTAAAACACCGTAATCTCTATCAATTCCATTTATCCATTCCACTAGGGTGTTTTTGCATCATTGTGTTGTGAATTGTGTTTTGTTTCGTGTCTTCGGAACTGGACTGTTAACGGGGGGGGACTAATTTTGATCTTGGACCTTTTTGACCAAAAAGTCAAAAAATACGAAAGTTCCATGATTTTTAAGGCTTTGATATCTAAAAACTATGTAAAACCCTATAAAAATGGTCTGAATTTCCATATGAGACCGAACCCCCCCCTCCCGCTAAGAGTTCAGTACCGTAATCTCTCTATCTCTGCCCTCTTTTTACAACGATAAACGAAAAATGTTTTCTTTTTCTAATTTTCGGCTGCAATTGCGGGAATTCTGAATCCATTTTATCCAATCTGTATGTGGTTTTTGTCTTTTATTTTTTTAAGGAATAAACTGGGGAAATTCATATGATATTAAAGGCATTGTGAAGTGGCAGGGAGACTCGTAATATATAGACCGGATCGAGAGAGAGGCAGAGAAAGAAAGGAATGAGGTCATCAATTGAGTATCGCATACACACACGTTTAACATTGTAAAAATGAGAAAAATCAGTTTAAAAAATTTAATGACCCTCGCGGGCTCGCATGTAGATGTCCATGAAGGCCGCCACGAACGCCTCCAGGTGGAAGATCGCCTGGAAAAATGAGATATTTTATTTTTATGACTTTTTCCTGAGGATCAAATTTTTCAAATATCATTAGATGCGTGTTTCTAGACGATTTTTTCTATTCCTAAACGTAAAAATTGTACAAATTTGCATTAAAAATAGAAAAATAACGATTTTGCCACAAAAAAGAGCAGATTTTCGACCTGATTTAAATTTTAAATATTTTTTGAAATTTTTAAAGAGTTTTCCACTTAAAATCTGACCCGATTGATGAAAAACGCCGTTAAAATCCTTCTTGATAAAATATCCCTGAAAAATATTTTCAAAATATCGCTTTTTTTTGAGCGAAAATTGCAATTTCTCCGAAAAATTGAAATTCAAAGATTTTTCAAAGTTTCGCAGTTAGATTACTAAATAGTTTCCGCACTTTAAATCCGGCTAAATTTATCAAAACACAAATTTAATTTAAAAATTTTTAAAGTACCCCGATATTGCAAAAGTGCCGTAAAAACTCTCAAAAGTACCTTATTGCCCTTGGTGAGTCCGTATTCCTTCTCGGCAGCAATGGCCGCCACTTCAGCCTTTGCATGCGGGGGAGTCGCCTCGAGCAGATAGCGCAGAAGTTCCTGCAATCGAAATAAACACAATGAAAATTAATTAACATCGATTCGCTCCTTATAACGAATTCAAATTAAATTTCTGCAAAAAAATCAAATAAGAATTACCCGAAAGATGATTGGCGGCGGGATGCAGCGGCTGATGATCTCGTACAGCCGCTCACGAACCTAAATCCAGCATAAGAACGACTAAAAAATTCAACAATGAACAAAAAATTAAAATAAGGCAAATTCAATTACCTGAATGATGACCTCAGCGCTCTGTTTTCGGATGATCATTTGGGCCGTCTCGCGCAGATAGATCTCCCATTCCGGCTCGGGCAGCTAAAAATATGGAATTCACAGTGTTTTGGCATTATCGGGGGGGGTTTGGGATTTCCTACCATCCAAAAACCTACCATAATCATAGAAAGTAATTTAATAATGCTTTTCTTAAATTTAGCCATATTTCAAGCGCCAAAAAAAAAAAATAGAAAACCTTTATAAAACTATTTAAAAAACGTTGAAAATGTTTAGAAATTTCGATTTTCACCGAAAATTTATGTCTTAGTTTTAACAACATTTTGTAGTTTTGCGCTTACAATCTTTAAGCTTTTTAGATCTAAAAACACGCTTTCTATTGATATTAGGCAAATCCAATAAAAAAAACGAGGAAAAAAGCCCCCCCGATAATGCGAAAGAACCGAATGAACGGATTTGACACGAAAAAGGGCGAAGAACGCGGAGAGCCAAACGGACCCGCTGATTCTCCTGAAATGGGAATTGCTGTGCCCTTCCACTCTCCAGCAGCAGCAGAGAACGACGAAGATTGCCACGGCCTTGTGCGATGATCTAAAAAATGTATGAATTTCCAAAACCAGGATAAACTGACGTTTCTCATGACAGTTTGCGGCAACGGCAACACATTCTCCGCATTCGCCACATTTGCAATCACCGAGGCGATCTGAAGAATCGCAAATAGACGAAAAAGGGAAATTTGCTTACATCGGTTTCAGAAGGGGCCGGTACCCTCAACATCATACAACGAGAACGCAACGGATCGATGACACGCGACAATGATTCGCACACCAGGATTAGACGGCAATTGCCTGCAAATGGGTAATATCGAAAATCCGGTACTTTGGCAGTATCGGGGGGGAGGAGGGAGGGGTAGGGACTAATTTTCCTGACAAGGAGTGCCTTTTGGGTGTCATCGGCAAATTCCTTCGAGACCTAGCTCATTCGATAGAGAATTCGATTCTGAACAAAACCCCGTTGTTCTTTTTTGCAGAATGGCTATCCCTGATTTTATAAAATTAAAATACTAGTGACCGTCTCTTACCGAGCGCCTTTCGAGCAAAAAGATAGGCTTTTGGATGCAGTTTTAAAATTTTATAAAATCAGGGATAGCCATTCTGCAAAAAAGAACAACGGGGTTTTGTTCAGAATCGAATTCTCTATCGAATGAGCAAGGTCTCGTAAGGGTTTGCTGATGACACCCAAACGGCACTCCTTGTGAGTTCAGAAATTTCCAGTACAGCAATAAAGCGTTTTAATAATGATTTTGACAAATTCTGATATATTTTCGGTCGAAAACGGTCTAAATCTGGAAAATGCTTTAAAAATTCAAATTTAGGTCGAAAACCTTCAAGTTTGGGTGGAAAAATCGATGTTTTTGTATTTTCTCTTATTTTTCCGGTTCCAGATATACCTAGTACGATAATAATCAACATTTTCGTAGTTTTTGATAGCAATTAGCTATATTTGCAGTCGAAATATTTGGCATTTGGTCGCAACACCTTTATTTTTGCAATCTTAATAAAAATTGGTGAAGTTTTAACTGTTAGGAATAGCAAAAACAGTGTGTATCTAGAAATAATGCAAAATATCGAAAAGAGCTAGAAAATTCGTCAGAAAAAAAATGTACCAGAATACGCCTCCATTGTACGACGAAGAGCGTGCTGCGCATCCGTTGACAACCCATCCACTTCACGCAGCACAACCACTAGAAAAAAAAGACAATTTTTGGCTGGCTTGGAAAGTGGAGATACCTTTGAACTCCTTCTGCGCCTTCTCATTCAATTGTTGTGTCTGGGCCATTTGCTTGATCACCTCCTGGACGACGATTCGATCGTGGATGCCGACATCGCTATAAAACGCAAAAATCGTGGTTTATATCTTTAACAATACCTCGGTGTCAATTCGATGTGATAATTGCTGCTGACCGTCTGGATTTCGAGCTTTTTCCCGCCGGGTGTCGTGAAGCCACGCGTTTCCAGGCGAAGTTTCGTCGCTCCGGCACCGTAGAGAGCTCTAAAAACGGCGCGTTATTTTCATATATAAAGTGTGTAAGTGTTTTTACTATTACTGAAAGCAAAACCATCAAAAAATGTCTAAAAACACTAGAATTCTGATTTTTACGACCAAAAATGGCTCATTTTCGACAAATTTCAAATTTCGAAACATTTTTCTACGTTTAAAAATATATTTCCAATTTAAAATAGCTAAATGACAATAAAACAACATTCGAATCCATTCTAGAGAACAAACTTAACAATTTTGATCTAAAAACAAAAACATCGATTTGTACGACGAAAAATAGGTGATTTTCGACAAAATTTCAAATTTGTAAGCATTTTTCCACGTTCTAAATAGTTTTTAGGATTGAAAAATCGCTAAACTTTCTCAAAACACGCGTAAAATCCTTGCTATCCCTTTACCTGGCTAAACTGGAGTTATAACGGAAAAATCGGATCCGAAAATCCCGGAGAAAAACAACGATTCTTTTCTGCTTTTGCCAAAAATGATTGAAATCTCACTTCAAAATGCATCGAACCCTGGTGGCTTTGCCGGCTCCACTCGGCCCATAGAGGAGTAGATGCGGGAAATCATTGCTGGAGACGATTTCCCTCAACCGCTGCGTCAATTCATCGTGATACGACAGCTCGTCCAGCGATTGTGGGCGATATTTGTCGATCCACAGCGCCATTCCTGAATTTTTATTTATTAATTTACAAGAAGAAGCATTGAATTGGTCAGAGAGGATAAAGCATGGTGAGCAGAGAGAATTCGGGGGAAGGACACTTATCACAGCGAGAGAAACTGCATTTTTTAGGAAATTAGATGATGTACATCAAAAGATGGTGGTTAGGGAATGCGGGGGAAGTGATGAATTTGACAGTAACGAGTTGCAGAGTTAGCATTATGAATTTACGGCAGCGGTAAGAACAGAAAATTGAGAAAAGCTCGAAACGGCAAAGAAAAAGCGGTACTTGGCTGTTAGCGGGGGTGGGAAAAGACTTCTTACAGTTTTATAGCATTTCATAGCCGTTTTTGATTGCTAAAAAGTGCTAAAAATCGTAGAAACTCGGCAATTTTGTCGATTTTCCATGGTTTTGACAAAAATCCTAACAATTGTTAGACCTTTCTACACTCAAAGCCGGTGCGAAACGGTAGACAAAATATGCGATCTCATGATAGCTTCCCCCGCTAACAGTTAAGTACCGCAAAAGCTGCGAAAAACGCGAAATCCTTCTTTAGATGGTGACGCCGGGCGAGATGAGATATTTGTTGAGGAAGCGCCTCTTCGAGAAGCATAGCCACCATTTGCTGGCCCTCTCATTCGGCACCGGGAATGCCAGCTCGCACAGACGAAGGCCCACTTCCTGCTTGATCTGTTGCAGATAGGCCCTCATCACTTCTTCCTCATTCTTATCCTTCGGCGAGTGGAAGAACGAATTGAGCGGGAATGCGGCTTCTCCGGGGATCGGCACGACGTTGGACAGCGCGAGAACATGCAGATCCTTCAGCCCTTGCGCCTTATTCGGGGAATTCTGGAGTTTACGGAGACATTCGGTGGTGTAGAGAGTGATGAAGAGGAGCGTCCGATCCGAGGAGCTCTTGATCTCGAAATGACGGAAGAAGACGTTCGCCTTGAAATAGGTGAGAGCCTCGTCGATGATATCTTCGTCTTGTGTTTGCGGGGCTGGTCCTTTGAATGTTGTACGGAGAGGATGGAGCGCCATATTGCCGATCGATTGTTTCGAGTCCATGTGCGAGTTGTAGGCCGGCATTTTGAGACGTGCCTGCAAAGAAAAATACGGTTTTTAGAAATTTTCCCGGCCAAATTGTTCAAATAGGTAAAAAATACGTGAAAAACCGGAAATATGCAAAGTTTTGACAAAAATACGATTTTTACGACGTTTTTTAAGAATCTACGGGATATTTCTAGCCCTCAAAATCATAAAAACCAAGTGAAAACCGTAAAGCAAAAATATTTTACATTAAATTGTAATAAAATGGTGAAAATATGCATTTTCAAGGATTTCCAAAGCATTTCTAAACCGCAAAAATCCCTAAAAAGCAGAAGGAAAAGCCGGAAAAAAGCAATTTTTTTCACATACATGCTACGCAAATTGTTAAAATCCACTTTTCAAGAATTAACAGGGCATTTTCAACCCGCAAAATCATAAAAATGAATTGAAAACCGGGTAAAGATTTATCAGCGCGCCAAAAAAAAACAAAATCAACAGGGAAAACGATGCTAGTCTAACACTATTCAAATCAAAAGAAGAATTCAGATCATATCGATATGTACAGCACAAAGAAATAGACGAATCAATGAGAATGTTCTTTCTTCGGCAGGGACAGTCCGACGAGATTCGCGCTTTCTTCGACAGTCTTCTCGGTGCCCTTGTACGTTTCTTGCAGAGCGAGGAGGCGACGGGTGCTAAAAATAGGTTAATTAGCCTTTTTTCCTGCGTTTTAGTACCTAAAAAGCTACCCAAAATTCGATAAAAATAAGCCAAAAAAGCGCGTAAAATAGCTAAAAACTAATTAAAACTCAACAAAAATAAGTTTAAAAACGCCGAAAACAAGATACCTGCTCAAATAAGTGGCGTACAACTGTGCAACACTTTCCATTTCGGTTGGCCCCTTCGAGAGAACACGTTGTGTCGTCTAAAAAGGTATAATAGACGATTTAAAATGACAAACCTTATGTCTGAGCATCTGATCGGCGAGGAACTTGTATTGTGGAGAAGATGTGTTGAATGTCTTGTCAGTCTTGCGCAGCTCTTGGATGATTTGCCGGAACGCCTTCAAAGCCACGGCACTTCGCTCCGCGCTTGCCATTTCTGTAAAAAGTAGATTAATGGCAGGATTTTACAAAAGATATGCGGATAGGAACAGAAAGGAGAAAATGAGAAAAAAGGCTATCAAAAGTATTTTTTTGGACAAGCTATAATTAAAAAACGCGACTCCTTATATGGAAAATGAAAATCAAAGTTGATTAGAAAAGAAGCGATTATGCGTCAAATTTCAAGAAAGGCTTGAAAAAGTAGTTTTTGAGCACGCGATTCCCGCCAAATTTCTTTAATTCCTTTAAATTATGGATTAACAATCTCAATTCTCCTGATAGTAAACGAAACCACACATTATTGATCAGAAAAACGAGCGGATAACCGAGAAATTTCGAAAAAGGCTTGAGAAAGCGGTTTCTGGGGAAGATATTCTCGCAAAATTGATAGTAAACGTTCCATAGCGGTTTAAGAATCGAAACTAAGTTGTCTACGGCCTGAAAACATTGTGTAGAAGCGGAAAGGGTCTTCTTCCTTCGGTCGGTCCATGTTGATTCATCCGTCCCTTCCCCCTTGGTTCCTCTAATTCCCCTCCCGCCCAGTGGGCATAGGACTGCCGCGTCCTATTACTATCGCAAAGGCCTGAAGGAAAATATTTACGTTATTTTAGCTGTATTTTTTTATTAAAAAAACACGAAAAATGAGTTGAGACAGATTTTTACCCTGAAAAACGTTTATAATCATGCAATTCCGAAAAAAGCACTTCGTTACTACGGAAAATGCTTCGACGAAAATCTTTTCGTGATCTTAGCCTGTATTTTTACAAAAATAAGCGAAAAAAAATCAGCTTTAGAAACATTTTAGTTTGGTAAAAATGATTTTGAAAAAGTTTGAAAATTCGGAGAACGCAGCTCCGTTACAATACACTGAACAAAAGTCCGTACACTGGAGCGTTCGTACGCAGCTCCAAATATTTCATTTTTCGAAATTTCCGAAATTCAACTTTTCTTCTTATTTTTACGTTTCAAAATCCCGAAAAATCTCTAAATTTCAGATGTCACTTTTGGAGGGTAAGCTGTGCCAGGGATCGGGCTGCGGCAAGCCGGCCTCCCTGCGATGCCCCACTTGCCTCAAGATGAACCTCGCCGACTCGTTCTTCTGTGATCAGGTCAGAAAATTGCACGTTTTCTAGACGAATCTCATTTAGGAGTGCTTCAAAGCGAACTGGGGAATGCACAAGGGCGTCCACGCCGATCTCAACGGGCCCTACAACCCGTGGCCAAACTACAAGTTTACCGGTTAGGTCGTTTTCTGGGTTTTTGGACAGTTTTTTTCAGGAGATCTTCGCCCGGCTCGTCTCACGTTCCGCCGTACAGTTCCGGAGCATATCCCGCGCCCGGATTATGCCCTCCACCCGGATGGCGTGTCTTTTGAGGAGCGGGAGGCCAAGAAGAATCGTGATGTCAAGGTATATAGATTTTCCCTTGTGATTCATTTGTTATAATTTTAATCAGGATGTGTTTACACTGTTTTTTACTAGTCCCTATGTTTAAAAACTTTACAAATTCGGCAAAAAAACACTAAAAATATCGGTTTTCTAACCAGAAATAGCCATTATGGACCAAAATGCAGATTTTTAAGGATTTTTTTTTGATGTTTTCAACTCTGAACACAACGACATTTTTCAAAAAACCCTGTTAAGATATTTGTTATTACAATTGAGAACGGAAATTCCTATCGAAACACTCAAGCTATCGATTTTCTGATCAAAAAGGGCCATTTTTCGTCCAAGATTTAAATTTCTACTTTTGTGAATGTTTTATAAATAGTTTACAACTTAAAATATGGCTAATTTGGACTAAAAACACTATTAAAACGCTTGCTGTTACTTTTTAGCAATTTCTGGACTTGTAGGAGAAAAATGCGCTTCTGGAAATCTCGATTTTTCGATTTTTCAGAATTTTCGAGTTTTTTCAGCTGCTGACCGACGAGGAGAAAGAAGGGCTGAAAGTGGCTTGTCGTTTGGGGCGTGAGGTGCTGAATGAGGCTGCGAAGGCCATCGCCCCGGGTGTCACCACGGATGAGATCGATCGTGTGGTGCATGAAGCTGCCATTGAGAGGGACTGCTATCCATCGCCTCTTGGGTAATTTGATGGCATTTGACCCAATTTGCCTGTTTTTTTAGTTATTACAAATTCCCGAAGAGCTGTTGCACCAGTGTCAATGAAGTCATCTGCCATGGAATTCCCGATCTTCGCCCGCTGGTCGATGGCGATCTTTGCAATGGTACTTTTTCCATAGAATCGAATTTTCTAACAGTTGTAGGGGAAGCATTTCTACCGTTTTTACTGTTCCTAAACGTGGAAACGTAAATTTTTTAGATTTGCAAAAACATGGTTTTTTAAACTAAAAAAATCGATTTCTTGGCCAAAATTTCGTATTTTTAAACATTTCAAAACTTGCTAAATAGTTTTTCACTCGAAATATGAGTGGATAAATAGGCTTCCTATATTGCATAAGCTCCAATTTACATATATTTTTTAGTTGACGTAACCGTCTACCATCGCGGTTTCCACGGTGATCTGAATGAGACGTTCTTTGTCGGAGAGGTATCGTTTCGTAGCGATTTTTAATAACATTTTTTAGGTGGATGCCGAATCGAAGAAGCTGGTCAACGTCACCTACGAGTGTCTCCAGAAGGCTATCGATATTGGTATCAACGTACCCTGAATTTTTCATATTTTTTAGTTCGGCCGGGCGTGAAATTCCGCGAGATCGGGAATGTCATCCAGAAACACGCGAATGCCAATGGATTCTCGGTGGTCAAGGCTTATTGCGGGCATGGCATCCATCGGTAAGGGAGTATTATGATTAAATGGTGCTTTTCCTTTATCGGGGGGGGGGGCAAAATTTTTCTATTAAAAAGCGTTTTTATTTTTTTTGCGATTTCGAAACGTAACAGCGATGCAAATTTATTAAAAAAGCAAAAAATATCGTTTTTCGACGAAAAATTGCCTATTTTGGAACAAAATATCAATTCAAAATTTTCTATTTTTCCTAGCTAATGCTATTAAAATGCTTAATATTACGGTGGAGGCGTTCTTATAGATTTTAGGAAAAAATTTGCCACTCCCCCACCCCCCCCCCCCCGATATTGCAAAAGCACCAATTAAATACCATTTTTCAGTCTCTTCCACACGGCCCCCAACATCCCCCACTATGCCAGTGAGTTTTCCATGGATTTTTCTGTAAAATGCCCCTTCTGTCTGCAGTGCCATTTGCGGAGCGTTGCATCTGGAATCTCCTGTACTATACGGGCATCGCGTATGGCGATGCAGGTCAGCAAGCCGAGGAGGATTTTCCTTGGACTGGAGTGTTTTTGGCTTGAATTCGGCGTTTTTGGTCTGAAAACCCTTATTTTGACGAAATTTTCCGTTTTTGGAGGTATTTCTCGGTGAAAAGCAGCATTTATCGACGTTGCCTTTGATCGCAAATTGCCGTGAAAACGCTGCGAAAGGATTTTTATGATTTTTTATGGAAATTGTTTTCAGAAAACACGGCGACGGGCGTGATGAAGGCGGGCAACTCGTTCACGATCGAGCCGATGATCAACGCCGGAAAGTTGAACGACGATCGGTGGCCCGATGATTGGACCGCTGTTACGGTACATTTTAAAATCTTAATTTTCTAAATTTGGATAGAAAAGTATAGATAAATTAGGTTCTATTTCTACGCAAAAACTCTACAATTTTTCTGAAAAATACAAAGATATCGAGTTTCGACCAAATTTTTAGTTTTAGGTGTTTTTCTACGTGTCTAAATAGTTCCCCGCTTGATACAGATATTAGATAATCAATTAGGTAAATTTCTAGCAATCAAAAGCTACTTAGGACATTAAAAATACAATGTGCCGATTTTTCGGCGCGCGCTGGAAAAGATCCCAGCCGTCTCCCGTGTCCACGTGACCCTGTGGTCTATCGGTATGCCTCCCGGCCTCCCAATCCAGCTACCCGGGTTCGACCCCCTCCCATGCATCTTCTAATACCCATCAATCCTTTCAAATGGATTGTTGGGTGGTAATGATGCTATAGAATATCGGTGGGCGAGTCGTTATCGGCCCTCCAATGGCCGTTACCGTTCAATTCTTCCGGACAACTTTTTAGAGAAATTTTAAAATTTGACTTTGAAATTTTGCCATTATTTTAATACAGTTTTTGCTACATATTTTTCAGCGAGGAAGTGCCAGAATTTGTACGCGTAGCAGCCCCGAATTACGCCATCATAAAAGTCGTAAAAAATTTGGAAATTTTGACATTTGCCAGAATCGGAGAAAATTGTGGTAGAAGTCATAAAAAAAATCGACATCGTAATTTTCTAAGAAGTGAATGTTTCTTTTAAAAAGACTATAGAAACGGCGTGTTTTTAATTGGTTGGCTTCCCCCCGCTAAGAGTCCAGTACCGAGTTTTCTTAAAGTTTCTCGTTAAATTTTTAGGTTTTTACCGTCAATTTAGGCCGTTATGTTTGCTTTTTTTCAGTCTGACGGCCGTCGTTCTGCCCAATTCGAGCAGACGCTACTGGTGACAGAGACGGGCTGTGAAGTGTTGACGGCAAGACAGGGCGGACCTTGGTATCAGGAGAATATGTAGATGACCATCATCTTCACCTCGTTCAGCTACCCATCCCCGTTTTGATATACTTTTTGATATTGACGTTTTTGTGTTGTTTGTGATCTCGGCGGGTCATCCCTCTCTTTCTTATTCCCCTTTTTTGCTCATAACATTGTCAAAACGTGCATAGTATTTATCGTCATTATCGTCCGGTGTCTCTCTCTCCTCTCTCTGCCTACGGTGTTTGTCACTTTGATAAATTATGGAAAGAAAAATTGCGATTTTCTGGCCTAAAAGTTCTAACAACGTTTTTTTTTAGAATTTTTAGGTGCTTGTACCATATCGGGAGCGTCAAGTTTTTTTTGTAGGTGGTAGGTGGAGTAAGGGTTTCTACACTTTTTTACTATTGCTCAACCCGAAAAACTCACAAACTCCTATTATATAAAATGGATTTTGCGACCAATATTTCGGGTTTCTAAACGTTTTCTGAACCGTCTTCCAGTAGAAACCTAGCTAAATTTTACTAAAAACACTATTAAAAAATAGGTCTGATTGACTTACCAGCCAGTTCTGAAAAAGCCGGCTTTTTTGGGGATGATTAGGCGAGGAACCGCTGTTTTGTCGACCATAACCTCGAATTTTTGGACATTTTCTTGGTTTTCCAAACAATTTCCCAATTGAAATGCAGCTAAATTTTATTAAAAACCCTATCAAAATCCTTGCTATTACATTACTAGCCATATCTGAGAAATCTAAAATGTTTAGAACTGATTACACGGGGTAATACAATTTCGCGAAATCTGCTCGGCGATTCGGAGAAATGGCAAAAAATAGGACCGCTCTAACTGGAAGAGATATATGCGAACGGACCGACAAACAACCCATCTGCCAATGGAAGAGCTGCAAAAAATCAGGCATCGCATCCGTTTCGAGTTATGTGGTGGACACGCGGGGCGACTTCCCAGATTTTGGACGGCGTCCAATTTCGGGAAATCCGCGTAAAAAGAGCGCCGAAATGGATGGATAGGCTAACTGGGTGGAAGAGAGGGTGAGGAAGGCTTTTTTGAGCCGTTTTCGGGTCTGGGGATTGACAATGGGTATCAACTAGCACATTCTCTGCACGCCCACCTGACCATTCATTTTCTTTTTCTCTGTCTGTAGCTATAGATATCTTTTATCTGTCTGTCTGTCTGTCTGTCTGTCTCTCTCTCTCTCTCTCTCTCTCTCTCTCTCTCTCTCTCTCTCTCTCCCTCTCTCCGCCCCCTTTTTTGGGTCTTTTCTCAAGGGGGGCGTTTCCCCGAATGGCCGATCAACTACTATTTGAGAGATTTTGATGCACGGCAGCCATTTTTCACATCTTTATCTTGGCTTTTATGGTTAACTGGCTGACAGTTCGTTGAAAATCTGGGTTGAAAGTCCATTTTTAGTGATTTTGGACGTAAAATCATAGGAAGATCCGGGAAAAGTCGATTTTCGAAAAGTTCAAAATTAACCCAAAACAGATAAATTCGTGCGAAAAGGCGCTCACTTTAACGATTTTGGTCGAAAAATTGAAGAAAAAGCTAGGGAAAGTCGGTTTGCTAAATCACAATCCTCGATTTTTCGCTTTAAAAGTATAAGGATTATTTTATGGCTTTCTCCGCCTGTCGATTCAGCCAAAAAGCAATCATTTCGGTACTGGGCTGTTAGCGGGGTGGGGCTGGTATTTATGAAAAATGGCAAAACGGCCAAAATTTTTGAATTTTCAAAATGTTTTCTTCACTTTCTAGCCTGCAAAAACTACTAAAAACACCCTAAAATACACTATTTATTATTAACAGGCTCAAGCGGAAAAAAAACAAAAATTATCCCCCCGCTAACAGCCCAGTACCGTAGGTACAGTTGCAAAAATTTACATAACTTTTCATAGAGGTTGTTTATGCGTTTCGAAATCGGACAAAATGAGCAGCAGAGATGATGCTCACGCTTTTCTATCTTCATTTTCCGTTTGTCTGTCTATCAGTTTGTCCATCTGTCTGTCTGTCTGTCTATCTTCCAGTCATGCTCAACACCCCCACGTATATTCTTGATAGTCTCGTTTGTTGACCCGTTCCTCCTCCCATGGCATTGCCATCCTCTTGCTCAATCCATAGCCGGTCTCATGCCCCTCTTCCACTCTTGCTCCTCCCCTCCTCCTCTTGCTCCTCCTCCCCTTCAGTCTCGTTCGAGTGTTCCAATTCATTTTTCCGATTTTCTTCCCCGCTTCTCCATCAGATTCTCACTTTCACTATGTCATCCTCCTCTTCCTTCTCGTCGTTTTGCGCACCAGATCCGTCTGTCGGCGTTTTTTCGAATTCGCTTGCTTTTGCGCGTTGTCCTTGTCCCAGTTGATGACCCCAAAAAGGAGGAAGAGAGGCTGAATTGGGATAACTTATTGATCTTTTTACTTTCTGCCTGTCAGTTAACGTTTTTCTGCGATAAAAATTTTATTTTGTGAGAAATACGGTTTCTAGGGCCAATTTTCAACGAGAATTTGGCTTTCTACTTGGCAGTTAAACTTTTTCATTGATTCTCAAGTTTAGATTTCTTGAAAATAGGTTTTGAGGCCGAATTTTGATGAGCATTGGCCCTACTGTCTCCCAAATAATTCATTTTCAAACCAGCGCCCAAAACCCGCTTCGCGGGCCTTTGCATGAACAATTTGACTTTTTCATAGCTCGGGTCTTTCGGACCCTCCTCTCCCTACCGACCACACGCGCGCGTGCAACTGGGAAGAATGAGGCAATTTCTATTTTTCACATTATGCAAATTACCCCCAAAAATGAATAAAACCGGCTTTAACTTTCTAAACTTGTATTTTATCGCAATTCTGAAAACGCCGCCGGAAAGAGGAGGGTCGATTCCCCCGGGTGACGAAGAATTAGCGCATTTTATCCAGGGGATGGCCCTTAAATCGGGCCTCCCAAGTGACATCCACACACACACACACAAAGATACACCCCAAAATTATATAAGGTAGGATTGTAAAACATAGAAAATACCTTTTGCGAGCTTTCCTGCTCTTTCTGCTTGTGAGTTTACCTGTTTCCATGACTAAAAAGTCTCTATGTCGCGAAAATATCATTTTCGCGCCAATTCTCGATGAGAATTCGGCCTTCGGTCAGCCAATTGATTTGTTTTCTTGTTTCTAAAGCTCCTATTTCACGATATAACAATTTTAGAGCCAATTTTCAATGCGTATTCCGCTTTCTGCTTCTTGATCTACCCATTTTTCTGATTTCTTAACGTTATATTTATCGAATATGATTTTAGATCATTTTCCAGCGCCTACCTCTCCGGAATCGACCCTTTTCCATCCCTCTAAACTTTATATTTCTCCAAAATTCTATTTAAGAACAGCTTGTCCGAGACCATTACGCTTTCTGTCTGTCAATTCACCCATTTTCTCCGTTCTAAACTTTTTATTTCTCGAAACAACGATTTCAGGCCAATTTCCAACGCGTTTTCTGTCTCCTCGTCGATTTGCTAACCAATTTTCCATCTAATGTTGCTGAGACTGGCCACATGATCTGGAAGAATCGATTGACAACAATATGGCTTCTACAAACTGTCTTTATAGCCCTTTTACAAGCTAAAATCCAGCCGGTATGTTGTTTAATAGCCTTAAAACTTATTATTTTTTCTAGCCTCCCGTCGAATTCGCGTCAATGTGTCGATCATTACCGCGAGCGTCTTTTCTGCAAGCGCAACATGTAAGTTTATAGGGTTTATTTTTTGGCTTTAAAAGTATTCCTAAATTTCTAAATGTATAAACTTTACAAAATTTCATGAAAAATACGATGAATATGGATTTTGCTACCAAAAATTCGATTTTCGACGAAAATTTTAATTTTTAAACCGTTTAAAGGTTTTTAAAAATAATTTAGCGATTTCTAAACACCAAAACTCTACGAACAATATTACAAAACCTTGGATTTACAAAGAAGATGGCAAGTTTTCACTGAAATTTAGGTTTTTTAACGATTTCCTACGATTTTTAGACACTTTGCCGCTTGAAATATGGGTAAATTTTACTAAAAACGCTACGAAAATACTTATTATTATTACGATAACAAGCATTTCTGGGCCCATAGAAAATCGTTTCCCCCCCGCAATGCAAAAAATCCCAAATTTCCAGGTAGACCTTGTTTGTGACCACTTCGCCCATTGGCACCATGATCGGGATCACAGTTTGATGACGGGGAAAGCGGCCATTGATGAGGCCACTTGTAAGTGGCATTTTTTATTGAACTGTGTCAATTAACATTAATATATTGTTTTAGACAAGCAGAAGGAATATTTGAAGGATTTGGAGAGTTGCACGAGGTCGGATTGCTCCAAAAACGCCCGAAAGGTGGGGGTTTTCGATTTTAGGCCAAATCCTAGGCTTGTATTTACGTGAAAATCGTAGTTTTCGGTTGATTTTATCCATTTTCATACAGTAAAATGTTTTATTTACGTAAAATCTATGAATTCCGCTTAATGTTATGCATTTTGACGCCTTTAAACTTTTTTATATCTCAGAAAACGTCAGAATTTCCGCTTATCCATTAAAACAGGAAATTTTAAGCCTAGAAAATCTAAATGTTTGTAGCGCAAGTTTTGTATTTCAAGGAATTCGTGCCATTTTGACCATTTGCCCTCTCCATTCGAGCATGACCCGTCGTGCTATGGCCCATTGCCGTTGTATAAAACGTCTTTTCGGCTTTTTTTCGTTCTCTCTGTCGCTCTCTGTCCATTCAAGGCCATTCGTCCCTCGAATTTCCATCCTAAACACCCTCATACTCCTCGAAAAAACCGAACTCAAATCCTCATAGTCTAGGAACCCCTCAGATGCAATCCAAATAACCTTCAACCCCCCACAGATCTCGACTAGGATCTGGCAAAAAGATCGGTCTTGTGGAAAAAAACTGGAAAATCAGGGTTAGATCGGAGCGGGGAGCTTTCCCATTAACGGGGGGAGATAATTTTTCTGAAACTCCAGAAATGCCTAGCAACGTAATTGTAATTAGCGAAAAATCAAAATTGGAAAACTAGTAATTTGGGTTAGCTAGTGATTGGCCGTTTTGAGCGGAAAATCGAACCTCTTTTTATTCCTTCTAACAATCTGGAAAGCTTTTAGGTTTAAGAGTAGTAAAAAACAGCGAAATAGCACAAAAACAACCTATGATTCGAGAAAAATTGGATACTAACAATAACGCAAAAGTGCCGATTGTGTTTTATGGGTCTGACCCCCCCCCCCGTTACTGCAAAGGGTCCGTAGATCGTTCGGAATTTTTCGGCCGGTCGTTCGGGCCAAATTGGTGTTACGAAAAGACGGTGAGAAGGGTTGTTTATCCCCTCGGATGCCCAGAAATTTGTACCGTTTCCGACAGTTTCGTTTTTTGACCCTAAAGTCATGTGAGATGCCGTCCGGAACGGCATTTTTTGCGATTTTTCGAGATTAAAAGGAGTGCATCGTTTACCCCGTTTTTGCGGTACTTTTCTGTATAGCGCCCCGTGTTTGTAGTGATCTGGAATGAGGAGGGAGAGCCGAGAGAGAAAATTGAGCTATGCCGCTGACTCGAGCTCAGAAGAGATGGGTCAAGGCAAAAACAGGGCGCGGTTTTTGGCCGTGAAAAGAGACATTGGGGGCAACTGGTTAGCGGATGGTAAATAATTGGGAAAAATGGGAAAGTAGATAAAACGATTTAAATATGAAAAAGACGCTAAATAACTAGTGCATAGAAAATCAGAAAATACTATCAATACTAAAAATACATAAAAAGTTTTATTTTTTGTTTAGAAGCGAGCCACCGGTAAAAATATTCGAAAAGAGATCCGAATGATGAGTCCTGAGGAGAGGAGCCGGTTGTTTGAAGCCATGGGAAAGCTGAAGAGTGCGTTTTGGCGTAGTTTTTTCAGTTCCCTTTTTTAGGCCGAATGGTGGACAATATCACTGCGTGGGATCTTCACACCCTCGTTCACTACCCGGATTCTGCACCAGGTATGGTTTTTGGCTTTAAAAAGAACTAAAATGACTAAAATGACTAAAATAAAACTAAAATGCTTATTTTCTTTTACGTTTTAATACCATTATGAAATCAATTGGATACCTTATTGATAGATTTTTTTTGGTAGAACGGGTACAATTCCCCAGTGATTACTCACAAGGAGGATGAGGAGCATGAGATTGGGTGTGGCTGATTGTGGGCTGCAGATCTTTTGGAGGACGGTAGACAAACTAGAGGGCGAGAGAGTGAGAGAGTGAGAGATAATGAGAGAGAGACAGACAGACAGTAGACGATCACGTCATCTAAAAGAGAACGCGCAGGATTAGAATGTGAACACGATGCGTCAGTCGGCAAAAAGTTCGGAAAACTGAAAGGTCGGGGGTGAAAAACTGGCTTATCCTTCGAGAGGAAGGAGGAGAAGGAGGGGAGAACGAAAAGTTCAACCTGATGCCGTTGTTCAGGGTAAAAATTCCAAAACTGTTATTTAAAATACAAAAATAACGATTTTTCGCTCAAAATTATCGATTTTCGACCAATTTTAAGCATTTCTAACTTTCTAAAAGGGTTTAAAATAAAGCTAACTTTTAGCAAAAACACTATTGAAACACTTGCAAGAAAAATTCTATAAAATATAAATATAATAATTATAAAATAGACTATTCTGTATTTTTAGGCGCCCACTGGGGCCCGGCCTTCCTCCCGTGGCATCGTGAATTCCTCCGTCAATTCGAGGTGGCCCTCCAGAGAGAAGTACCTGGAGTAGCAATGGCATATTGGGATTCAACCCTCGATCAAGGACTACCAGATCCAGCCGATAGTGTTTTGTGGACGGAAATGTTGTTGGGCAATGGAAATGGGTAAGAAATAATGTTAACAATTATTAAATTTTGGTACTGTTCTGTTAATGGGGGAGGGGGAATTAAAAAATGTTTTAAAAATGTTAAAAAGCAGGGGTCTTTTTGGCATATTTTCATACATTCTTGCCCAGAAAGTAAGTTTTTCAAAAATGCCGCAACATTTTTTGTCGTTTTTATATGGTGTTATACCCCCGCTAACAGCCTAGTACCGTTTTGACTGCAAAATTATGTTAATTCCATTTAGTTACGTGAAAACGGGCCCTTTCAAAGAATGGGACACCAACGTTCTGATGCCACTCAGCCAGGTGCCCGTCAAGAAGCTTTATCGGCGAGTTGACTATGTTTTTAGTGCTTTATTGGCTTTTCTGGTTGTCAGTTTATCTTTTTTAAACAATTTCATCGATCGATTAATTTGTTTTGGAAAGTTAGCCGCTTTCTTTCTGCTTTTTAGCCTCTCTGGACGTCAGTTTATCAATTTTATGGCTTTTCTCGATTAGTATTTGTATTACAATGTTTTTATTGTTTTTATTGCTTTTCTCACTGCCAGTTTATATAATTTAAATAAGTTTATCGGCCAGTTGTTTCAATTTAAAGTGTTTCGGCTGAGTTTCATTTTTAGAATGACGGGCGGCCGTGCCCAGGATCGACTAATGTCCCCAAAAGATGTCGACTGGATTCTGTCGCGGAAGAAGTTTGAAAATCTCGTTTTCTGCCATGATTCGGTGAGTTTTAGAGGTTTTAACCAGTTAGAAATCGCTCTTTTTAGACTTTTGAAAGTATCCACGGCCTCTCGCATGCGTGGGTTGGCGGATTTATGTTTGTTATCAGGTCAGTTTACGAAAATATAGGAATTCTCCAATTTTTAAACTTTTTTAATCAATATACTGACTGGAAAATTGTTTAAAAACAGTAAAATCCATTTAAAAATCGACCAATTGAAGTTTTTACATTCATTTTTGTGATTTTCTGGCTGATAAAATGCTCTAAAGACTTTAAAAAAAGCGTAAAATTACCGACTAGGCTAGTTTCTTGTATTTTGTTCTTTTTTCTGGCTGGCAAATTGCCGAAAAAGTTTAGAAAAATGGAAAATATCGTAATTTTGAGGGTGTCTCCAAACGACCCGGCATTCTACATGCACCACGCATTCATCGACAATTTATGGGAACAATTCCGACATCGAAGGCAGAATAGATGGCAGAGGGAAAATGATTGGAGTCATGTCAGTTGAAAATCGACCCAAATTAAAATGTAATATTTATTTTAGAACCCGTGCAGCAAGAATCAAGAAGCCTACGGGCAGATGAAGCCTTTTTCGATCAAGAATCGCGATGGACTCTCCAATAATTATACCGATTTATGGTAGGGACTAGACGATTGTGCAAATCTTGGAAACTACAGACCACAAAGTTCATTTTCGGGCCGATTTTCATTAAATATCGAAAATCGACGCTTCGAGTTTGATTTTAGAAGACCTCAGAGAGCTTACAATCTTTTTCCATGTATTTTTAATAGATTTTCCCTACTTTTTGGCATCCATATGCCTCATTTTTAGATGTAAAAACTCGATAACTAATTTTTGAAGAATTTTAACCGCTTTCTTAGGTACGAATACGAGCCGGTGGTGCACTGCAGTGAATCGCGCGAATATTGTGACGGGCCGTATTTGTGGTGTGATAAGGGCAGCTGGCGGTCAGTTTAAAGATTTACATAAAAATAAATATATTTTGTAATCTGCAAAATCTAAAAAAGTGATTTTTCAGTTGCCGATCAAAAATCGTGAAAGGCGGGAATTGCACGGGGTTCGAGGAGACGTCTATTTGTTATCAATCTGTCTGCCAGAGGGTGAGTTTTTCAATCAACTTGTAATTGATGATTTATAATTTTAATTAGAGCGTGTTTCACTAAAATTAGAAAATAGTTTTGAAATTAAAAAACTACATTTTTGAATTTTCGGACTTTTCGATGATTATTTAATTTTTAATAAATTGTTTATATATGTTTATATATAGTATTCATAATAAAATTAGCAAAATATTTAAGATTAAAGTAACAGATGCTTTAAAAATTCATTTTAACAGATTTTTCGTTTTAGGGCGTCTGCCAGCCGTATCCGGATTCAGCGCCTCGTCGCGAAGATTTGGAGCAGAATATCATCCTGCCAAAGTGAGCTAAAAACTTTCTGGGTTTAGGAAAATTCAAACTGCCGTGCAGTTTACTGAATTTCACCGAAAAATGTGGATTTAGATTGGATACATTATCCCTGCCAGGGCCTTGGGTGCCCCCATTGGCACGAAATAGAAGGTAGAAATGAGAGAGGCAACAGAAGGGTGGCACTGTCTTCTACAGTAACCAGTTAGAATAACAATGATAATTTTTCCGCTGCACTACGCATTACACCATGAAATTCATCGCGTAATACATTACGCCACTAATCTGACTACCGTAATCAGCACGGGAACATGGGAAAAATGGTCTCTTGGTTCTGTTGGTCATTCAGTTACCGTAGTTTCACTAAATACGATTATTTCACCCGGGAAATGTGATCTTTAATTTGTTAAATTGACATTTATCAATTTTTTAGGCCTGGAGAGACAGTATGGGCAAAGACTGTATTCCTCGACACAAATGCACATCCGCTGAAGGATACCATGGCCACCGGTACGGTAGAGAAAATATTTTCGCGAATTTACGAGACAATTTAAAAGATTTTAGATTTTTATAATTTTCCAAAAAAATCTGTTGTGATTTTCTTGGTTTCTGGCAACCAAATTACTCCAAAAAAACCCGCAGAAATTTCGTTTCTGTCGCCAAATTTTAATTTTTAATTTTTTGAAAAATCTACAGTAATTTTCCGGCTTTCTGGCATCCAGTTTACTAAAAATTGGTTTACTTAAATTCTAGGATTAATCTATAATTTGAAAAATAAAAATTACTTTTTTTCAGTCTCGGTTGTCGATGAAGCGGTGGGGGACAACTACACGAGCTATATAGAAATGTTGACATCGTTCCCTGAGATTCCGGTCGGTACTAATGACTTTATCGAACGTATTTTACCGTAATCTAGCGTATCTTATCGTAGCGTACCATATTCTACCTTATTCTACCGTATCATATCTTAGAATAGCGTATCATGCGTCCGGAACCTACCGTATCCTGGCGTATCTCACCGTATTATACCTCCGGTTACTGCAGAATTTCGTATTAAAGCGTATCCCACCGTACTCTTCGAGTACCGTATCTGACCACACTTTATCCTAGCCTACGGTATTCTGACGCACCTTACGGTAGCCCATCGTAACCTATCGTGGCCTATCGTATCCTTACGTAGCGTATCCCATCGGACTGTAGCAGATCGTGTCTGCCGTAGCTAGTCGTAAAATCTCATAATTTACGGTAGCTTATCGCACTTACCGTATCCAACCGTACACTGCCGTAGCATACCGTATATTACCGTATTCTACCGTATCCTACAGTATGATGCCGTATTCTACCGTAATCTATCTTTTCAGGGTACCCTGTACATGCCGCTCCTCAAGCCCCATCCGGGTGTTGTCCATCGTCTAGCCCTCGTGGCAAGGGATGGATACGGTAGATTGTGCCAAGCGCATTGCTACAACGAAACGATTGAGAGATATCAGGTACCGCGGGTTGTAGCTTGTAGTCTGGATCCTCAGGAATAACATGTCGTAATCCCGAAAATCCTAGAAAAATTGGTTTTCTATTAAAAATATAGAAAAAAAAACAAATTTTTGATCCTGTACATTTCGAATAACCTATCGTCATCGGTTTAGAATAATTCGGAAAACGTCTGAATTTCGCAAAATAAAATGTTTTTAGTAAAAAAACGGAATAACCTAGATATTTGTAGTTTGTAGCCCTCCTGAATTTAGTGTCGTAGTACATTCCAAGCTTCAAAAAACCGGAAAATAAATTTTTCTAATGGATAATCGAAGTTTTCCAATTTTTCCGAATTTGTAGTCTGTAATCCAGCCAATAACATCACATAATCGATTCCCAAATTCAGGTTTGCGATCCCAGGATCTCTTTGGCGATGCGTGGCGATGAATCAGCCCCTCTATCCTATACACACTCCAAACAGAATCGACGGTAATTTTTTGGTACTGTAGCTTCAAAAAGCCCATATTTTAGATACTTGGATACAGATCTGTCCGTCCATCCAATGCAAATACGACCCACTCTACCATTTATGATGTTTGCGTGCACCAGAAAGGTGAGGGACTCAGGGGATTTCCATGGATTCTGCCGCCTTTCGACACGCAACGCACACGCCGCGCGGCCGGGGTAAAAGTGTCGTAACCGATTACGCTATGAAAATACGCCGTGCGTCGCGGCGCTGCAACTCACCTATTAAAGGGACGATGAAGAAAACTATTTTCCAAGGATTTCCCATAGATTTGCCGCGCATTTGCCGCTCCGCCGTTATTGCTTTTTTTCTCCTTCCAATTACGCCGCGCCTTTCCAGTTTCATTGCGTAATCGATCCGTTACGCAATGGAAAATTGGGCACGCGCTGCGTATTGCGTTGCGGAAAATATATAGAAAATCCATAGCAAAAAATCGAAAAAATGTGTACGGGATGCCTTCCACGGTCCTTTAAAGGGAGCGTGACGGTCATTTTTCCGTTTCCGACAGCTAAAAATTCCACATTTGCAGGTGTTAACATCAGCGCAATTGGGAGCAGTCGGAGAAGAACTTCACCCCACGGCCCCCACCTCTCCAATGATATGGTTTCGGGTGGCCATTCACAGGAGCGAGAGGAGGAATTTGGAGGTGAGTACGAGGAGCGGTCTGGAATCTGTCTCATTTCAGGTGGAAGTCCAGCAATTAGATGAATGGCGGGAACCATGGTTTTCTACCGTAGCCCAGGCGGCCAGCCCATTCGATCCGACCATCATTTTTGCTCAGGTAAGCTTAAAATTTTTTTGCGTTTCCTAATGTCTTTTTAAAGCGTTTTTCGCTGATGAGGATTGCCCAAAGGCCAAAAATTTTTAGAAAATTTGAAATATTTGGCAATTTTTAACGTTATGTATTTCGTTATTGGTGACGGCATAGAATCAAAGAAAAATAAAAATCAATCCACTTTAGGCCCCCAATCCGTCGCATTCCTCCTCGGGCAGTGTCCGGCTGATGGTGAATCTTTTCGAAGACAACGAGAGAATACAATGTCCGGCCAAGTGTACACTGGATGATGGATCTCTGATTGATTGTGATGGACAGCTCGAATTATCGATTGATCCGAATCGTGGGGATGAACCGGTGAGTTTTTTATGGATCTTGGTGTTGTTTGTCAGCCAGTTTGTCTAAGTGTCTATTTAAAATCGATATTACCTATCGTAATCGTTTCCCTGGACGCCAGTTTAGAGTTTGAAATGTTGAAAACCCAGTTTTTTCGTCAGACTGCCAGACAGTCTATCCCGTGCCCCAACTACCGTAACCCTCCCTCTTTGCAGGTGTGGACCGGCGATGCAGATGCGCTTCCGGTGCTTGGCTGGGATATGCGTGGCCATCCGACTAGATGGCGCCATCGAATGCCATATCTAACGTATTACTGCTAGCCCCCGATTTCATGTCGTAATCGAATATACCCGCCCGTATTTGGGTGAAATTTTGCTTTTTTCTGATTTACCCAGATACTCTAGTCTCTCTCCCCCGCAGATTCCGTTCGATTTCATTATTTTACCAGAGATATTGATTGATTTTGGACAGATTTTTAGCCCATTTTCATGTCGTAATCGATTTTGAAACCAATCAATATCTCCCGTATTTTTACCGGTGCTTTAAACCAGATTCTGCCCACTAAAATTGCTCCAGTTATTCCATTTTCATATTTTATGTATTTTTCTGACAAACTGCCGTGCAGACTGCCTTCTTGTACCTTGCGATTCGAGATTTTTGAAGTGGATAAAAATTTATGGAATTTCTACTTCCGAAAGTTTGTTGGCGTCGTGGAGGAGGGTTTGCCGCTCTTGCCGCCGTATCATTCGGAGCCTGAAAATAGCCCAGAAATTCTTAGTAACGTAATTATAAGTATTTGAGTGGCGTTTTTATTAAATTTAACTATTTTCAAGTACAAAAATATCGAAGAAATTGGTCAATAAACTATATTTTTGGGATTTTTAATACGATTCCACCGATTCCAGTCAGAAACGAGGATCTTAAAATTATTTTTAGCAAACTTTAGTTTATTTTCAAGCTGAAAATCGCCTGAAAAATTACCAAAATGTTGTAAAAATGTTAAATTTTGGTCGAACAACGATATTTTTGTACTTTTTAATAAAAGAGAATAGTAACGGGCAATTTAGAAACATTTACACTATTCATATTGGAAAAATTGGAAGCTAAGGAAAAATGCGTCCCCCCGATAATGCGAAAGCACCAAAAATCCATACCGCAACAATTTCTCCAGCCATCTTTGCCTTCCAAAATACGCAAGTGTATTTGTAGCAGAGTTGAGGATGATCAGGAATTGTGATATTCGGAAGGGAATTATCAAAATATCCTGATATGGCATAATGCCGAAAATGAGCTCCCAAATATCGAAAAAGACCGGCATCGTCCTGTAAAATGGCTAAAATCGATTTAAAAGATAAAAACTAGCTAAAATAGAGTGAATAAAATAGTCGAAAATCAAATTTGCAAAAAACCTACCGTAATATCAAGAATTTAACGGCAATAAATATAGCGACAGTCCGAGAAACTTTTTCCTTTAATTCTTCGGTTAATACGATGGATTGGCGACGGTGTTGGCTTTCAAAAAGTCTGAAAACTGAGATATGCTAAAACTAAAGTAGAAAAACGATAAACTGCCCAGCAATGTACCTTCTCCTTTCCTTCAGACTCTCCTGCACCTTCATTTCCGTCATAACGGTCAGAATTGAGATGACGATGGCTGGTAGGACAGTTTGCGTCAACATATTTATCAACGCTGTCGTGCCGATTAGCTAAAAAATAGTGCAAAAATGCTAAATAAAATTCAGAATTACGTTAACTGCTAAAAACAGTAAAAAGGGCCCTCGACTGTTAGCGGGGGGGGGGGGGGATTTCTAGCGGACGGGGAAATTAAATTTCCCTAAAAATTTTCTCGCATGGCCATATAATGAAATATAAACCATCCGCATAGCATTTTACATATTTTTAGGTATAAAAATTTTATAAAAAAGAATAAAAATTTTCCAATTTTTGGTCAAAAATGTATGAAAATCACAAAAATGTCCGAAATCTTTTTTATATTAATTTAGCAATTAAAACCACTAAAACACTATAACCCCCCGCTAACAGTCCAGTACCGTCAAATCGAACACACCTTATTGTCGTCAGCTTTGTAAAATATATGTTGAGCGGGTTGTTGATGATCCTCATCCCAACAATCAGAGACACCAAATTCCAAGAAGGAAGGGAGATTTAGAAGACAGGAGCTGAGAATTATGAATGCTAAAATCTAAATATTTTGGCCGTTAAAAAACCCGGACTTACCAGGGACCAAGTAAGGTTTTAGTAACTTTCGAAATTGTATTTCTCGAAGAAAATCGATAGCCGAAACGCCGAGCGGAATTCGGGTGGAAAAAGCGGAAGTGAAAGAATCGGTCGGGTTGCTCTGAAAATGAGATTTTCATAGCGTAATCGAATGGTACTTGCCCTTCTCTGGGTTCTGCTACTCCTCTCTTGCAGATTATTTGCATATCGTAATGGTCTCATCACAACGAGACATCTTTGGAGGGAGATGTAGATGACCAGCAGGGTCTAGATGGACGATTTACTGGACGTTCACGGCACATTTTTTAGGGTTTAAAGCCTAGAGTGCTGGCTTTGCATGCGAATTCACTTCCGGCTCTCTCTCTCTCTCTCTTTCTCCTCTCTCTCACTCTCTCTCGCTCTCCCTCTCTCTCCTCTCTCTCTCTCTCTCTCTCTCTCTCTCTCTCCATCCGAAAAACAGATTGAGTTGCCTACCGATGAAGTAATCATGGACCACACGACTAGCCGTACAAAGATCAGAGCGCGTTGATGCTGATACCTAGGAGAAGCGGTACTGGACTGTTAGCGGGGGGGGTTTAGAAGGAGGTTTAGAAGGAAAAACCACTTTTTATACCACCTGCCTGTTGATGATATAGACTGTATTTTGATAGCGTTTTTAGTAGTTTTTGACTGCTAGAAAAATATCAAAAATTTTTTCAAAAAATTTTAAAAATTCGAAAATTTTTGCTTTTTTGGTCATTACGTAATATAATTTAATCCTCTCTTCTGGTTCTAGAACTAGAATGGTAAAATTCTAGTAATGTAAATAAAGATTCGGCTGATTATCACGAAAAACGAGCCCCAAAAAGTGGAAAAAGCGGGGGACGAAAGAACGAGCACGAGAAAAGAGCCAAAAATGAGAGAAAGGAAGGGAAAAAGACCAACATGTGTCGCTGAGGCCCTAGTTGTGATAAATTCGAAAAGGCCAGAGAGGCCAGATGTGATTAGCCCAATTTTTCAAAGCCAAAAAACTATTTGCTCCAAAATTCTGGGAAAATGGAGAGGGGAAAAATTACGGAATATATATCCTATAAAAAATTGTTTATATTTTGTTATAGGGCCATACGGAATTACTAGAAAAAATTTCGTCCCCCCCCCCCCCCCCGCTAACAGGCAAGACCCGGAGAAGCTAATTTAATGGCGAAGTTTACATTAAATTCGTCCCAAACACTATCATCCCAGTGGCTTCGATCGACCGAAATATCACTGCACCAAACATCAGAATCGCATCGACCAGACAGAGGGAGAACAGGGCTAAAAACAACAAAAAATCAAACCGATAATCCATTAACATACCCGCAGTCAGATTCCTGTTTAGCCCAGCTTTGAAAAGAAATTTCATGGCATGAACAGTACCGATAAACGAGACGATAGCCGCCAAAATTGTGCACGGGCCATCTAGCCATCTCGGAAATGTTTTGGTTACAGCATAAACTCAACGAAAAACATACAGAAACGTAGAAATTCGCGTAAATATAAAGGCAAGGGGCTAAAGAAGTGGTTTCGTTCGAATCTGGCATCCGCGCTGAAAACATAGTACTTTAATCGCCATTTTAATGAATAATTCAACGCCTAAAAACAAGAAATAAATAGATAGCATCACGAAAAACGGAAAGCTTTTGGCGGAATAACAAGTGAAAAAGAACGCTAAAAACGAGCACGACAAGTGAAAGAGAGAGAGAGAGAGAGAAAGAGGGAGAGAGAGAGAGAGAGAGAGAGAGAGAGAGAGAGAGAGAAAGAGCGAGGGAGAGTGAAAGAGAGGAGAGAGAAAGAGAGAAAGAAAAGGTAGGTACGAAAGAGAGCGCGTACGCGGAAATAGCGTCTTTATTTAATGCTGCATAAGTACGGTCTAAAATAATCAAAATTAAGTTACTATGTAAAATAAATTAAGTAAATGGTAAAATTTTAGTAATGTAAACAAAAAATCGGCTGATTATCACGAAAAACGAGACCCAAAAAGTCGAAAGAGCGGGGAGCGGAAGAACGAGCACGAGAAGAGAGCCAAAGAGAGAGAAACGACTAACATGTGTCGTTGAGGCCCTAGTTGTGATAAATTCGAAAAGGCCAGAGAGGCCAGATGGGATTAGCCCAATTTTTCAAAGCCAAAAAAACTATTTGCTCCAAATAAAATGGGAAAATAGAGAGCCGGAAATAGGATTTGACGTGATGCCCCTAAAAAAGAGAAAACCTCAAACTTTCATCGATTTTGGGCCGTTTTTTTGGGTTCAAAAAAAGGTGCACTTTTTAGGGCCAGGGCCAGTAAATAGGGTTAGTCGAAATTGGCTTCAGGAGGGGATGGACCATCATTATCTCGGCGGACGCTTTTTGTCTGTCTGAAAAACAGGGAAACTTCAAGTATACGGTCAACTAGCCCGACCCAAACTTTTTATACGTAGAAATGTTCAGCCCGACGAGCTGGTTGAGGATCAGTTGAAAAACGATTGGGTGACACTTTTGGAGCGAGATACAGGGGCCCAAATTTAGCTAGTTAGGGATACGGTCACCTATCCAAACAGGCTTGTTTTATGCATAGAAATGTGCAGCTCGTCGAGCAGAGCCCATATCTGTTGAAAGAATTATTGGGAAAGCTGTATAAAGAATGTTATGAAGGTTTGAAACTCAGTTTTCGGAAAGTTCCGGCTACGCGACACTCCTTTGTGCGGTGCGGTGTAGCCTGTATTCCTATCTACCGCTTCAATAACGATTGTTTGTAATTTTAAAGCGTTTTAACGATATTAATGTAAAATAGAGGTACCGGTGAGGCTTTTCACATTGTCAGGCAAGGTGGGCCGTCGCTTCGGATGGCACGAAGCCTTATTTTTAGGTAAAGTTTGAGTGTATTAGAGCGAAGTATCCAAAGGAAATGGGCCTTTTTTGGCCCTTCTGGAGTTCAAACTTTGGACCCCTATATCTCGCTCCAGAAGTGTTTCCCAATCGTTTTTTCAACTGATCCTGAACCAGCTCTTCGAGCTGAACATTTCTACTTATAAAAAGTTTGGGTTTGGCTAGGTGACCGTATACTTGAATTTAGCCGAAAATCATCAAAACTTCAACGAGCGTGCTAATCCACGAAATTTTGCTTTTCTTCAGATGAACTCCACCAATTTTTCGCTTTTATCCAGACATGGCAAAACGGCCGCCGCGGCCGGCCGGAAGCCGCATGCAAATTTTTTTTAACGGCCGGGGCCGGCCGCAAAGCCGCAAAAATTACCCACAGCCGCAGCCGGGCCGGGCCGCAAAAACGTCCTGGGGCCGCAGCCGGCCGCGGCCGGCCGCGGCTTTTGCAATGAACTGCTCGTTGCCTTTTTCCTTTTCAGAAATCATGCAAATCAGTAAAATTCAACTCGAAATCCTAAAAATAGGTCATTATTTTCGCCATGATGCAGCCGCGGCCGGCCGCGGCCGGCCAGACTCTTTTTTTGGAGACGGCCGCGGTGGCCGGGATTTATGCTAATTTCATATGCGGCCGGCCGCGGCCGGCCATGGGTAGCTACGGCCGGGCCGGCCGGGCCGGGCCGCGGCCACTTGCCATGTCTGCTTTTATCTTGTCTTTAGAAGCCAGATTCGATGGAAATAAACAGATTTATGCAAATTTCTGCACTGTCAACTTTAACGAACATCTTGAGGGCGTTCAGCTCACTTTTCTGCAACGACTGCGTTTTCAATTTTCCCGGTCTCCAGTAGTTTCGTGGCCGCTTTTTCTTCTTTCCGGATCATCTGCAGCCTAAAAATAGGTCTATTTAAGGTATATATGGGTCAAAGCCCGGGGGCGCCGCCAAAGGCGCCCCCGAGGCACCCCCTGGGGGGCGTGCCGAGTGGCGCCTGGGGGCGCCGCCCCTATGATTTTTAACGGGGCGGGGGGGCGTCACCAACGGCGCCTGTGAGATTATGCAAATTTTCTAGTCTAATGTTAATTATTCATTTCAAGCGCAAGAGCGACGGACAGTAGAGAGAACCTGCAAATAACTTTTCCTCTTGCACTTCAGAACAGCCCATCAACGTAATAGTCAGCCTTTTAATAATGTTTTTAGTAAAATTTAACTATCTTTTAAGTGGCAAAAAGAAAAAATTGGAAGGAATTTTAGGCGGAAATTTCGAAATTGGAAGTGAGATTGGAAATATCGGCAATTTTTCGCAGAAAAATCTATATTTTTCTGTATTTAAGTCACAGTTGGTAAAGTTTTTACGTTTAAGAATAATAACAACAGTTTGGAAAGCTTCCACTATTTCTTTTACAGGACAAGGTCCTTAGAAAAAAGCGGGTCCCCCATAAACACCCCCTTCCTCTACAATGCGAAAGGATCATGGAAAAATTATAGGCCAATCAACTAATAGTTTTTTGCCTTCTTTGATATTAAGGATCAGCAGTCAAATCTGATTTCCATAATAACACCGCATCTTTGCTTTGCATCTCGGTTTTCCGGCGTCTTTTGGTCAGCCCCAGGCGCCGCCACAGGCGCCACTCGGCACGCCCCCAGGGGGTGCCTCGGGAGGGTGAACTTTCAGAATCTCTAAAAATCAGAATCTCTAAAAATCAGAATCTCTAAATGTCAGAATCTCTAAATTTCGAAATCTCTAAATTTCGGAATCTCTAAATTTCTTTGTTCAGAAACCCATACAGATTTTGGCGCAAATGGAAACTGAAATGCGCTTTTACCCAAGTCGCCTCGGAAAACTTTTTCCGGAGTAGTTTTTTGCGCTGATCACGAAAAACGTAACCACGAATTTGTGAAACCCTATTTTCAGTTGATGCCCGGTTATCATTCTTTCGAACAGAGCCTAAACCTCACGGGTCAAAACGCGGCCACGCACGCACGCAAGTGATCCGAACATCGCCATAAATGGCGGTGTAACGGGAACTTTGATGCATTTACTTAGCATCATTTTGACGTGCTAGGCTACAACTGTTAGCTAAAAAGCCCAAAGTTATCTTTTATATAAGAAAGTCATTTTGAATTTTTGTGTTTCGTGGTTACGTTTTTTATGATCAGCGCAAAAAACTACCCCAGAAAAAGTTTTCCGAAGCGACTCTGGGTAAAAACGCATTACCGTTACAATTTGCGCCAAAATCTGTATGGGTTTCTGAACAAAGAAATTTAGAGATTCCGAAATTTAGAGATTTCGAAATTTAGAGATTCTGACATTTAGAGATTCTGATTTTTTAGAGATTCTGATTTTTAGAGATTCTGATAGGGCGGCCCTCGGGAGGCGCCCTTGGCGGCGCCCCCGGGCTTCGACCCATATATAATTTAAGGTAAAAGAATATTTCGTGCCTCAACGATTTCTGCAGCCATCTTCTCCACCCAAAATATGCCAGGGGATTTGTCGCCGAATTGAGAACGACAAGGAATTCTGACATTCGGTACAGAATTGATAGGACGAGGTAGTATTCGGTCTCCTCATCTAGGTGGTCCAGCACTCCCAACACTTCCATGATATCGAGAAACATGGGCAGCGTGCTAGAATCTGGTTTTAAAGGGGCCAAGAAATCAAACGTCGTGTACTCGGGGATCGAACCTACGGGTCAAAAAACTGAAGGTTAAACATCCCTACGAGTATTGGAAAATTTATTACGTTACGACAAAACGCTAAATGTCGAGAAAACCGGAAATTTTTGGGCGCTAGATCGCGTTTTCGGTCGGGCGGGATTTACATGTCGTAATGCCCCTTTAAAGCATCCAATTCAGAGATCTCGGTGATTACGGGGTCAATTTTGAAAACGTTAAGGCAGCTAGAATGATCTGGAATCGCTGGACAATTCCAGAAGTAGCATCAGAATTTTCCAATTCGCGCGCTTTCACGTCGCAACCGGGACAAAAGAGCGTGCGACGCGGTAGCGTTGCGGCCGTATCTGGCTATTTGCCAGAAATCAACGCTGATCGATGGGGACTAGACTCGGGTGTCCCTGGATAGTTATAGAAATTAATTGATTGAAACCTACCGTAACATCAAGAATTTGACCGCAATAAAGAGGGATACGGCACGAGAGACTTTTTGTTTCAGCTCCTCTGCCCACTCCGCTGTTTTCTGGCTTTCTAGGAGGCTAAAAATTGCGATAATGACATCAGTAATTCAGCCTGCCTTCCTCTCTCCAGAAGACTTTTCTGGACCCTTATTTCAGTGCCAAGGGTTAGAAGCGAGATCAACATTGCTGGGACTATAGTCTGTGTCAATGCATTGATCAGCGCTCGAGCACCCAGATTCTAAAACGATGAAGTAGAATGGACCGTTAATAAAACCACCGACGCTCCAGCGGCTCGAATAAGGGCACGTTTTGACGATTTGGGTATCTATCGAAAGCTCTTAAAAAGCGATAAATCAGGCGCTTTTCGTTTTCTGAATTAAGATATTTTAATTCTGTTCTTACGCTTGAAAAAAATCAAAAAGTCCAATTGCCGCCGGTTAATTGCGGATTCGCGCCCAAAAATTACAGGATTTTTAGAGAAAGCGCACAAAATCGAGATCCCATTTTTATAGAATGGAGTACCTGCTGATCCCGGGATGAAGTGTAAAGATTGAGCACCATCTCTTCATGTTCTTCATCCCAACAAGGAACCTGCATAAGCTCTAGCCATATCGGAATATTGAGAATACAGGAAAGCAGTAGAACACACACTGAAATAGAGGTTCGTTGGATGCCAGTCACACTTGCCCGTCATCAGAAAAGGCTCAAACATCGTCCGAAATGAAATGTCTCGTATAACATTGATAGAAGAGAGGCGGAGGAGCAATTGGACGGAATAGGCGGTCGATGAAGAGGAGTCAGTTGGATTGCTCTGGCAAGGGCGTTATTCGGTGCTGGGCTGTTAGCGGGGGGATTTTGAGCAGGGGAAGTCTATTTTTATCGTGTTTTTAGTTATTTTCGATTGCTATAAAGCTACAACAAATATTTGTAAAAATTTCAGAATTCAAAAATTTGACGTTTTTTGGTCATTTATCATGCATTTTTTACCAAAAAGTCGAAGATTTTTAAAATGTTGTATTATTTTTTATATCGAAAAACTGTGTAAAATGCCATAAAAATGGTTTATGTGTTTTAATAGGGCCGCAGAGAATCACAGGGAAAAATTTGGTTCCCCCTGCTAACCCCCCCGCCCCCGCGAACAGTCCAGAACCCATTATTCCACAAACCTTGCTTTGCCCACTCCTCGAACTCCTCTCTTGCGTCCAATTTGCATACCGTAATGGTCGGATCACCACCACGAATCGTTGTATAGAAATGTAGATTACCAGCAGGGTCTGAGAAATCAGGTCAGTCGATTTCGACATGAAATAGCTTACTGAAGCCGTTGTGGATGCGGAAACAATGGCTCGAAGGAATGCGATCTCGGCTTGATGTTTGTACCTGGAAATGAAATTTGATATTTTTAGGCAAAAATGTTTGGAAATCAGAAATTTTTTGTGAAAAATAGTTATATTTAGCAGAAAAACACACATGACATTTGTGCCTAGAACGATGCGCCCGGTCGCCTCAATCGATCGATAGAATAGTACACCAACCATCAGAAGGGTATCCACAAAACACAGGGAATACAAGGCTGTAAAGGGAAATTTGGTTTCAACTACACCTGGCCGTCTAAACTGGCATACCTGAAGTGAGATGGCGGTTGAGACGGGCCTTCCTGAGGAACCGTACGGCCAATACGGTACCGATAAACATGAAAAGCGCGGCCACAATTGTACAAGGTCCATCCAACCATCTCGCCAATATGGAAGCGGTGTCTTTGCCTGAAATTTCCGCGGTGGTATATAGTTCTCTATTGGCCTTCAAAAAAGGCCAACCGACGAAACCGCAGCGGAATGCTGCGTTTTTTTTAAAGGGCTGCAGAAAGATCGCATGGGTGAAAAAGCAAAGAAGGCCGCACCGGACGGGGGTCGAACCTGGGTTGGCCCGCTCCGCAGTCTGATGCGCTAGCCACTATACCAAAGAGCCGAATGGGGAGGGGCGGTGGAGGCTCCCCAAATGTCTTCGGGGCGAACCTAGCCCGCTTTCGAACTGCCATTAGAAATAAAGCTATTTCGAAGAGAAAATAACCAAAAATGTTGTAGAAAATCTAGCTAAGGGATAGCAACGTACTTTTCACCTTTCCAGGGGTGTTTTGCTGTCGATGCGACTCTTTTTCAGCCGAAACAGCGTCCTAAAACCCTTTCTAGCCCAGAAATTGGCCGCCTTCTATCCAATCCGGCTCAAATTTTTACCATCGATGGGTATCACTCAGTCCTTCGTTTACGGAAATTTTTAGTCGAAAACATTGCTAAATGAAAAACTTATAGCCATTAAACTGATTTCTTCAAACGCGAGTGGGGGTTTTGGGGGCGCTTACGCGAGGGAAAGCGTCGATGGTAGCGCCGCGGCGGTCCGTCACCCCGACGGACGCCCGCCCATCTTCCTCCAGCCCTTTAAATGTCTACAAAATGGATCCTCTTTCCTACCTGTATTTCGATAAAAGCACGGGAAAGGAACTCCGTCCCAAGTGTCATTTGACATCAGCTGAATCAGACCTTTTTTAGAAGTTGCGAACGATAAGGGATGCATTTTGAAGCGCCGTGAAATTTCGATGCTGGGGGATTCCGGGTAGTCGTGCCCCCCGCCCCTAAAAAAAAGAAAGAAGAGAACGGGAGGTTCCATCGATTCCAGAGGGGCCAGAAAAAGATTCGCTTTAGGGCCTCTCTGCCCTCCAGCTGGGCGACCAAGAAAAAGAGTCAACCTAAATTAATGGTCTGCAGCACGGGGATAGGCTTCATAAATTGTTTTTCAGGTTGTCGCATTATGCGTAATCTAAAACATCAATTTTGTGCAAACTCAAAGGTATCGCATCATACCTTAACAATTTTTCGAGCCATCTTTTACTCCGAAAATACGCCGCAGTGTTTTCGCGGAATTAAGTTTCTGCCCTACTAAAACTGCTCCAATTTTTTGTTATTTTTAAATTGTGGATCATTCTGGCAAACTGGATGACTGCCTTGCATATTTTGTGAGATTCGATTAACGATATCTGGATAACGATTTATACAAATTCCCGGTCATCGAATTTCTTTTGAGGTATGTAGTGCTCGTTTTTCAAGTTGTCGCACAATACGTAATCTGAAAAATCAAATAAGAACTTTTCCGGTTTTGGGTTTTCTAACCTCAACAATTTTTCCATCCACCTCTTCATCCAGAAATACGCGAGAGTATTTGTCGCAGAATTCAATGTTGTTAGAAATGGGGCAATCGGAATGATGATATCCATTATTCTCCAATACGTTTTCAACCCATCAATTAAATTCCAAATATCGAACACTATCGGAAGCGTTCTAGGAAAATTTAAAAATCAAGTTTGTGCATCTACCGTAACATCAAGAATTTCACCGCAATAAATATAGAAACGGTTCGGGAGACTTTTTCCTTCAAGTCTTCTGTCAACAAAATCGAACGACGACGGGGTTGACTTTCAAATAATCTAGAAAGTATCGATTTATGGCAGTAAACTGGAGAGAAAAGCACCTTTTCCTCTCGTTTAGACTTTCCTGGACCTTGATTTCAGTGAGAATGGTTGATATTGTTATAACAATGGCCGGTCCCAAATGTCGTGTCAATAGATTTTGTAGGACTCTTCTAATAGGCCGCTGAATTGATATTGTGGTGTATACAGGGTGACCCACTAAAAACACCCCCTCTAACTCGACGCAGAAGCATCGGGTCGGAATGACAGTTGCACTATTGGAAAGCCCCTTGAAGCGGCCAGTTTGCAACAACCTTCAAAACCAGGTTTTTGTTTAAACCCGCTATTTTAGGAGCCATTTTGTAAAATTTTCGGGTTTTCCGGTTTGTCGCAAGCTCGCCGTTTCGAGGGCTTTCTAATGGTGTAACTATCATTCCGATCCGATACTTCTGCGTCGAGTTAGAGGGGGGGGGGGTGTTTTTTCTTGGAACACCCTGTACAAAAACGAAATTTACGGGACTAGCTGTAGAATGATAGGCGACACGCCATGATTCTTGACAATGTTCTCTATCCCAACATTTCACCGCCGAAAATTCGTAATATGAATGAATATGGAGAAGGCAGGATATCAGGACGATTAATACTGAACTTGGCACTCAAATAAAATTAAAAAGTAGTAGATACTCGCCTGGGATGATATACGGCTTCAGAATCTTTCGAATCGACCCGTTTTGCATACAACTAATATTTGGTAGCTGGAGAAGGAAATGAGCAGAAAAAGACGCCGACGACGAGGAATCCGTTCGATTCGTTGACTAAAAACAGTTCTCGCATTAAGAAATTAATGAAATTCGGGCATCGGCAAACTGCTGACCTAGCCTCTTTTCTATTTTGATGTCGTAATCGGTTAAACCGGGAAAAATTGGATACAACAAACTTTGTAAAACCTAACCTGGGCGCCAGCAAAGCTATTGCCAACTTGTTTTCCGAATTTTGATACGTTTGCGTATTTCTAATTCCATAGCGTAATCGAATGGCACCTACCCTCCTCTGCGTACTTCTGCTACTCCTTTCTTGCAGGGTCTTTGCATATCGTAATGGCCTCATCACTACGAGACAACGTTGGAGGGAGATGTAGACGACCAGTAGTGTCTTTTCCGAAATAATTTCTATACGATTCGACTGACTTACAGAAGCAGTAATCATTGATGAACCGATCGGCTGTAGTGATATTGCAAATGCTTTGTATTCATGTCTGAAAAATCGCTAAAAATCATCAATACCAAAACGAATCTTACGCGGATTTGATTCTCAAAATGACGATGCCAGTTATTTCGATACAAGCGCTCACCAATCTACAAAATATCAAAACCAAATCAACGAGACACAGAGCGAACAGGGCTGAAAAAAATGGCTTTCTATCAAAACGTTGAAGTCATAATGTCGAAATTTACGAATGGCGTAATCGCATATTATCAAAAAAAATTCTGTGTCGAGATTTCATAATACCGAAAAAATTCAGAATAAGCTAATTTTCGGAAAACCTATGCAAAATTGTTTCGAAATTCTGAAATTTCGACATTCCAAACTTTGGGGCTTTTGAAATTTCGACGTTATGATAGCAAATCCTGAAAGATATGCCGGTCGGTAGGAATGGGCAAATCGGACCTGCAGTGAAACTCCTGTTGAGACGGGCTTTTAGAAGGAACCTCACACCAAATACAGTACCCACGACGGGGATCATCGCGATGGCAATTGTGCATGGACCGCTTAACCATCGATCAAATATTGCCACAATGTCCGTCCCTTAATTTTTCAATATATTTCCGTATTTCCTAAAATTGTTGCGTTTTATTTGAAAATGATTTATAATTTATGATACGGCAAATATTTACTTTTTGATGCGACTTTTTTATTTTACATACCGTATTTTACGTACCAAAAATATCGACAAAATAACAGAAATGTCCAAAATTTTTGGGACTTCCGGGCTGGGGGTAAAGTAAAGTCTAGCCAAAAAAGTACTGTAAAAAAGCGACAAAAGAATTGATTTAAAATTTATTAAGTATGGAATTCTTACCTGCGTGAACAGCAGGACAATAGCGTAGCAATCGAGTGCTGCTCGAATTTGACATCGCCTCGGTGGGTCTAAGGGTCAAAGAGGAAAATGAGCTAGAGGGCCGCTCTGGCCGGAAGAGAAAGGAAGAGCATCCTGCTTTTGGTCATCTGATAGCCTCTCCACCAGAAATTGCGGCATCGCAATGAAATGGCCGGGATGGCAGCGATCATTATGGAGGATTGCTGTTGGTCTTTTTCTGAAACTGAGCCCCGCTGATGTGCATGCGGTTATTCTGGCGCAAAACTCCTGAAGGCGGGGGCAGACAAAATTTTATTTGCACTCAAACTCAAACATTCTTTATGCCATTGGTCCATCCTCCTCTTTGGCGTTGGCGTGCAGGAGTGCCTGCCTTTCCAACCGTCGGATCATGCGAAGTCTGAAAGATGATTTATAGTCTTCTACACGTCTATCAATACAGGGTGTCCCAAAAAAAAGACCCCCTCTAGCGGTCGGCAGTGATGTCCGATTTTCACGTTTTAGGTATCTATCGAAAGCTCTCGAAGAGGTGAGGAGATATGTTCTTTCAGATTTTTGAAATTCTCGAATTTTTAACCCGATTTTCATCGTTTTTTGGACATAAATTCCGCAATTTTGTGCAAAAACTCAATTTAAACGGTTTCAGTCCCATCCAAGCTGTGTTTTCTCAAATGCCTTTGAAAAAGCCGATTTTGGGCTGCTAGAACAGATGTAAAAATTTGCAAAATGGGGTCTTTGTTAAAAACCCTTGCGCGAGAACAAGCATCGAAAATTCAGCCAATTTCGCAAAAATGTTAGTAAATGTCATAAAAATTCGGGAATTTCGAAAATCGGAAAGAACATATCTCCTCAGCTCGACGAGAGCTTTCAATAGATACCGAAATCGTAAAAATCAGACATCACTGCCGGCCGCTAGAGGGGGTCTTTTTTTTTGGGACACGCTGTAGTCCAAAAATGTATCGGAATTCAGCTAAAATTCCTGACGTTCATAAACTATGATAGATAGGTTGTGTTCCCTTTCATTTCCTCGGTGATGTGTGCACTTTGCGTGGATTGATAAGGGTGACGAATTAGGATAAGGGGCGTCTGCTGCATGCCACTGCCACCAATTATGTTATAGGAAGCCGAACACATTGTTGATTGGCTAATTAGTATAGTTTTTATAGGCTATGGAAAATATGAAAGGCAATACCCATAAGCTCATCTAGCATTGGTCCAGGCAGATGCACTTTTTGACCTTGTTGCCATGACCTTTTTTGCTTGTTTAGTTCGATTTAATAGCGTCTTATGCTGCTAATTAACGTTGTTTTCATGCTCATTTAAATAGTAGGATCCTACTTACTATAAAAATTCGTTTTTAACTCTTAAAATGAATACGACTTTTCGGCCTTTTATTATTTTTTGCGGAAGGCCTTCTTCCATTTTTAGCATGCGAGATGATAACAATTTAATCAATTTTTATTTGATTTACTGTATTCGGTAGTATAACAAAAAATAAAGATAGATTTGTAAGCCTTCAAAATCAATGGAAGTGTCTGTTTTCGAATCATTCTCTCCATTCTAACTATTTTTCCTCTGAAAATCCGCTTCCCAGCGTCCTTCAACGAATGCACAAATGCCATAGTTGCTCTACTCACATTTTTCTGGCCACCGTCGCTACTGGTGCTCTATTATGGATGGCTCTTCAAACTGGTAGGCTTTATTGGCTTTTTAAAAGTAACCCCAAAAATTAAGACATTTTCTCGGAGCCGGTCCTAGCCCTAAAAATCACAAAATATCTTCACTACCAGTCAGCAAAGCCAATATTCCGGAAACCAGATTATTTGGGACATATCTATTGTCAACGATTATTTCAAGGGGATGAGAAATATATAAATGATCTACTATACCCGAATATATTCACTAAATGGACCAAACGGATAAGATGGTGGCTCGGAGAGAAGATGATACCAAGGATTGTGGCTCGGGTATGTTAATTTGAAGAGGATAGGGTGGGCCAAAAACCACCCCCAAATACTGCCTAAGCAAGCTTGAAAGCTGATCTTTGTATGCGTATATTGGCCTGAGGGGCAACTGTCGAGACCTAGTCAAGAATGGGAGTCGATTGTGAGGCTTCTAACGCCTTTAAAGCTCTTTTCAGGAGCTACCATTCGAAAGTTCGTGCCGCAAACTTCGATATCGAATAATTGGCCCTTATCCGGCACCGATTTTGAATTATTCTATAGCTTTTGCGAGGAATGTGTATACGGTAAGTTGCCGTGTACCCTAAAAACCATAAATATTGCTTAAAAATCTATTTAATTGATCAAATCGCAATTTAATCCAATTTCAAATAAATTAAGATTGTTTATGACAATTTTAAAACCTTTTTTTAGGACTACGAATCTCTGGAAATTCTCCTCTCGGCCACGTACAGCCCCGAAAATCACTATTGCTATCATGTCGATCTCAAATCACCTCAAAAATTCAAGGATCAAATCGCTAAATTAGAAGAGTGCTTTCCGAACGTTTATTTGGTTAAAGGTGAATTAAATCGAAGAATTAAAATTTTTGTAGACCAAAAACCTCGCAAACTAGCAAGATTTAATCCAAGCCTGCAAAATTTGAAAAACCTCGAAACTGATCTATTAGCGGGGGAAGCCAGGCCTATTCCCTTTGCTCTTGAAGAACTTCAATAAGCCCCATCCCCACCCCCTGATAACAGTATAATACCAAAAATTCAACTAAAATCGTTAAGTTAAGTGAAACTTACAAGGGAAGGGCAAGTGCACGAAGTGGAAATTCGAAAAACGCTCGCGGCTACCCCTAGGTTTTCGACTACGGCGATTCCGATGCGCTATTCAGAATTAGCCACCGAGGTCTGTAAAGCGAGATACCGCACTTCCGGAAAAAAACATAATTTGCATGCGCGTAGTTCGAAAGCTACTAAGGGTTTATTGGGATCTTCCACGTATCTACCATCAGCTGTGAATTGGCCGAGTGCCAAGCCACTCGCTTTTTTAAATACCAACGGGGGTTCGGATCCACTCTCCTTTTTGTTTTTCTTTTTTGGAAGTTTGTGATTTTTGGGTTGGACCTCGGATCTTGAATAGAATTTTCCTTCAACCATGAGGAAAACGGAGCGATAACCTGCAATACTAGGCCCCACACAACAAAACAAAAAAATCAGGGCGGATCCGAACCCCCGTTGGTATTTCAAAAATCGAGTGGCTTGGCACTCGACCAATTCACAGCTGATGGTAGATACGTGGAAGATCCTAATAAACCCTTAGTAGCTTTCTAATTACGCACATGCAAATTATGCTTTTTCCGGAAGTGCGGTATCTCGCTTTACAGACCTCGGTGGCTAATTCTGAATAGCGCATCGGAATCGCCGTAGTCGAAAACCTAGGGGTAGCCGCGAGCGTTTTTCGAATTTCCACTTCGTGCACTTGCCCTTCCCTTGTTAGATTATTTCTAGAGAATTACAACACGACAAGTGAAGGCAAAAACAATAATGCCGCCCATATGAAGTGTATGGAGATTTTGCTAGAAATGCACGGGTGGGAACACCTTATTTTATTGCAGGTAATTTTGGGCGACGAAACGCTTCAAGACATTTTTCCGGCCCACGATTTAGTGGCACATACCAATTCTGAGCTGATGAATATGCTAAAGGTCAGCACAACTTTTTGTTCCTCTAATCAAATGTTCCCAAAATTGATTTAAATTTATTTCCACATTTTTAGCTGCTAAACGGCACCAACGATTCAAATATTGACCATATGAGATGGAGACGGGTACAATCCGGCATCGCTCCAAACCTTCAGGATTTGAATTTTTGGACTAACTGTGGGTTCCAGGTTTTACGTGTCTCACTCTCTCTCACTCTCTCTCTCTCTCCCTGTCGCTCTCTCTCTCTCTATCTCTTTCCCTCTCGCTCTCTAAAATGTCCTTTTTTGAGATACAACTCTAACCCTGGAAGAACGCAAAAATGCCAAACTCGAATTTGCCAGGGGACTCGAAGAGGCGACGTATATGTAGGTTTATATGATGAAAAAGATTAATTGGAGGCACCAGATAATCGTTAATTTAATAACTAATTAAATAGAATTCCTATATCGTAATTAAATCATTCATGTAAATTGATTTCTCTAAAGAATTCCCTTTAGAAGAGCAGCCGTCCATTGGCTAGTAAAAGAGATCAACGTCACGACGCTGATGAATTATTTTAATGATGGGGTAATTTTAGGTTTTTTCTTGTTTTCATAGCCGTTTTGTATTATGATTTTCTATCCGTTTTATTGCCTTTTAAAAATGCACTATAGCTTTTTAGAGCTTTATACTTTTTCAGTACCAAAACCAGGTTTTTCAGCATTCCCAAGTGGATGAGCAGCTATTCGCAACTTTGCTCAATTCGGAAACTCTTCGAATGCCAGGGGGATATCATAGTTCATGTCTCAACAATAGTAATCAGGACGACTTCTTTACTTATATAACAAGGTAACTTTTGTCTAGACTTTGATTTTCCAAATATGGTATTCATAAACGCTAAATTCTACGCCCGCTAACCCCGATTTTTAGACACACTCGATGGTCATTTAATAAACATAAAAACTGCAATAATCGACATGGAATATGTGTGTATGGAATTGAGGATTTGAACGAGGCTAGGTAAGTCGGTGACTAAAAACGAAAAAATAGTGTGCGTAGCGTCATGTAGCGTTCCGTAAGGTATCGTAGCTTGAAGTAACCTAGCGAAATTAGGATAACTTACGGCAACACAAGTAGCACAAGGCGGCTTGTTGTTTTGGCATAGCATAATAAAGCGTAACGTAGCGTAATGGTGCGTAGCGTAACATATCTGAGGGTAGCATAACGTAGCATAACGCAGCGTAACGTACGCAACATCTGCTTAGCATGATATAACATAGCGTAGCGTATCTTAACTTATCGCATCAGTAGTCACTATCAGCTTTTTCCAGGATAAATGCTCGTCGAGTGATTTCCCTCAACAAATTCCTTGGCTCCTTCGATTTTGCAGCAATTGTTTGTATGGCAGAGAGTCTATTCAATCGAACACATTACGGGGATGAAGCTTTTGATGTTCAACATATTGCCAATCACTCTGGGGTAGGCAGAAATTTTTGCTAAAAAAATACAAAAATATCGATTTTCGGCCAATAATACCGATTTTAGGCCAAAATTAAAAACATTAAATATTTTTCCAGGTGTGTAAAGCGCTTTATTGAATTCAAGTAAATTTTGCGAAGAAGATTATGAAAATATCGTGCCGTCACTAGACATTAATGGACTTATGGGAAAATTGGAATCTTTTAGAATCGATATCAACGCGCCACCCACCAGCCGGGTTTTGATCTCAACAATTTCACTTGTAAAGGCATTTAGGAGCTATTTGGATAAAGTTATCGATCGATAAAAAATTAGCTATCAAAACTGTATAACAGAAAATATTTATGCAGCCCTCCCAGAAAAACCAATAAAAATCACAACCAGTTACGACATTTAATTCCCTGTTTTCGATCGATTACACCATGTAATTATTTAATGATGCCGATCGGCGAGTGATGCATCATCAATATGGAGGGGATCATGGTGTTTACGGCCAGTTTTTCCTCGATTGAAAAGGGCTTCTCCGAGGAATGTCTCGATGCCACGACCCTGTTCAACCACACAACACACGAATAACATCTGAAAATCGGCTCTGGTTGTTAGAATGCCTGTCAGAATGTTAAAAGGCCGTTTGCCAGAGACCCGAACAAGCCTTGTCACAGTTTTTTTCGATCCGGTTTTTTTGATGCAATGTGAAAGAGCATAGTCGAATTAGTAGGGTGGCGCTATTTCGAGATTTTTAAAAGTTCATTTTCTAGGTTTAAATGGGTGTTAAAGTTAACAACCTTGAAAAATTATCTAAAAAACTACTGGGCCAAATTGCTCGAAAATTTCAGACAATACCTAATTTGGGGCGCTGATCATTTTTGTAATACATTGTAAAGCACGAAAATAGCCGGAACACAGGAATACCGCGTACACAGAAGGGTTTTTCGCAATTTTCTATTTAATGGGTATGCTTCGCCACTCTAAAAATACCCTTAAAAGATGCGCAATTGAATTCTACGTCGAATCATGTATTTTTCAGCGTGGCGACAGATACCCATTAAATCGAAAAATCGCTTTTAAGGAAGCCGAACAGGAAAAAATTGCGGATTCCGGAAAAGAAAGACAGTTTTTCGTATATAGAGACCAAAGCAGAACGATTGCAAAAAAAGAGCAAAAAGAAATTCGATTTCTAAAAGGGGGCTGGGATTGAACTCGGGTCGTTCGCCTGGGACCTGGCGGCGCCCACTAGTGGCTTTCCCCAGTGCCCCCAGGCGGACCATCGCGGGTTCGATTCCCCACCGAGCCCAATTTCGCGTAGAAAAGATATTTCTTTTTGCTCTTTTTTGTAATGTACTTGCCTTCTCCTTTAGAGTCAATTGAAATCCGCGGATTCCCAAAATACAGTATTTTTATGTTTGTGGAACCATTTTAGTTGTTTTTAGAAATATTATTTTTTCGATTTAATGGGTATCTGTCGCCACGCTGAAAAATACATGATTCGACGTAGAATTCAATTGCACCTCTTTTAAGGGTATTTCTAGAGTGGCGACGCATGCCCATTAAATAGAAAATTGCGAAAAACCCTTCTGTGTACGCGGTATTCCTATGTCCCGGCTATTTTCGTGCTTTACAATGTATTACAAAAATGATCAGCGCCCCAAATTAGGTGTTGTCTGAAATTTTCGAGCAATTTGGCCCAGTAGTTTTTTAGATAATTTTTCAAGGTTGTTAACTTTAACACCCATTTAAACCTAGAAAATGAACTTTTAAAAATCTCGAAATAACGCCACCCTACTAATTCGACTATGCTCTTTCACATTGCATCAAAAAAACCGGATCGAAAAAACTGTGCCAAGGCATCATGGGGGCTGTTCGAGTGACCGGCGGACGGCCTTTTAATTGACAGACGGTTTGTCTGTGGGTCAGTTTACAAATCGATTTTTTTCGGTACTTTTGCATTAGCCGGAGGGGGGCGAATTTTTCTTATTAACCTAGAAATTCGTAGTGACGTAATAATAAGTATTTTAATAGTATTTTTAGAAATATTCCGTAAAAATTTGAATTTTGGTCAAAATTCGGAATTTTTGTAACATTTTTACCCTTAGCAATTACAAAAACAGTGTTGAAACATTTCCTTTAATTATATTAGAAAAATTGAACTCTAGGGAAAAGTTACCCCTCCCCGATAATGCAAAAGCTCCTTTTTTGCCCTTACCTGTCCACAATAGCACACGATCAACACCAAATATCCTCCCAGGCTGTCCAACACGGTGATCGGTTCTGAAAAATGAGATGTCTGACGGTAAATCTACCAAAAAACGGTAATTTGACTATTCTGACACCCACCGAAGAAGGAGATGAACCGGACGAACGCGACGAAGGCCTGTAAAAAATCAAAAATTTTCGAAAAGTTGGATTTTCAAAAAATAAACGGAAAAATTATATTTTTACGTTTTTAGCTTATTTACCTGTCAGTTTAAACCTTAGATACTTTAAATTACTCAAATTACCGTAAAATAGTCGATCCCCTTGTAGAGAGCGATCAGCGTGCTCCCAGCAGCCACATACATACACAGCACGAACACGAACGCCACTGAAATAGTATGAATTTTTGGGTTTCAATTTATGCTAAAAATCGGTTAATTTTTTTGGCTAGAAACTCCAAATTCCAACCACTAGGCGTCGTCTCCTCCTTGGCCTCGGCAGCGAAAAGATCCAGCTCTCCCAAGAGGGGCGAGATCTTTGGGGAGGCGCCGGTGAAGACGCGGGGCTGAAATCGAGTTTGTAGGCTGTATTTTGTAGTTTTTTTTTTAATTGTCTGGTTGCCAGTTCATCGATCTATTCACCAATCTATCACCTATACCTTGAAACTATTCGGATTCTCGAATCCATCCATTGGCTGCCCGAATTCGAGTACTGGATCGTAGTTCATCGAGTAGTCCGAGGCCGGATGGGAGATTTCTGAAAAATCGTAATAACGATTTTAATTTGTCTTTTCTCTGGTATTCTCATTAAAGTAACCAGCGCCCCAAACCCGCTTCGCGGGCCTTGAGCGCTGGAATGAGGTTTTTGCATGAGAAATTTGACTTTCCCATCACTCGGGTCCTTCGGACCCCCTCCCCTCTGCCGACCACACGGGCGAGTGCAACTGGCAAGAATGAGGAAATTTGTATTTTTCGCATTATGCAAATTAGCCCCTCAGGGACCCCCAAAAATGAATAAAACCGGTCTTAACTTTGTAAACTTGTATTTTATCGAAATTCTGAGAACGCCATCGGAAACAGAAGGGTCGATTCCCCCGGGTGACGGAGAATTAGGGCATTTTGGACACGGGAAGGCCCTCGAATCGGGCCTCGAAAGTGACATCCACACACACACACACACACATACGCGCCAAAATTATATAAGGTAGGATTAAGCCTATTAAAACAATTTTTCTACCATTTTCTTGGTAAAACATCGTCTAGCGAAAACTATCTAAAAGTCTCGCCTGACCGTTTTTTACGTTGACTTATTATCGCTTAATTGATAGACGAAAGGTAACATACTTTAATTTCGCAAAAGCCAGAAAATTGTTTAAAAAAATCACCTTTCGGTTTGTTGGTGTACAAAAATTGCATTTTTCGGATTTTTTCTGACAAATTTAGTGTATAAACGTGCGAAAACTATCTAATCACCCAATCTGCCTACCAAAGAAGCTTTTAACGCCTCTAGCTACGACGGCAGCCGTCATTACGTAGCAATAGGCCACGACAAGGACCGAGGGGAGAAGGTAGCACACTGATGCCCAAGCGGCTGCCGTATCTTCACGAGGGTCTCCTATAAATTTAGAATTTTTGAGCCAAAAAAAATCTAAATACCCGTAGTAGTGATCATGTTTAGAATGTAGACAAAATCCTTTTTCGGTTCCGAATAATGGACCGTGTGGTAGGCCTGAAATGGTCTTTAGAAAAGTTTCTAGCTAAAAAAGTTGCATTTTTAGGCTACTTTTAGCACTATTTTTTGGTTTAAAAAACTATAAAAAAACTCCAAGACGTTTAGCGAGCAATTAAAATGAGTTTTTAAACAAAAAATAATTTTGAAGAAAAAAAATGTTTTTGAAATTGAGGGTCCGGCCAAAGTCTGGCATTACCTTATTAAAAAGCTATAAAAACCATAAAAACTAGACATTCTTAGCCTTATTTTGCCATCAAAAAGTATTATAAGCTCGAAATTAATGATTGCCAAACAAGGTTAGGTAAAAAGACCTAGCAAAAATTCGATCTTTTTAACGGCGTTTACTTTTCAAAATCTAAAAGCTAGAAATACCGTATAAATATTGTTATAATGCGCCTCCAACGCGTCAGCGACGATATCAACAATGCTATTGTTCGTCTTCTGCTCCCTCCACATTCTTTCAGCCAATTGAGCATCAGCCGCCGAACGGATTGCGGTGAAATTCTTCTCCAACCGCGTCGTTACCTAAACCGCAAGTGAAAAGGGGTCAAAAATGATCAATTCTCACCTTAAAATTCACCATTCCAACGGCAAAAATGAGGACAAAAGCCGCGGAAATGATGGCAGCGATGAAGGCTTGACCTCGAGATTCTGTTGGTGCATCTTCCATGATTTTACGGTGATTCCGTTTTCGCCCAAATGACTTTCCGCGCCAGAGCATCCCCCTTCAGCCATTTTTTTTTCAGTGGATTCCAGGTGACCTGCCCGGCAACGAGATTCCGCCCGTTTTTTGGTATCTCGGCAACGATTAACTGGGTTTAGCTATTCGAAAACAGGCGAGGAGGCGGCATGCTAGCAGAGCTTCTTGGGGAATCCCGGAAAAAAAGCTTCAAAAATTGTTAGAATCTAAAGAATATCTTTTGAAAGATTGAAAACGCAATAGAAAAAGCTTTTCTGGGTAAAAATCAGCAGTAGACGAGCAGGGAATCTTTGGGAATTTGAAATTTATCTATCCAAATTCTCAAAAATAGAAAAACGCTAAAATTCTATCTAAAATTTGTTTTAACAGTGGGAAAACGTTTCTAAAAAGTCTACCAGGGTAAAAACGAATGGCATGCTGGAAAATATTCTGTTGGAATCCCAAAGTTATACTGAAAAAAATCTAAACTGTCCCATAGAAGTTTGTTTTAAACTAAAACTACGGTATTCAAAATAGCTCTCGGTTCTTTGAAGCTAAAACGTACGTGGTAAGCTAGCAGAGATCCTTTGAGACTCAAAACTACAAGCAAACCCCGCTTCTCGAAAACACTCTTATCTGATCGGCCAGACGAGACAACTTGTTTGTCTGAAAACTCCGGCGTCTCGAAGACGAGAAAATCGTAAGTACATCGCCCGTAATTTGTTGCGTAATGTAGTCCTTTACTAGACGTTTTAGAGTAAGGCTTTATCCTTTAAAAACGAGTAAAACTCGCTAAGAAAAAGAGAAGAATAATGCGAGGGTGCTTTTGGAGAAAAGGGTACACGTTTCGGGCGACAAAGCAGGTTTTTCAAAGAGGAATTTAGAGAAGAAATAATAAGAATATTATGTACATTTGGGGGATAATAAAACCAAAATTTTGGGCAGAAAAATTTAGAAATAATTTTGTCGAGCAAATAAAGCTAAAATCCGGGCTTGATTTAGGCCTCCTTGGCGGCCTCCTTGAGATGGACATGAGGCGGGGGACGGTTGGTGAGCACGTAGTGGATTGAGAATGAAGAGATCACGGTGCAGATGAGGGCCATGTGATAGAGAGTCTGGAATCCCTCCGCGCACCACATCCAGCAGCCCAGGCTGAAAAACGGAGATGAATTTATCTAGCTAAATCATATAAAGTCGCAAAAACTCTTTCAAGTTCCGAAAATTTCAAGATTTTAGAAGCACATAGAGTTTGGAAATCGATAAAATAGATTAATTTTTGTAGCGAAAAAGGTGAGAATTTATAATATGAATCACGCGTTAAAAATTGTATTCATTTTTCAAGTAAAAAATCAGGATTTTGGGCCGAAATTCCGTAAAATTGGTAAAAACCTTCAACATGTGCAAATATAGAAATTTCCTCAAAAAACCGTCAGTTTAAAAAATTAGACAATTTCCTCAGAAACTCGTCAAATGTTACCTTCCGGCCTTCTTTCCAAAGTGGTAGTGCGTGTAGATGACCTGAAAATAGGTAAATAAAGATACAAAAAAGCCAATCCCTACCTGAATCGAGTGAATCCACCAGAACACCTTTCCGAACCACATGTGGGCCTGGAGAAATTGGCTGAGCATGGCATCCGGGAATAGACGAGGCATGTACGTGAAAATCGCGCTCACGATGCCCTAGAAAAAGAGAAAAATCAATAATTAATCGATCGCTAAATACCGTGAGAATGTAGACACCCTGGATGGTCATCAGAAGCGTCGACGACAGGGATGGCCAGTTGCCAGACTGAAAAATCACGTTAAACTCGCACTTTAAACTAATAAAATACCTGAATAAGTGACATATAGGACATTCCAAGCGATAGAACGGCCAAGAAATGCCGAATCGCGTGGTCATTCACCTTCTCCATGATGGTCGACCGGCCGAGACGGTACTGCAGAAGGGCTGGAAATACAAAAATCAACATTCTGATAGATTAATGGCAACCTCTTCCAGTGACAGCATGGGCGAGGGTGAGGAAGAAGACGAAATTGTTCGTGTTCAGACTCGAGAAGCCGACCGAGATCCCGCCCGGCATTTGGCTGTAGGCGGCCGCTGAAAAAAAAAATATATTTTATGGAAAAGAATGCGGAAAATTCCGCCAAAAACGCCCCAAAAAACGTTTATTTTCTTTCTTTTCCAAATTCCAAGCTTTCCAATCCGAAAATATTACTTTACACGCTATTTAAAACGAGAAAAGCAAAACTAGAACCTATAAGAATCAGGAAAATAGCTGAAAAACTCACCAGTAAAGCCGACTTCGGCCACGGCACTCATGAAAGCGATGTCTTCCATTGTAGAGGCTAAATAGAATAGTTAGAAAACTATGACAATCACTGAGAAAGAGAAAAACTATAGAACGATCCTATAGAATCAAGAAATTCTATAAAAACCATGAAAAACTGCAAAACTCGAAGCCGTTGTGTATGGAGAATTTGAAAGGGGAAAATGTGTGTCTCTAGAAGGCCTATAGGTGGCTGGGTGGAGGGGCGGGCAAAACAGAAAGGACAACCACCACCCATCGGGCAAAAGGGCAAAACAACAACAAACAACCACCCTAGCGCCCCCCTTTTTCGGCTCTTTATCTCTCTTTTTCTCTGGCATGACTGCGCCGAAAAGGAGTACACACATTTTGGACGGACGGAACAGTGGAGGGGCAGGGGCTGGCTGAACATTGGGAAATACGGTCTAGCTGGGGGACAACTGTTTTTTACGGATTCTTTGGCGATAAATAATCACTTTCGATGTTCCCCGGCCGTAAAAGAAGTTGGTTGGTAGCCAAAAGGCTCGAAAAGACTAAAATAAACATGATGAATGAAAACTACAACAGCCGGGGCGTTTTTTGGAACTTTTTAGGAGTAGGTCAATCAAATTTAAGGTATCCTATCCTATAAGCGAGAAAAGTATGTCTGTTTTCTGTTCAGCCGATTTCTCGGCCGCCAGGCCGAATTTCCGGCAGATTTTTGGCATGAAAGTAGAGAAACACATTTGTCAGTGACGCATTTTTTTGTTTGGCAAAATTCCTTCATTTAACGATTTTACAAGCAAAATAGTGAAAAATCCTTAACATTTTGCCCAAAAAAAGGTATGTCCGGAGGTTTTCTCGGCCGCCAAGAGGCGCTGGGCTCTAATTTTTGGAGGGTGAGTGGTAAAAGCAATTCTCCCGATACTATTTTTGGATTTTGCCGAATTCCTTAAAATAAAGTTTTTATGAGCTTTTTACTAGACGGTCCTTAATAAAATGGCCACAGTCCCGTGGTGTCCGGGCAATAACTCGAATCCCAAATGGAATTTTGGGCTGTAATTTGGTCTACTTATGTATTCGATAGTGGGGATCACGCGCATCTTATTATTTTTACAAATTTTCGGCGCATTCAGACTCAAAAAGAGAATTTTGTAAAGTTATCAGAAGTCCGCTCTCCCGGGATGAGGCGCGCCCCCAGGACAGAAGAGGCCTTTCCCGCTATCAATCGCCGCGTCGCCTTGGTGTATTGGACTGGCGCACGGTCTAACAAACGCGTGGTCAGGGTTCGAATCCGCAGGGAATTTAACTTTTTGCTTTTTGGTAGTTCAACAACAAAACATATTTCTAGGCTCTCGGTGTGCGAGTTTTAGGACCGGGCCCTGGCTCTAGCGCCGCAGGCCAAAGAAAAGGTACTTGGCCCTGGCTCTGGCGCCGCAGGCCAACGATGGTTCCTTGACCCAGGCTCTCGCGCCGCAGGCCAAATACTTGAGAAAACCCAGTAGCTAGCGCCGCAGGCTCAAAGATTCTGGCCCAGCGCTGGCTCTGGCGCCGCAGGCCAAAGAATGGTTCCTTGAGTCAGGCTCTTGCGCCGCAGGCTTCGATAAAAGGAAAGGGAATTGATGATTCCTAGACGGGGTCCAGTGGAAAAGGGCCGCGAAGCGGTCTTTTTCCACTGGTCATTCGATATTTCGAGATTTTTGGAATACTTTTAGGCATAAAGCGTCAACTCCTGAAGTCCGATGCGCTAATTTGAGCTTTCCTAAAGCGGCAAAACGACGGAAAAAGCCATCGAAAATGAATTTAAAGCGAAAAACACCAAAAGGTATGAGAAGAATCAAAAGTAGAATTCTTTAGGGGTAAATAGTGAATCTCGAAGCTTTCTAACCTACTAAAAAGCCACCCAAATCTAGAGAAAGTTAATTGGAGCAGAAAAACACAAAATTAAACCCCTTGTCCATAAAAAAAATGAAAAACCAATTAATTCCAAAACCTCACACGCCTTTCGCTACGCCAGACCGCAATATTTGGGGGGTAAAAAACGAAAGGTCGACGGGAAGAAAGTGTGAAGCTCTCACCACGCGCCACCCAATAAACACAAAATCCCCTCATTTTTACAAAAGAATCCTTATAAGGTGAGGGAAAAGAAGAAGAGGAGAAGAAAAAGATTGGCAGAATGGCCGTCGCGTCTTAGATTGGTCTGTGGGATTTCCCAGATGTCTCGCCTCTCAAAAGCTGCAGTTTTTCAGATGGATTTTGTTACAGAATTACTCATTTTAAAATATAGAAAAAAGCTAAATCCATTTCAAAGAATAAAATCTAGCCAAAACTTCCAAAAATGTTGATTTTCGGGGTTCCGCGGTGCAACCTGTACAAATATGCGTAAGGGCGTATCGGAGTGGACTACGAATCCGGGATTTTTTTGCCAAAGCAGCATCAACTTGTTTTGTAATGAAATCTGTAATTTTAGCTGTTTTTCATACATTTTTATAAATTTTTCGATTCTAAACGATTCTGGCCAGTTTTACTCGCACCTTCAAAGCTTTTTAGACCGATTTTAACCTTATCTGGGCCAATTTTTCTAGGAAGCTTTCGCCCTAAAATCTTGTTTTGTGAATTTCTGAAAACTGTTTTTCTCGCCACTTTTACTCGCATTTTGAAGGCCTTTTTAAGCTGGGTAAAGGCGCTTTTTCAACGATTATTCTTACAAAATCATAGCACCCTATAACTGTAAAAGATTGATGAGTTTTTTCTAAAGTTTCCCAAATTCACGGATCACTTCTTCTTTCTTGCAATTTCTCCGGATCTCGAGCAGAATTATGGCTGCAGCGCAGCATTTATCGCTTGTTTTTGCGTGCCAGGATTTCCTCGTGTGTGTGGATATATTCTTCAGCCCCTTTTTTCGTCAGCTACGGAATCTAGTGTGTAGTGGGGGTTTTTCGAGGCTTCACTTCTTCATTTTGGGGTTTTTAGCTGCGAGGTTTTGAAGAATAATATTCACGGAACTTCAAAACGGGGTAAAGTCACTACCCCGAAATAATTTGCATGATTTTCATAGGACATCCGCATGACAACTGGATTTTCCGGGAAAAACAATGCTATCATTTTTCAGGGTAGTGACCGGACGCCTTCAAAACCTCCGTTTTGGTTTTTGAAGGAGCGAGCCAGGCATGACTATGGATTTTGCTGGCTAGGGATTTTTCGCCACCGCGACGCGCAACGCGTAATTTTTATTGCCGGTTATAACCGCTGCGCGGCGGCCCCAGGCGGCCAGATTCTAGTCGATTTCTGAGATTTCTGGCGTTTTTTGGTCCGTGGAACTTGGCAATTTTGCCTTGTTTTGCTACCAGGAAGGTCAAAAAACCGGAGAAAACGCTAACAACTTTTAGAAAATAGACTTGTTCATGAGTTTTGAAGTTTGTGGTTTTTTGATGCATAGCACTTGGGAATTTCGCGTTTTGTTACTATCAGAAAGTCAAAAGGAAGACAAAATGCTTGGCAACTTTTAGAAAGTAAAATTTTTCGTGATTTTTAGAGTTTTTAGTTTTTTGGTGCCTATGTATTGGCATGGGCAATTTCGTTTTTTTTTGGCGATCAGAAAGGGCTACATGCAAAGGAAAGGCGCGGAAACTTTGAGAAAATAGAGTTCGCAGTATTTTTTGATGCCTAGGATCTTTGCGATTTTGGCTTTTTTTGCTATCAGAAAGTGCAAAAAGCTGAGAAAACGACTGACGAGCTTGGCAACTTTGTGGCAAACAGGATTTAGGCTATCAGTTGTTGCTGAGAGAGAGGTGTGAATGGTGTGATTATGCTATTTGTTTGAAGTAGGTCTCTATCGCTGTGTGTTCGTTGATTCTTCTCGATCCAGAATCTCAGATGGTCAATATTGGATCTTCTTCTCTCTGGCGTAGAAGGGCTGTTCTTTCCTTTTCCAAGGGGATTAACACTTCAAAGCTTCTTCCCTTCTCTTTTCGCACACAGACGATAAGCCGTATTTCTGCTATTATTCTCACCATCTTCCTGACCACAATCCGGAGAAAACAGGATTTTTTCGGCGATTTCGTGCAAAATCTCGGGTTTTCTGGAAACTTCCTTGGCTCTATTTCCTGACAGTTGTACAGTGAGAATGTGTGGTTATTTATTTTTTATAAAAAACGGTTAAAAACGGAATTTTTAAAGTTTTCTAGCATTTTTCTAGGTGTTTTTTTTCGCATTTCTACGCGATCTTGAGTTTTCGCAAAAATTGAATTGAAGCCCCTGATTTTTGGCAAAATTTCATTTTTCGAAATTTTTTGGATTCCTGGCAGATAATTGAGGTTTAAATTTTTCATTTTTTTTAAAGCTCTAAAAACTAAACTTTTAGAGTTGCTATTAATTTTTAACGCGATTTTTATCTTTCCCCGATAGCTTTCGAAAATTAGGCTTTTTTGGACAATCTCAATTCTTGGATTTTTTGGCTTTTCGGGCGCGCGCGGTCTAGAGCTTCCAGTTTTTCGTTTTTACGTGAAAATGCTGATAATTAAAATTTATATCTTAGAAAGTTTATTAGGTACTTTTTATTCGCCATCGAGTTTTCGCCGAAATCGAAGCCAAGTTCTGTATTTGTTAGTAGTGTAGTCTTTCCGGTGCTTCATTGTTTTTAGGGCGTAAAAACGGGCAAACAGCGCGCGTGGAATTTACAAACTAGGGGTTCGTTTGGATGCTCGAGAATTTATTTCTGAGCCTATTAATTCCAGTAGTGATGGTTCGGGATTAGCCCTAAACTTTCCCAGTAGTTTTTATATTTCCGTTGGAATTTCGGTCATTTCCTGCCATGAATTCGTTAGATTTTTGCAGAGATCTGACATTTACTGCGGATTTTTTGTTTTATTTTAGCGCCACTTTCAGTAGAAATAGCTTCATACGTTTTTCAGATAGTTTTTATATTTCCGTGCCAATTTCCGGTCGCTTCCGGTCTCGTGATCAGCGGATTTTAGCAGAGATCTTGCATTTTTCGGCAATTTCTGGTCTAATTTTAGCGTGACGGCTCTAGAAATAGCTTCCAAGCGTTTCC